CCATCTATTCCTAAAGAAATAGATGGTAATACATGTAAATATGCGGATAATTGCACTCAGGACCAGATTGTCGAAAGAGGTGAATGCAGTTCCATGCAAAACGTAATCGACGAATTAAGAAATGGGCTGATAATAACAGAATGGCTCTGAATCCGAAAAAAACAAAGGATATGTGGATATGCTTTACGGACTCAATACAAGAACCACCCTCCCTATTTATTGGTGAAGAAGAAATAGAAAAGTTTCAAACTTCTTGGCGTAACATGTCAAAATGATATGTTTGTAAATGATGATCGTCCAGGTTAATAAAGTCCTGAGAAGGACTGTTTTTGTTGTTGTTGACTGACGTTTCGACAACCTTAGCGGTAGTCATTTTCAGAGTCAAATGAGGAGTATACGTCAGGTTATCCGTATTTGTTATCTGGTTCTTACGTCATTGTATTGTGTGTACAGGAAATGTGTATTGTCATTGTGGATTAGTGTGAAGTGAGATATTTTATTTTTAGTTGTGATGTGTGATTTAGGTGTGACGTTTTTAGTTTTAATGTGTGGGTGTCAATTGTGCATTGTCATTGTGAATTAGTTTGAAGTGTAGTGTTTTTAGTTGATCGTTTGTTTGTATTGTGAATAAGTCGTTTGTAGGTGCCGGTAATTGCTGTGATCTGTTCAGGGGGGTTTGTTCCAAGTTGGTATACCAACTTTCTAATGTATGATACAATTGGTCGCATGGGTATTTCATGCTATGGTTATTCACAAACCACAAATACCCATGCGACCAATTGTATCATTCTGTGGTTCGCCTACTTACGAATTTTCAAAGTACTTGACTAACATACTGCAACCACTTACAAACAAATCAAAACACAAGCTACAATCCACTAAAACTTTCATTAAAAAACTGAGCACTATACAAATACCGGACAACTATATACTAGTGTCTTTTGATGCGAAATCACTGTTCACCAGTATTCCACTTAATCTGGCACTTACTTGTACAAAAACCCTCATTACAAACACCACGGACGTACTGCCATTACCGACAGAAGACATTATGGAGTTACTAGAGCTCTGCCTCACCTCGACTTACTTCCAATACAAAGGAACACACTACAAACAATTACATGGGACGGCAATGGGCTCGCCTGTTTCTGTTGTAGTTGCTGAAATTGTAATGCAATCTATAGAGGAACGGGTTCTCACGACTTAAAAACATGCACTACCTTTTTGGTTTCGCTACGTAGATGACACAATCACAGCACTACATGCAGACGACATTAATGACTTTCATACTCACATCAACAAACAGAACAGCCACATACAATTTACCAAAGATGTCGAAGAAAACGGAACTCTTCCTTTTCTCGACTGTTTGGTAAAACATGACAATCAAAAACTACGAACAACAGTTTATCGCAAGCCAACACATACTCACCGACTACTAGACCAATCATCTTACAACCCTACATCACACAAAGCCACCACAATCAGAACATTATCAAGACGTGCACAAATCATATGTGATTCACCGGACGCTCTACAAAACGAAAACAACTATCTCAAACGTGTTTTTGACAAAAACAACTATAACTCTGACTTTATCAAACGCAACACATACAAACCCAACGAACCCAACGAAACGAACAACTCAGTGACAACAGCAACGATACCTTACATCAAAGGTACGTCTGAGACTATCTCGCGTATCTTACGACCATACAACATACGTGTCGCACATAAACCAATCACAACGTTTCGACAAGTACTAACGAACATAAAGGACAAAGAACAACCCAACGAACGACAAGGTGCAGTTTACAAAATAAACTGCTCCGACTGCCACGCCTCCTATATCGGGGAAACTGGCAGGAACTTAAACATAAGACTTACTGAGCACAAACGAGCTACTAAGAAACAAGACAAAACTAATCACATTGCCGAACATCACCGAATCACAAAGCACAACATTGACTGGGATTCGGCAAAATGCATCACTTACAGTACTGACTATAGACAACGGCTTACATTAGAAAGTTGGTATACCAACTTGGAACAAACCCCCCCTGAACAGATCACAGCAATTACCTGCACCTTACAAACGACTTATTCACAATACAAACAAACGATCAACTAAAAACACTACACTTCAAACTAATTCACAATGACAATGCACAATTGACACCCACACATTACAACTAAAAACGTCACACCTAAATCACACATCACAACTAAAAATAAAATATCTCACTTCACACTAATCCACAATGACAATACACATTTCCTGTACACACAATACAATGACGTAAGAACCAGATAACAAATACGGCTAACCTGACGTTTACTCCTCATTTGACTCTGAAGATGACTACCGCTAAGGTTGTCGAAACGTCAGTCAACAACAACAAAAACAGTCCTTCTCAGGACTTTATTAACCTGGACGATCATCATTTACAAACATATAACGATACTCCCGGGTTCAAACCATATTTACTTTATGTCAAAATGATTTTAAATGGAATGAACACGCACACCAAATTACATGCAAGGCAAATAAAATACTATATCATCTTCGACTTTGTAGGAAGTCTCAATTACCTTCAGATGTTAGATTATTAACATATACATCAAAAATAAGACCAGTATTTGAGTATGCATCGGCGGTCTGGGGAGGACTTCCACATTTTTTACAGCAAGAAATTGAACGTGTACAAAGAAGAAGTTTAAATATTTTACAACTAGATGCCCTCTTTGAAAAGCAGACGTGAACAAGTAACTACCCAAGAGATCAAAAGGATTATAGAGGAACCTGATCATCCATGAAAATTTTTAGTACCTTATCCCAAAGAAAATTCGCACGAGTTGCGTAAAAGCAAAACTTATAGTATTTTATCCCGGACCAAACGTCATAAACAATCTTTTATTGCTAGATCTTGTAAATATATATATAATAAAGTTAACATGTAATTCTTAGTATAGTATAATAAATATATAGAAGAAAATCAATGTAAATTCATCGTACTTTTTAATCTGAAGATGAATAATAAAAACCTTTAATCCCTTTAATCTCTCTCTCAAATCTCAAGTGATAGAAAAGAATATTGAGAATGAGAAAATTTGATTGGAAAATAAAAGGAAACAGCTTTATCAATCACTGCTTAATGTATATCTTTATTTCTGATCTATGTTGGACCTAGTTCAAACGTCAAACGTTACAAGAGCCAAACGCATTTAAAATAAAAGTTAATGTGGGAGTTCATCTCATTTTCTTTTGTCTTTAATGCGTTTAATGCATGCATGTAAAGTCGATGTAAAGTTGAATTCATTCTAGTTGTAAGTGCGTTGTTTTGCTCTCAAACTCCAGCCTTCATGATCATTGCAATAAAGCTGCGATTTTTTTATTCTAAACCATTCTTTCTTTCTAGCTTATTTTTTTCTTCTACGAAGTAAATAGACAGAAATTACGGTGTTTTTTTTAGCATTGGAGAAGTAACTATCTTTTGCTGACAGCAGCCATGTTTCTTTTCTCAACAAACAGCGCATCAGGTCAATTTCCCCCACTTGGAAAAGCCTTCACAATTGAAAGCAACATGCGCCCGAGCATTTTCCTCTATACGCAACATGTAGCTGCATGGAAATTAGACTTTAGGAGCTGTTCACATGAGTCCGGTAAACGGAAATCAGCAAGGCGTGAAATAATTTTGAGTCATTGGAAAGAGTAAAAACTTTAAGCGCAGAAAGTACAACATTTTTTAAGCGTCATAGTCATTTTAGTCGTGTTTTCAAATCTCGCAAAATTATTTGTTTTCATATTAAAGTTTTGTTTATTTGCATATTAAGTGCATAGAAAAATTTCTCAAATAAATTTTTTGTTGTGAAGCATTTAATCTTTTCCATTTGCCACAATGATTTAACGCTTCGCTGAGTCCCTGCTAACGGCCTCATTTGAACAGCCCTTACTGTCCAAGAGCGTGAACACAAAAATTACTTCAGGAATGATAGGCTCTTCAAATAAGCTTTAGGATTACGTCACGGGTTTTATTTGCATGACAAGTAAGTGTACACGCTAAATAAAACCACATTTGCTAACTCCTTCACATTTTTTTGTTTTTTGATTTGTTACAAGATATCAATGTATTAAAATAGTGTCATTTGCACGTACAACAGAAAGGCCAATCTTTATAAACGTAATCAGTAAAGAAGTACTTTATTTGTTTCCTGTAGCATGTACACAAAATCTTCATGCATATCAAAAATATTTTCTATGGGTGTAGCTTTACTCGCTTGAGCTTTGCTAAACATTAAAGAATAGGAGAGTCCTATCTTTTTACTTATATACATTTGGCATAGTATAAAAACAAACAGTAGTCCCATTCTATTGAAAGTTTTGTGTGGTGCAGGCCAATATTAATGTTAAATAACATAATAACTAAAAAAAATATCATGACGTAAAACTTGTTTTTGACAGTTTTGTTTTCGAAGCGCACGTACGGAAATCATCATTGCGAGTATTTTATTGGTCCATTGACGTTAGTGTGGCTAATGACGTAAATTTTGCTAGGCATAACAAACAGTAGTCCCATTCTACTAATAATTTTAGTGTGGTGCAGGCCAATATTAATGTTAAGCAACATAATAAGTAAAGAAAATATCATGACGTAAAAGCTTGTTTTCTACGTAGTTTATTGTTTCAGAAGCGCACGTACGGGAAATCATCATTGCGAGTATTTTATTTGTCCATTGACGTTAGTGTTGCAAATCACGTGAATTTTGCTAGGCATAGAAACAACGGATAAGTCAATGTAAGTAAGTTCGTTTGTAGCTACATGGAAAATTTACTGTTATCTTTTTTTAAGAGAAATCAAGTTTGGGAGAAACAAAGAACTGGCGATTGCTTATTTTGTAAACACAAGCAATAGACCACTTTGTCAAACTTTTGTTTATTTCAAAATGTGGAAACATCTTCATGCTAATTGAAAGCTTGGTCATTCCAAAAGAAACAAAACTTGTAATGAAATCGAAATATTGTTGCCTCAAAAGCGGCTAGGGAGGCAGCGATTGTCTTTCTTTTGCTGTTTCTTGTGATTTAGCCATGTCTGATCCTTTGTAGCGTCACTTTTTTATTGAGAAGAAGAGAACAAATCAGGAATATATATTTTGCATTGGTGCTTTTTTCTAATGATGGAGTGGGATCACTCGAAGATTATTCAGGTATTGCCATTGGGCGAAAGTAGAATGCTATTCATGCTATATTTGATGGTATTCATAGTTTATTCTCATATAGTCGTCCGAGTCGTTTGATTCGTTTCATTCTAGTCTTTTGAATCATTTAGATGGAGCTCTGTCCTATCGGCTTGCGTATAAAGGCCGATTTCCATTCAGTGCAAATTGTCGTGTGATCGACTTTTTGTGATCACTTTCTTTTGAATTGCGTGCAGCAGTCTGAAACTGTTGGAATCGAGAGCTTACAATTGAAAAGAAAGTGATCTAAAAAAGTTGATCGCCGAACAATTTGCACTGAATGGAAATCAGCCTTAAGAGACGAATGAAACGACTTGAAATTTGAACGACTGTTTGAGAACCAAGTTAAAGGCTTCATGTAAAGTGACCTACATATATAGCTTAGCTGCTTTATTAAATGCTATGATTAAAGGAAAAACATTTGAAAACCAATTACTATCACACATTCTGAATTCAAACAAAATATCCCCTGTACAATACATATATATGTATCATTATCATCCTTTTTCTCTTTCCATTAATTTTGCATACCTTTTAGTCTAGTTACTATACTTGACCGTTTTACTCTTTAAGCTTTCCTATCCAATTGTGCTTTTTAAAGCAGAGAAACTATTCAAAGCTTTGAAATCATATAAATTCATTCTTAGTTTTTTATACTAAGCGTTTACTTTGAGATGGTGTATTTTTTAATTGTGTTTGCTCCAAACAATGTTGTCTTGCACAAGAAATCTATTAATTTGTCTTAATGCACAATTACTTACAACCCGTAATTCTCTGGTGAAACATATTGCCAAAACTCTGAGTTTTGTTATATTTCATTTCTACAGCTAGGACAACATGGCAGCAAGTGGTACTATATTCAATGATCCAGTACATAGTTATATTGAACTGCAACTGCTCTTTGTCAAGGTCATATACATGCACACTCCTTAATTTCAGCGGATGAAAGACATCAAGCAGCTTTGAGCATCATACTGGGCTTATCCTTGTGCTTTACATTATCGATTTGAACATTCACTGACACGGCTCATCTGGCTGGTAAAATGATTAAGACCCTCAAGCAGAAACATGATCTCAAGTGTTATAATAATGTAGTATAGTGCTTGTAAAACCCTCAAGGACTTTAGGTTTCTAGAATATCACAGACAGCGGGCTCAAGAAAAAAACATGTACTTATTATATTTAAGTGTTAAACGGACCACTGTTAAATAGTTCACAAATCAAGAACCCTATTGTAACATCATATAAATTTAAAATTTCAGAAAAGGAAGTTTTGTGTCAAATTGGCTGCACTCTGTCATGTAAGTACTTTTATGGAATTGCTCAGTTTTCATTGGGTTTCATTAATTTTATACAATGGTATTTATGACTACAGACTAGACATGAAATTCTATCAACAACTTAGTAGTTTATAAAGAACTTATTGAGCTATCATTAAGCTTTTATATGATTAATAACCTGTTGAGCTATCATCAATCTAGTGTGTGATCAATAACCTATTGAGCTTTGTTAATTTAGTGTGTGATCAATGACTTACGTATTGAGATATCGTCAATCTAGTGTGTTATCAATAACCTGTTCGGCTTGAATGAATTTAGTATATGATCCATATCATAGTAAGATATCATAAAACTAGTGTATTATCAATAACCTATTAAGATATATAATCAACCTTCTGTGCTGTTATTAACCTAGCATGCTATTGATATTTTACTTTTTTCATGTTTTCGTTTTTGTACAAACTATTCGGTACATACGTAGTGCTATGGAAAACATGAAAAGAAACATCTTTATATTCACACTAAGTACTTAATTATATTCACGCAAATGACGTCAAAACACTATATTTTTTAGATATTACGTGTAAAAAGACATACAGATGGCCAAAAACTTTGTTTATTGATGTTTTGATTTTCATTCGTGCGGTAGGATTTAGGTCATGGCCCTTTTTCTCATGTTTTTGATCATCAAATGAAAAGAAAATTAATGGCGTGGCACATGCAGAAAGAACAGGAATAGATGAAATTATTCAGAAAGACAAAAAATAATAAAGAAACCATTAACTATCATCGTAAACATGTTTCCAAATCATCAAACTGAGGCCATGAAGACACATTGTGTGAAATATGTGTCATAGATCGTCACCGTGTTTATCAACTACATCACCGTGTTTATCAACATAAAACGATCAAAGCGATCGAAGACATGATCACTGATGCTTTTGTATCAGTCAATGTAAATACAAATTCTCGGAGGCGATTTTCAATATAAAGTAACATTCAAAGCTTACTAACTGTTTATTTTATGAAATTATTCGTTTTAAAGACGATGATAGGAATGTAAGAAATGCCAAAAGATTTCTTGAAAAAATAATGGGTCGAGAATTGTTTAAATTTTGTGGTGAAACGCAGCTGAAAGAAATATTAAAAATTGATGCCACCGAGGCTGCTGAAGAAATAGCTTCATTTGATGACGACTTGAACGCCAACGAATTTTTTGTAAGTGTTATCGAAATCGATTTCGGTAAGAATGATGGAAATCCTCTCAAATCGGGTGTATTTTTATGCAGAGAAGAAACTCTATCGTAAATTCGTAAGAATATCGCGAGCGGAATGTTACCATTGCAGTTTTTGAAGTAGTTCGTTCGTGTATATGGAAAAGCACTCAATCAAACTAACGTTGCATCTTCTCCTAGCAGTAAAGACATTGAAGACACAATCGCGAGTTGCTTCCAAAAATGGTGGCGGAAGCCTAAATGTGCCTATGCCAATGAGCTTTTTGGTGACAAAACTGGTTATTTTACACCATCGAAAGGGAGAAAACGAGTCATACTTACACATAAATCAAAATTATGAGCTTAAACTGGCCAAAAAGAAACTTTATGATGACATTTAATTGACATGAATTAACTGAATTGTAAAAGAGAAAACATTTCTAAGTTTGGCAGCACTTTACTTTTAGAGCCCGTACTTTTACCAAAAGAGAAGTGCTTCTAAACACAAATGAGAAGTTTTAGGTACTGTCGATCGTTGGCCAATAAGGATACTGCGAAATCTCCTGGCGCCCCTCACTTAATATGCTTTTTTGCGCCCCTTTTTCATGGTAATTGATAAAGAAGACACTGGTAAGTGTATTGCAGTAAAACAGAGGAAAGAGAACATTGCCGCAATGACAAAATGCGAAGGCAATCAAAGCGCTCTTATCATTTTGGTGTACTAGTAAACTTCCCAACTTCTGTTTGTACGTATAGAGAGCTTTTGAGGAGTATGCACTATTGAAAATTGTGTACAATTAGTTAGCCAATGGGAGTTTTTGCTACTTTTAGCATCAACGGTTATTTGCACTAGCCCAGTGCTTGGAGCATGATGTATTTTTCAGAAAAATGAATTGCTTAAATTCATGTTTGTCTTTTTATAACTCATCTAGTTTATTTGAGTTTTCACTTAATTTCGTAGCCGACTGAGTCCAAATAGTTTATACCTGATATAGCAGCACATACACATTCAACTCCCTCCCCCCCTCCCCAACCCAACACACACATACAAAAATAACTACTTGCTACAGACAGCACCCAGTTCTGAGTTTTCCCGAGAAGTCATGAACTTGCCAGTCGGCCCATGGTTATTCATCAAACAAATGTACGTACGTAAATGTTTTAAATTGACAGAAATATCAATGCTTATAGACTTGAAACTGCTCTCTATACGAATTTATATTGATATGCATGTTGTTATCCTTGGTATTTACTTGATTTAAATCAGTATTTTGACTTATAGAACTTATTTCTAACGACACGAAGAAACAGGGGAAACAGTGAACGGGGCGATTGGGAATAGGGGACCAGGGAACTGGTAAATAGGGAACAGAGAAAATGGGAAAATTAGAAAATGAGGAGCCACGAAACTGGGGAATAGGGGAGCCAGGAAACGGGGGAACCAGAAAACAGAGGAATGGACGGACAAGTAGAGCTGAGAAAGAGAGGAGCTAAGGAACAGGGAAATGTGAGAAAGATTGACCACAGGAACATGAAAACCAATGTATAAGGAAACCGGAAAAGAGACCACAAGAAGTCTTTATTGTTGTTATTGAAAGCAACCGACATACAGGGAAATGTCGTGTTTGAGAATACAGGGAAAGTACGCAAGCTTTGCAAAGCCCGTCGGATATTTTGTAAATACGCAACCACTAACAGCCAAATTTCTTTCGATAAAAAAATTTACTGTGGAATAGCAGACTTACGAGAATATGAGAACTGTTTAAGAATAAAAAAATATCACACAAATCACTGAATTATCTGATACATCTTTATTCATTTCCTAGACGTCAGCAAGAATAACAGGCAGTTTAAACTGTACTCACAAGTAGTGCAGCAAGGAAGTCGCTCTATGAATTTGGTGGCCTTGGACTTTTTGAAGTCACTGTACTTTTTGATGTTGCCTTGAATAAGCGTGCCACAATCTTTTGCAACACGTTTAATCTCGTAACTGGTCAAGACTCTGTCCCAGATGTTCACTTCTGTTAAATTTCCTTTAAATGAGTCCTTATTTTGGAAAGCGTATCCTGCTCCGGGATCTTGATCTTGTCCAATAACCCAAGTACCACCAGCCTCAATTTCTTTATCTTTGTTGATTATTTTTAAACTTTTCTCAAAACGACCGTTCTTGTAAACTGCGAAAGTACCGCTGGACGATTTCCACGTGATGCACACATGATGAAGCTTTCCGTCAGCAAGATTTACACCAGTGCTAATTAACAAAATTTTCAAGCATTTTATGACAGCAACTAAAATTTCGTAGCAAGAGTATGCCATATTATATTGTGTAAATCAGGTAAGCTAGCTAACACTCGTCACATCGGCGTTACTTTAAAATTAATCATTTCGTCGTCAAAGCTTTGTGCACCAGTTCAATAGAAGTGGTTAATATATAACTTTCAGTTTGTAGAGGCATTCAACAAAAAGCATTTAACAAGCAAATTCATGTGTTAATTGGGCAGAAATAAAGGTTTTGTATATGAGGGTTTTAAAAATTAACGTGAACAAGAGTTTGGCTGTGAAATCGTTTGACGTAATAAATTTGTCGAAAGAAAACGAAGTGAAATATGCTAAACCTACTTGTATGAATTTTTCCCACATACAAAACAAGATCTGGATGCATATCAAGCATAAAATTATTTCCCCATGTTGCGCCTTTCACTTTGTAGGACAACGGTGTAGGATAATATTTATTTGCGTATTCAGCCGGGGTGGACATCCAGAAACATGCCGTGATAGCATTCATCGCCTTCGGAGATCCTTCGGATACACCATACTGAGTTGTTTTGTAACCTTCCATGGTCATGCCACGAGCACCTGTGGAAAGTTTTAGAAAAAACTTCGATCATAATTTTTGAGTCCTAGAAAGACTTTTACAGTGCTAATAAACATATACATAAGAATTTCATGATATTTTGACATGCTAATACTGTGCTCTAATGGTGTCCTATGAATAATGCATTAGTAATATGACTGCTACTTTGTGAGATAGTTTATTTGTCAATGAAGATTGAAGAAAAAGTAAAAGGAATTAAAAATGATACCACGCTGTTGGTCTACCTATCAAAATTGCAAGTGTTAGCATATCCCCCTGTGCTAATCTATCCACAAATTTCTACATGCCAGCCATCCCCCCTTCAAAATATCAAAAAACCAAAAAGATGGTTTTCTTAAAGACGTTTACTTTTGAGTATTGTAATTGACCATTCTTAGTTTTATATCGTTAAAGCTCACTTCAAAGTTTGCGTTCGCTATGCCACTAGGCGCTTTCGATTCTAAAATATTGCGATTTCACTAAAAGTTTTTTACTCTATCGTAATAAGGTTTCTACTTTTTTGAAATAAATGAAAGTTCGAAAAAGTGGTCTATTGCTTTTGTTTGCCTAGCGATCGCCGTTTTTTTTATCTTTTACAAATTGCATTAAAAAGCAAGACGAGACGAGAGTAATTTTTCCCTGTAGCTACACAACAAACGTACTTACATTCACTTAGCTCTGCCAGGCTTTGATATGCTGACACAAGAAGTAAAAAAAACGATACTACAAGCGCCATTGTTTTTCTCTTCGTATTCGTCTAAAAAATAACAATGAATGGATTTGGCCAGTGGGAGATCTTCGAAAACACACAGGAGAGAATATTCTTTGAAATTTACGTTCTGTATTTACGCCTTTTCATTTTATGTAGAATGCACTCAAGTTTTACCTAACTGCAATTTAAAGAATGTGTCAACCAATACATTGCGCGATAATCACGGTGTTAAAGCCATTTTGTGGGTCGAGATAATGGCGGATTGGCAATAATATACGTACTATTGAAAAATTCGCTGGGATGAATTTCAGTATTCCTAAATGGCAAATTATTTTTCAAAAGCATCCAAGTATCATAAATCGTTTATATCACAACAATGAAATTGCTAGATTGGCAAAACAACTCGGAGTGATATGCATGAATATATTCCAGCAACCGTGTTTGTGTACAAATTAACTGTTTGAAATGGCAAAATTATTTAGGATCGTTTGAGTTCATCTAATTAGAACTTATAATAGCAATAAAAATAGCCAGTATCAAATTGAAACATCTATAAAATTTATATAAGGACTGAAATTGCAGTTTCAGTTAAATGAGTACATGCATTTTTATTGGGATATCATGCAATAGATTTTGTACTTGGAAATAGTAAAATAATAAGCACTCTTTTTCGGAGTTCACGCATTTTCCTGTCGGGAAAATTGATTGATAGCTAATTTTCCGGAATAGTGAAAATTTAACGCTGTCATGTATCTCCTTATAGCTACACATGTGTAATTCAAAAAACTTTTTTCTTTCTGTCGAGGAATCCGCTCCTCAGCTGGTTCACACAGACTCTTCGTTTTAAACCTTTTATTTTACAAGCTACAAGTACAACACATCATTGGAGTATTTCTACGCTATCTATTAGAGTTAATTATTTACAGGTATTTATACTAACGGTAATTACAACAAAACTTAAGTCGAGCTTTCCTTTTACGTCATTAGCAGTACTCAATCTTTCATTGCGTTTCAAGTTCTCACACGTTTCAACAAAAAAGAAGAACTAACTAAACAAACAAAAAACTTACAAAACGTACTTAAAAACAAACAAATGTTAAAGAGAAACTAACTTAGCTAGGACAATTTTATTGCTATGCACAAAAGAGTGCCATATCCCACATTTTCCTTACAAATTCCAAACAAACTTGAATGCTAATTATATACACACGATTAATCGGAGAACTTATAAAACAAAAGGGTGAAAATCTTCACCTTTTCGTTGTCTCAAAGTTGTTCATCTTCTTAATTTCATATATGGAGCAGTTAACAAAGAAAGCCTATTTTAGCTATCTTTTTTTCAATATACAAGTTGACAAATATAATCCGCTTAAATTTGTGTACAACAGATTTGTAACCTTCATAATCCAGTCGACATCTTTGAACGCATTATCGTTGAAATGTAATGAAACAATAAAACCTTTTTCAAATTTCCATCTAAATTATTTATACTGCGTGATTTGAGGGCAAAACTAACATTATAAAAAACATTTTAGCTTTCAGAGCAAATATAAACCGATATCTTTGCAATACATAATGCATATTTACTGTGTACTTTGTATAAATCATAAAATATTAGCATAAACTTAAATATTAATGTACTCCTAAAATCAATTTTTCTTCCTTTATTCATCAACGTATTACAGACCAAGTCACGGTAAAGGAATGTTATTAAAAAAAAGATAAGCAAGGACGTGCAAGGATTATAAATACAAATATAAGCTAACAAAATAAGTGGAAGTATTTTTTAAATAATACTCTCATGGATTTTTAATGGACAACACGAAATCTATTTCATCCGTGAAATGTTTGCCGATACATACGTATAATATATAGCTATAGAAAAAAGAATATATGTTTATGTACCTGTGATTGATTTCTTTTCTTTGATGTAACTATGGAGATACTTGATCCTGAAACTCTTCACAAAATGCTGCCTTTTTTGCTCCTTATTCCGTAACCAAAGGATGGAATGTGTAAAATAAGGACTCGCCCATTCTTTTTATGTCCCCATCAAAATTCGCGCAATTGGCTACATTTAGGTCAATTGAGCCTGGTTTTCATCAATTGCAGACGTACGCCGACGCACGGCAATAATTATTCACAAGCCCTCTGAACGGGAAGTATGCCAGAGAGGCGATTTCCGTCAACACAGTGTCTGTTGTTTAACATATAAGTTCGCGTTAAATTTAAACTATAGTGCAAAAATTAATGCGAAATGGCAGAAAGATTTTAAGAAAGGATGGTCTTACAAGCCAACGGTCATAGACTTCTGCCAAGAAAAAAGAGACTTTTACAGCGAAATCTATACAACAGTTTTGCCATTTTGTAAACAGACGCCTTGAACTTTAAATTTAGAGCATGGGTTCTAGATTGTCAGTTTAAAACTGTCGCCGATGGTCGCAAATGTGCTTTTCATCCAGTGTTCTCACTTTTAACATTGTGCAGATTGGGGTACTTCAACTTTCCATCAAATGTACGCGCGCCCAAACGATTCTGCCAGAACTTCAAAGAAGACTGCTCTTTATTAATCTTCGGCGATTCTTCCAATGATTGCTTTTTCCATTCCATGTCTACCAGCATTTTATCGTCAACGTTTTTCAGATACGGGAATCTAGAAAAAAGTGCTTGTAGAGAGGGTGGATAACACTTCACAGCATTAACAGGAAGGATAAACTCGAATAGTTTGTTGGCTGAATCACTCAGATCAAACCGGGATTGGATTTTTGCTTCACTACCTCAACCATAAAGTCACGACAGGTCTTCTTGACGGACCGAACGGCTTGCAAATCAGCACATTCGCCCAACGTTGCAGTCACAAGGATTCCAAGGTAAATTTTTTCATCATGGACATAGAATTGCGGATCATCAACAGGGAGGGTAAATCGTTCACAGGTTCTGGCAATTTCCATCTTCACAAAATCTGACAAAATGTTTTTTAAAAGCTTGTGCAATTCATCGGGAAGGAGATGAATCACTCAGATCAAACCGGGATCGGAATAACGTGTTGAAGTCATTCAGGCGATGCAATTGCACGGTAAAGAATCCTGTTGCGCTTTCAGGTATTTGTTCGAGAGACCATCAAGAAGAGAGGAGAGTCAGTAGTGTAAGATGGGTCTTTCTCTTTGCGATAACGCCAATAAAATAGAGACGAAGAGCATCCCATCGCTCCAATACCCTACTGACGCATGACTCCAAAGACAACCACCTTGTTTGACCGAGTCTCAGAAGCTTGTGTAGCTTAACACCAACAAATTCTTACAACTCTTCAAGCTCCTTTCATTTCAAGCTTGATCTACTAAAATGAGAATAGATATTTCTGCAGAGATCTTTGAGTGTCTTCGATAATTTAAGACAGGCTTGAGATGCATACAAATGAATCATGTGACAACTACATTTTGCAGCAAAAACATGGGGAACATCCTTCTTCAGCCAAGCAACGACACTTTGGTGCTCACCAAACATTACATTAGTTGTGTCCAAAGAGTAACCAATTATGTTTTTTAACGGAATCTTTTTTCTCAAATGAACCTTTAATTGCTTTGTAAAGACCAGTGGCAGTGCATTCATTTACTCCACTATATCAAAAAACCTTATAACTCTTCGAACAGATTTTCCTCAAAATATGCAACACAAATTCTCAGCTGCTTTTCCATGAAAACGTCTGTAGTTTCGTCGGGGGTGATGATGAAGTAAGTTTCCCGCAATAAATTTACTAGACTCGTTGAAAAAATAAACCAAGACTATGTCTTAAGATATTGGTACATTTAGTAAATGACATATGAATGCCATTCAGTATTTCAACTTCTCTGGTATTATTGGGTGTAGTTGACTTCAACAAGCCATTAATGGGCTTACTATGGTGAATGGGAGATTATTTTCTGCTATTAAAGAGCATATACGAGCTTCTGTCGTGGTCGAAAATGAGCTGGCTTTTCTTGTCGTCGAAAACATTGCACTAGATTTCCCTGTCGTGGTCGCCCATCCTCTCTGTCAGATTGCATTTTTATAGCTCATTTGTGCATTGCAGTTTCGGCGTGTCTTATCAGTGATGTTTTAGAACATGATACAGAATTTTGGCAGGCTTTCCATGTAGCGTTTGTTTCACCAGCAGAAGGACGAACTAGCCAACCTTTAAACACTGGATCCCCCAGCCATTGGTGCCTGAATTTTTGGCAATATTGTTTTTTTCGCTGAAGTCGACAACAAACGTTTCCCGCAATCGTCTACATTAATTTCTTCCGTCTCAGTAAATGAGTCAGATTCCGAGTCAGCCATTTACAAACGATTTGAAGGATTTAACTACATTATCGTATATTCTTTTTGCGGGTTGAAGTAATGTTTTTATACTTCAAATTAACATAAACTAATAGTATTTAATGTTTCTTTACAAATACAACGTTGAAAACTGGAAAACAGCAAAAAAGAACGAAAAAACAATTTTTGAGCCTGTGTGACCAGGTCTTGTAGTAATTTTTACCAATTTAAGGATTCAATGGAAATTTGAGGAATTCTCTAGCCTTAGCTTTTCTAAAGAACTGTGAGCACTGTTTTCATCATTTTATTTGCCGGCGGCTGTCTGCAACACTTATACCGATTATCGTAACAAAACAAATTTTTTTCGGCAAAAATCTCAGATGCAAAACAACAAACAGTTTTCCCCCATTGCAAAGCTCAGTGTCTTTACTCTTGATAACTTCAAGCTTCGTTGCGTCTGCCTGCGATTGATGAAAACCAGACTTTGGATTTTTGTTGAAACGTTTTTTTAATAGTATTCTAGTTTTATTTGTAGTTTTGAAAACATTGTTTTGCTCCTATTTACAATTCATTCAGCTGTACCAGAATTTAACAAAAAGAAGCGTTACATACTAATTTTGTATTTCAGTTGTGAGTGTTATTGTGCTTTGAAATCCCGCACAAGCAAACACGCGTGTTTCAATGGTGTCAATAACAAAACAATCCGTCTGTGTCATCGATATAACAGCCTCGACCTTTGGTCACAGTTACACTTGACTTGCTCTCAAGTTCTCCAAAGTTCTCTTAGGTTTGCATAAGCTTGTGCAAACACAGTAAACATCTTTTTTTCTTGAATATAATGAAAAATAATGGTATCAAATATGCTTTCTTACCAACTCTCTTTAGCAGCAGATGGAAAGGAGTAGAATTAATAATACCTACCGGATAGACGTCGATTGAAGCAACTAAAGCTGATATTGATGCGCCTATATCTTGCTGTTTGTTGAGTAAAATACAATGATTTAGTTGAATGATTATAAAAAGAATATGACAAATGCAGTTAATAATTTGCCTTTATCATACAATGCTATGGCATATAGCTGCTACAGTGATCATCATGTGTTGACAAAACAGTGAATTTCCGAAAAATTTTCTAAAGCTCGGTGGATGAGAGAGAGAGAGAAAATTTTTATTCCAGTTTGCTCTCTTTGTTTTCCGACAAAAGAAATCGAAGGTTGACGTTTGAAGTTGATAATTACATCCTGCAAGAAAGTTGATATATTCATACACTTATACATTGAAACTGAATTGTATATAAGCGTTCATTTTTGAGGAAATAACGTGCATGAAGATTCATACAAAAAAAAAACATGCATACAGAGATTTAAATTAATCATCGATACAGAGGACTATAAAAAGAAATGTTCCAAATGCATTCAACCATTAAAATTCCATCAAATTTTTATCTGCATACTACCATATGCATTTGACACATTGACACTATGCAAACAGTGTATCCTGTATATTTTAATCTGCAGCATATGATCAATTATTCATGCAAACTGAGAATGATATCATCAAGAAGTATTTTTTGTAATTGTAGAGCGAACAAATAATTAGTAGGGAGCTTTAGCAAAGACTACGAGTACGACAACGAGTACGAATTACGTCATTTTGGCGCATAAACATTGTTGCGACAACAACACGTAGCCGTCATCAATCTGAGTACGATGTTTTGTAAAAAATTCATAGTCGCGACTACGATGTCTTTTTAAGCAGAGAAAGTAGGTTTATTTCTTCATTGTGTAAGAAATTAGTTTACAGCAGGGGCGGATCTAGAGTATGTCAAATCCGTCGCGCGACTGATGTTTGAAATTCAAAAATTACCTATTCATATTAATTCAAAATTCATTAATTATTCTTACTTTATTATTGCATTTACTTCGTGATAAAAATCCAGCTTTATTGATCATTGAAAACTAATGACTAATCCAATGAATATTTCGTTGGTAACCAGTTCAGTTGAATTTTAATTGACCTGGAATAACCGACTGATAAGCGGGGTGGCTTGACTGGTTCGACGGATAAAGGAGTCTATAAACGCCAAAAACGCTTATTTTATTGGTCAATGGCCAGATCAGTGGACAGTCTGGAATGGTCTCGACTGATAATAGGGGTGGCCGGACGTATAAGGGAGTCCAATTGCTATCTTACAATTGGTTCATTTGAATTTTTGTTTTGTTGTGATTGGTTTGACGGATTTCGACTGATAGCCAAGTGAACTAACATAGTCAAGCTCACTGTCTGAATTGAATGTTTGATCGTTTTATAGTAATTTTTATAAGCATGATAGAAACTAAACTACAATCAGATGGAATTTATGGAAATCTTTTACAAATTCATATTTTGACATCAATGCTGCTGTCCAAACTGTGAACTTTTTCAAGAGGGTGAAAAATTTATGGATAAATTGTAAATGCTTGGCAAAGACGATCTCGCGAGCGACATTTCAGTCATTGAATGTTTTATGAAGTGCGGTATTTGAAATTAAAGTGGTTATATCACGAATTTTAGCCCCCCTTTTTTATGAGCTTAATTGAAAATTTGAATTATTTGAAGAACTATGACATATCGCTGGACTTAAACAGATAAATATAAGTTGCTTAATTTTGCCTCCAAAGTCGGGTACTATTTCCGAATTTTTTACGACGCCATATTGATACTTGTGACGTAGATAGTTGAACACGTCTGTTTCCGTCAATATAATATTATATTATAGAAGGTGATTTTGTTGTCGTTTTTCTTGTGTTAAAAACAAATAATGACAGTATTTTCAATAAAATATTAAAAAACAAGTTGTCCGGAAAGTATGGCTTCAAATCAGTGCTCAGATAATTCGAATTCGATGTCTGAATGCGTATCTGATTCGAGCTCAGAATCCGTGGGTTATGTCGAGCATTTAAACGACTTCGCATATGACGATGAACCGCTAGCAGGAGATGGTGATGAAGTGCATACTCCAGGGATCCCGATCACAATAATTAGTCCAACCTTTTTATTTACTTCAGGTACTTGATTCGTTGACACAATTATTGTTGATGAAACAATGTTGATGATAACATTCTTTCTCATACAATTTACAATCTTACATATTTAGTGATTGTGATGCTTGGCGGCGATAAGCACGTCCATTCCTATCTCTCAATAGTGGCCCGACGTTTTCAAGGACAGCCTCATGAACTAAAGGCCCAAATTTGGCATGCTGTGTTATGCATGATATTTTCTCAATGCTGCCATCGAATGTCATTTTCTGCAAAGCTGGTCCTATTTCCTTACAGCATCTGTACTCTAATGCGCCTTCTAACAAATCGGTATGACAGCATTGACAATTACACCTGAAACGTGGGAGCATTGTGCTTTATAAAGTAACTTTATGTATATTACAAACAGGAGAAAACAACAACTTACCATTCACCGAGTGGAATTACGCCATCACTTCGTTGTTCTAAGGTCGCAGGGAGAATTCCATCGGGATCATCTGGAGTATGCACTTCATCACCATCTCCTGCGAGCGGTTCATCGTCATATGCGAAGTCGTTTAAATGCTCGACATAACCCACGGATTCCGAGCTCGAATCAGATACGCATTCAGACATCGAATTCGAATTATCTGAGCACTGATTTGAAGCCATACTTTCCGGACAACTTGTTTTTTAATATTTTATTGAAAATACTGTCATTATTTGTTTTTAACACACGAAAAACGACAACAAAATCACCTCCTATAATATAATATTATATTGACGGAAACAGACGTGTTCAACTATTACGTCACAAGTATCAATATGGCGTCGTAAAAAATTCGCAAAAAGTACCCGACTTTGGAGGCAAAATTAAGGAACTTATATTTATCTGTTTAAGTCCAGCGACATGTCATAGTTCTTCAAATAATCCAAATTTTCAATTAAGCTAATAAAAAAGGGGGGCTAAAATTCGTGATATAACCCCTTTAAATATGTAAGATTGTAAATTGTATGAGAAACAATGTTATAATCAACATTGTTTCATCAACAATAATTAGTCCAACCTTTTTATTTACTTCAGGAACTTGAGAGCTGTGGCATACAGATGGTTGATGCGATGGTTTTGTGGGTCTATGGGATGGGAGAATACTCGGCCTTTACCTGCTTGTGTTTACCACTTTATTCGGAAAGCATATCCAAGTGGTAACACAACAGGTTACATACCATCAGAGGGGCGATGATGGAATAGTCTTTTAACTTGTGCACTGTAGAGACTGTTGACCTTCTTTGCTGAGTTTGGAATGGTCAGGAAATATGCCTAGATGAAAACCAAATAGGAGATACATGGATGCACTATATAAGTTGACATGCAGTTTAATGGTTTGAAACAAGAGTAAACAATAAAAAACAAATTGGTGCAACTACTGAGAGGTTAAGCTGAAAGAATTAAATGAGAGAATATCTTTTCTTCAATGTCAGTCTGGGAAAAAGACAAAAGAAAAAATATATGGAATTAAATCATAGCATAAATGTAAAAATGGAAAATAGCAAGCCGTTCAAATGGCGAATCGTTTGCTTCCCCAGTGCATACTTAAACATGCTCAGCTCCATCACTAGTAGATGGTACTTCCTCATTGAGAGAACATGTTTCCTTCAGCGATGGCTTATGGAGAGTATGTCGAATAATCTACAAAACTTATATCGAATTTACATATGACAAAAAAAAATTAACATAAACAAGCGTAAACTTACTTGTCTTCGCTTTCGATCGGTTATTTCGTCCTGTAATGGTTCAGGAATCCCAGCCACGTCAATGGTTGGGATAGCATCTTTCTTCAACCTTCTTTTGAGCTTGACTTATACACTCAAATTAAGGTCAAAACAAGAATCTTCAAAATGCGCAGAACACAGACACGAGGTAGAGGAAGCCTCAAAACCCGGTCTATGTTTACGCACAAAATTTACCCATTTTCTATGTCTTTGCGGCTCTGTTTCTTTTTTTAGGAAAAAGATGCATCGACATTCCTTCGGTTTTTGAATCATTGGCGCAACTAATTTGATTATTTCCGCCAGCAACACAGCGTTTTCCTCCGCGTTTCTTATTAAGATTACTAGTAGAATACGCCATGTTGATATATGTGTTCAACTTTCTACGTCACAAGTCATTAGCATACCGATCAAAAAGTTCGCAAAAAAAATGCTAAAAATCGTGACTTTGAACGTCCGTAAAATCACTTTCACCAATCCAATTTCAATTATAATTGCAGATTTAAAATCACTGAAACAAGGTCTTTCAATTTAGCTAATAAAAAAGGGGGCTAAAATTCGTGATATAACCACTTTAAATGAAGATATGATCTGGGTCAGAGGTCAGAGGAAATTAAATGAAGATATGGTCTGGGTCAGAGGTCATGGGTTCGAATCCCGTTGAGTCACCTGATTTTTTCAGGTCCTGAGACGATTGCTTAAATTGTCCAGCAAAGTGCGAAGATCATATCTTCATTTAATTTCAGTCATTGATGTTCAAAAGAAAGCCAACATTGTTTTGAGTTTTATCAGCAGGAATTTATATCCAAAATCGTAAGTAAAGGACAAGTGAAGTGTATGCATGAATGTAATATATCAAAGTCAATTTATGCGAGTGTGTGATGCGATTTATGTCAATATGGCGTATGGGAAGCAGATTGATGATTTTAAAATTGTTGTTGCCGAAGGTCTTTTAGCTATGATTTCTTTAGTGCTTGGGAAATCGTTGCCGTTATATGGCAGCGAAATCCTACATTCCTGCAAACATATTTCAATGGACAAAAAATCTGTAGCAATAAGGCGCCATACTATTATTTACTTTATCATAAACGGAATGTTTGGGGCTTATGTTCAGTTTATGATCATTGATCATTCAATCATTAGACAGTTATACTACGTATTGTTTAAGATTTGAGAAAACTAACATTGATTACATGAGAAGCTGTTTACTATAACCTGTGATTTTGAGTCTTCTGATCCATGAAGCTTTTTATTTTGACAATTTGACTGAAATGGTATTAAACCTGAGTATTTCACATACATGAAATGTTGTCCCATGTCACATATTGTCCCCTTTTCTAACTGAACACCTCATGTAGAGATGTAAAGGTGTGTTAATCTGCTCATACCAGATTGTTTGCCATAAACTCCAAAGGGCTATTGATGTATGAAAAGCATTTTCTATAAAGTAAAAATGTCTTTCTATGTATGCAGATAAACCTTGAAATTTGGCAAAACAGCAAAGTATTTTTCATGATCACTAGGTAATTTTTCTGATGATCATTATAATTTCTAATCTAAATTGTTTCAGATTTACATTTAAACAAGCTTTGATCATATGAAAGATATTTATCATAACCAGTAAGCATGACACATGAACCAATTTTTCATTCATGTAATTATATAATTAAAGACATGTTGGTTACATTCTGTTTGTATTTGCAAATACAATGCTACTAGTGATTGCTATATAGCACACCTATATACTTACAGGAGATAATAGTCTAGTGAAATGCCTAATAAACATTTATGGCATTAAGCTGTCCTTAACTGCAAATTTTCACTCTAATAATTTTTGCAATCTTTGGCAGAAAAAATTTTGAGTTTTCTCATAAGGTGAATTTGCTGGCTCGTGTGTGGAGATGGGTAAAGGGTTACAATAAACTTGCATGGTTTGAAGTCTGAGCTTTTCTATATCTATGAACTGTCACTTGTAGTACCAAATTTCTAACTCATTACATAGAGGTTTGAATGGGGGTCTCTAGGGGTCTATGCCTGACAACTTGGTAGAAATTTTAAAGACTATATCTGTTTTTGAATAGCATTATTGTAAAATAAATTTTACGTTCCTAGACATGCTAATGAGCCATACATTTGGCATAGTAATGAGCCTAAATATTTGGCAAAACATTCAAGTATTGTTCACTTCATTTTGTTTTTGAAAAAAACGTAAGCAAAATGTGTTGTGTTTACAAAAAATAATGCCCACAAATCACATTTTGTATTGCTCTAAAACGCTGAAAATGGCATTTTCAAGGCTCTGAAATTCAAAATTTCTCAGGGGAGAATGCCTCAGACCCCTCCCAGTTGCGGCGTGCCTCCGAAGTCTTATGACTGATGTTTAAAAATCCTAGATCCGCCTGTGGTTTTACAGTACCATTTTTTCGACCATCAAGCTTTACTAGAATCTTTTTTTGAGTAGATGTACATTTAAAAGTAAAATACGGCCTGCAGAAACTTTCATGTATTTCGTACGCAAAGTTAAAGTAAACAAACAATAAAATAGTACAAATATATCGTACATAAAATTTAAAATAGTAAGATTTTTCAGTCTAAAGAGTCCTAATAGCAAAATCAGTATTACCGATTCGTTGACACAATTATTTACAAATAACGCCGTAGCTGCTTCGCAAACGTCGGTGTTTTTTACAATAAAGGAGTTCGTTCTGTTGTTTACAGCTAAAATAAAATTTTGACGAAGCAACCACGACAACAAACTTACACTCGTGCCATTCCCTTACACTGTCAAACTTCGTACTCGTTGTCGTAGTCGTATCTTGCTAAAGCTCTCTAATACCTTTATTATACCTATTCTTTAATTCTGAAGGTTGGAATCTATGTATAATGAGGTTCACTTAAATTCTAAATTATGTGGTGTATGGGGGTAAAGACCAACGTAAAGTGACGTAGTTTATGTTACTGTCATGGAAATCAAAGACATAAACAGTCGTAACCTTCTTTTTGGGCCGTTGCGTAAAAAGATTGGGACTAGTTAATTTAATTTCCTGTTCATATTTTTGCGGGAAGCAGCCATATCCATTGAGTTCTATAAGACTTATAGAACTTATAGTTCTTATAGAACTTAAGGTCTTATATAGAACTCAATGGCCATATCACTGAGCCATATCAGTTTCCATAGGTATTTTCGTTGGCAAATCAAGCAAATTATCAACCAAACGTAAATTTAGCGAGCATTGAATTTCTATGACTTGAACTTGATGCAAATAGCATTAATACATTTATCACTATGTCAAGGCCATGCTCATTGTTGAAACTTCCGATGGGCATTTCCTGATTAGACAGTTGACTATTGTCTTGTTGTTGCAGTTTCATATAATTTAGCGATGTCAAATCCTTTGTAGCGTCGTTGAAGATAATAGAACGAATCACCAATATATATTTTGCATCTGTGTTTGTTTCTTGATTGGGATCACTAGATCACTCGATGATTATTCAGGTATTTTTTGCGGAAGTAGAAGATACTTTCCTGCTATAATAGCAGATTACATTTGATGCTCTTCGGAGTTTATTCTGATATAGACGTTTGATGTTTGTAGATGTAGATAGTCATTTGACTTGATAGTCATTTGCTTTGTCGAAACGTTAGTCAACAACAACAAAAACAGTCCTTCTCAGGACTATACCAACCTGGACGATCTACATCTACAAACATGTAACGATACTCCCGGGCTCAAACCATTTACTTTATAGACGTTTGAGTCGTCTCATTTGAGTCTTTACAGACATATGGACAGAACTCTGTCCTATATGGGATTGCGTTCAAGTGACGACTGAGACGAATGAAACAGCTTTAAAATTTGTTTGAGAACCAGGCTTTATATATAGTTACCTACAGTTCAAACTTATAGTTACCTACATATATAGCTCGGCTGCTTTTTTTAATGCTGTGATTGAAGGAGAAGCATTTGAAAACCTATTACTATCCCAAATTCTGCATTTAAACAAAATATCCCCATTATATATATATATATATATATATATATATATATATATATATATATATATATATATATATATATATAATAATATATGTCCTTCATTATCATCTTGTTTCTCTTTCCATAAATTTGTCATATCTTTTGTCTAGTTACTATCCTTGACAGTCTTATGTTATCTTTGATGGTGCATACGTGAGAAATTTATCCTCATTTTTATATCAAGCATTTCACTTTGTGATGATATATTTTCAATTGTGGTTGCACTTACACAGGGAATTGATCAATTTCTCATATTACACAACAACTTATATCCCATTATTTTCTGGCGAAATATATTGGTAAGACCATGTGTAATGTTATGTTTCATTTTTTTAGCCACAAAAGCATGGCAAAAAGTGGTACTGTATTCAATGATCCAATACATGGTTATATTGAACTGGAACCACTCTTGGTCAAGGTTATACACACACCACAGTTTCAACGGATGAAAGATATCAAGCAGCTTGGAGCATCATACTGGGTTTATCCTGGTGCTTCACATAATCGTTTTGAACATTCACTTGGCACAGCCCATCTAGCTGGTAAAATGATTGAGATCCTCAGGCTGAAACATGAGAATGAATTTGAAATTTCTGATAATGAAGTTTTATGTGTCAAATTGGCTGCACTCTGTCATGTAAGTATTTCACAGAATTATTTTTCATCTGAAATTTGTGTTCTTTGCATTTTTTCCAATAGTAAGTAACAACATACTTAGAGAATGCTATCAATAAATTAATAATTTTTCAAGAAGCTATTGAGCGATCATCTATCTACTGTGTTATCAATAACCTTTTGAGATATAAATCTGGTGTGTTATCAATAACCTATTGAGCCATCATCAATGTGGTGTGTTATCAATAACTTATTGGGCTATCATCAATTTAGTGTTATCAATAACCTATTGAGCTATCATCAATCTACTGTGTTATCAATCACCTTTTGGAATATCAGTCTAGTGTGTTATCAATAATCTTTTGAACTATCATCAATCTAGTTTGTTATTAATAACCCATTTGCGTAGATATCATCCATCTAGTATGTTTTCAATAACCTAGTAAGCCATCATCAATGTGGTGTGTTATCAATAACCTGTTGAGATATCATTAATATAGTGTGTTATCAATAAACTGTTGAGATATCATCAATATAGTGTGTTATCAATAACTTATTAAGATATAATCAATCTAATGTGTTATCAATTACCTTCTGTGCTATTATTAATCTAGTATGTTTGAAATAACCTATTGATCTGAGTATCATCAATTAAGTCAATAACCTCTTGAGATATCATTGTGTAGTGTGTTATCAATAACTTATTGAGCTATCATCAATCTAGTGTGTGATCAATAACCCTTTGAGCTAGTCTGTTATTGATACTGTATTATACTGTTAGTTTATTCATGTTTTTCTTTCTTGTACATCTTTGCAAATACTTTCTGCATATTGACATAAAAAAAACACTTTATTAATGATGGTTTGTGACAAGCATAATTGGAGCATTTTGCACTGCAAGTGTAATTTGAACACAGCAATTTCAGGTATAGAATGTAAACTTGATGCATGCAAATAAAGCTACGACAGAGTTTTATCTTCAGATGGACAAATAAAATTGTGTATTCACTCCAAGTACTTTAATCATATTCATGTAAATGACGTCAAAACACCGTCTTTTTAGTTGTAATGCATTAGAGCGGAAAAAATGAGTTTGCTGTTACGTATAAAATGTCTTACTGTTCGCCAAATCTTTGTTAATTCATGTTTTGATTTTCATTCATTTGGTAGGATTTAGGTCATGGTCCTTTTTCCCATGTTTTTGATCATCAAATGAAAAGAAAATTAATCGAGTGGCACATGCAGAAAGAACACGAGTTGATGAAATTATTCAAAAAGACAAAAAGTGATAAAGAAGCCATCAACTATCATCGTGAGCATGTTTCCAAATTATCAAACTGGAGCCATGAAGACGCATCGTGTGAAATGTTTGATTATTTAGTGGAAACAAACCCTAATGTAAAAAAAGCGTTTGAAGATAAAAAATTGAGCAAGATTGATCTAGAATTTGTTAAAGAGTTAATTAAAGGTAAGAAACCTGACGTAGACATTGTCAAACAGACAGTGACCATCAATGGTGTCGAATATAAAAAGTCGTTTCTTTTTGAAATTGTCGCGAACAAGCGCAACGGTATTGATTGTGACAAATTCGATTACTTTGCTCGTGATTGTCACAATCTTGGTGTGAAAAGTAATTTCGATCATTTAAGATATTTTCAAAACGTCCATATTTTCCCAGTTGACGGCGAATTACAGTTGTGTGTTCGCGACAAGCTTGTTTTTAACATTTACGAGATGTTTCACACGAGATGGTCGCTACATCATCGTGTTTATCAACATAAAACGATCAAAGCGATCGAAGACATGATTACTGATGCTTTCGTCATAGTCAATGACAAATACAAATTCTCGGAGGCGATTTCTAATATGGAGGAGTATTCGAAGCTTACTGACTGTTTATTTTATGAAATTATTCGTTGTAAAGACGATGATGAGAATGTAAGAAATGCCAAAAAAATTCTTGAAAAAATACAGCGTCGAGAATTGTATAAATTTTGTGGTGAAACACAACTGAAGGAAAGATTAAAAATTGATGCCACGGAAGCTGCTGAAGAAATAGCTTCGTTTGATGACGACTTGAACGCCAACGAGTTGTTTGTAAGTGTTATCGAAATCGATTTCGGTAAGAAGGATGAAGATCCTGTCGAATCTGTTGTATTTTTCAACAAAGACGAAAAACCTTTACAAATTCGTAAAAATATCGTCAGTGGAATGCTACCGTCAAAGTTTTCCGAGCGGTTCGTTCGTGTTTATGGAAAAGCACTCAAGGAAACTAACGTTGCATCTTCTCCTAACAGTAAAGAGATTGAAGACACAATTGTGAGGTGCTTTCAAAAATGGTGCCAGAAGCATAAATGTGCCTATGCTGATGAGCTTTCTGGTGACAAAACTGGTTATTTTACCCCAGCGAAAGGGAGGAAACGAGTCACACTCGAAGATCAAAACAACGAGGTCAAAACGGCCAAGAGGAAACTTTATAATGACACTGAATTGAAATGAATTAACTGCATGGCAAAAAGGCATTTCTGAGTTAGTCAGCAGTTTACTTTTTATAGAACTCGTATTTTTAGGAAAAGGGTTGCGTATTACAAAGATACGTACTTCGTCAGTCCTAGCACGATTATTGATAAAATAAATGTCCTTGCGTAAGTGTGTCAAATTGACAGAAACATCTATGATAGTGGCATTTAACTGTTCTCCCAACGAACTGATATCGACATGCTGTCATCTTTGGTATTGAATTTATTTTAAACAGTACTTTAATTTTGTGCAGATTATTTCAAATGACTTTTATGAAAATTAATATTTATAATGCGATAATTAAGTTACACATCTAATGTTTATGAATTTCAATTTGGAATCTACACATGGAATGAAATCAATTCATCCACAATTTATGGAAGCCTTTTATACCATAAACTTCATACACTAATTGTCTTTTTTACCTTTTTATGATGGCTAAATTGGTTTATTAATAAAAATATAATCATCTACGTAGGTGTACTCGTTTGATGAGCTCGATCACGATTTTATGTGATTTGTAGTGTTTTGTTCTTAAAACAATAAAATACAGTGTTTTGTATTGTTTTAAGAATAGTATAATACATGAAAGGTACAAAACTTTGATGAAAAATTAATGCTCGTAATTATCAAAAACGCGCTCTCATTCATGAGAAGTTTATTTTTGAATCCATGACTGCGATAAAAATTGCGTTCAACAATAAATCGTCATCTCACCTTGTCAAGTCTTGTCAAGTCTACCATCTTCTTGATCTGAACATTAATTGGACAGACAACGTTTAGGGATATATACTGGTTAGCCTGCCTGTCCGCTAAAATAACTGACATCCTACAACATATTACGTAACAAGAAAAGTAACTGAACTAAAATGTTCATCGCCGATCGATACTGGACTGAGGAAAGAAAATCCGAGGAAGATATTATTCAGCTCTGTGAAAAGTGTCACTGAACGATAAATTGGTTGAATATGGCTGTTTATATGTGGTACGTCAAGAGCATTCGACGTAAGCGCAACACTTTGAATTTAAGGGAACCTGTGTCTGCGATATAAGCTAGACAAAATTCGATGTAAGTCAACATTTAAAAGCCTCCAGGAAAATTGTCAATCTCATTGCATGACTTAAAAAGCTTGTTGAAACGTTTGAAGAGCTTGCAACGGAAGCCATCGGTTAGATCCACAGACCTGAATATTAACTTGAACGGTCTTGACCAAGATGGACGACAAAGAAGAACGGGAGAATGTGTTTTAAGTTTTTATTTTTGTATTTCTTCGAGCTAAGATTAAACCACTAGTTAAATTATTTTTATAGAAGCAAAAGTAATGAATCGAGCAAGTTGCTGCTCAAGTTTGGACGCATTAAAGATCTAACATAATAAAAAAATCAAAAAGAAAGAGTGGAACCCTCCTTTTTTGAGGAATGTTCTTCATCATATTTAGGAATGATCGTCCACTCTCATGACTGAAATTTTGGTGAAATTTGCTTTGAAATTTGCCAGATTTGAGTCCGGTCAAGAAACAATACTCGAACGGGAATAAAAGAACCTCTTGTGTGTATTCAATTAAGTTAGTCCATCATGGAAAGTCTCACTAACTCTTTAAACGAGAGGGTTTTTGATTATAATCCTAAAAAGTTATTGATTTTAAAGAAATATGATGCAGAAAACGTGCACTTATGAATATTCAATCCCAACCCCCCCTAATATAATATCGAGCTGGCAACGCCACTTCCACTTCTTTAAATGGAACGTGTTTTTACAAAGTTCTTTGAAATTGCTTCTTTTTGTTCTTTTAGTTGTTTCAATTTTCGCTCGATTTAATTTAATGTGCAAAAAACAATCATAGCGTTTGAAATAGGCAATAAATAGAAAAAAATTCGAATTTCTTAAAATGATTAAAGACACGATCAGTTGAAAATCGATGATCTTAATTGTTTAAAGACACGCGTTTAATATCAATTTTTTATTATGGTGGAATATTGTCTATGGTAATTAATGATGCATAATGCCACGAGACAATTTTTGGCAATAATCCTAATTTCCCACAGCGTATTGTAATTGATTTACTTATCAAAGATTTAGATCCAGGTTTTGAAAAACTAGATTTGGAAAAATTGAGGTTGCATATCGTCTGTAACAAAAATTTTCTGCTGTACGTAAGAAAATTCTCATCTTTCAGGTACGTTGACTAATGGCGCCACGAAACCATATTGTATTTAAATTAGCGGAGCAAGGGAACATCTTTTATTTACTGTTTATTCAAAATTTGTATTGCTTGTGATATTCATGTTAAATAAACAGGAATTATTTGGTGGTTTTTTTGAGATGTTCAAAAAGCCATTACAAAAAGCAAACAGTTTTCAGACGATTTAATTTTTGTTTTGATTTCTTGTACACAGGAAAAAGCTCGCTGTGTTCTTTTTATTCACTCACAATGTTTATTAGTATTGCTTTGGCATTGTTCTATGTCGCTTGTTTTCTTTCACTCTGTAAAGGTAAGCGCTTAGGGATCGGTAGATTTTCTAAACTGACATAATCTTATAATCATATCGACTGTACAATGACTGAAGTAGTCAAACAGACAAACACGGTGTTTTGCCCAATGGAATCTGCTGAAAGGAAGGAGAAAACACTTGTTTTTCAACGTTCATGACAACATGTCTTAAATAACAAAACAACCCGACACAATGCAAAAGCGTATTCAGCAAATTCTTGAAATTATCGAAGTTAGAATTTTTTATTTACTTTTTTTGAAAATTCAGCATGTATATGGTTCAGAATGTTGTTATTCAGGTGTAAGACGAATTGTACCTATGACTAAAATACTTTAATCTGCAATTTCAGGATCTAATGGTATAAAAGCCACAGAAAAAACTGTAACGCATTCTAATTCTGTAAGTGGAAATCAAACAAACGAACGGTCAATAAATGGTCAAGTATCTGGGTTATGGTAAAAATGGTAGTAATGAAAGTTGGTCAAATAATTGGGGTGGAGGCGGAGCTAGAGGATGTGGAGGTGGAGCTGTTGGTGTAACTTAAAATGGAAATGGAACTGGAGGTGGAGGATGTGAAGAACAAGGTAGGTTTTAAGTTTATATCTGCAACAAATTAGCAAGTTAGTTCGTAATTAGTAACGTCATTTTATGAAGTACTTGCATTTTATTTGCTATTTCAGTTTTATTGTATTTAATCTTAGAAATTACTCAAAGCCTAAATGCAAAGCGTGTTGCTTTTTTAACTTTTAAGGTTTCAGTGACTTTGAGCAAGGCGTTGCAAGCCCAGAACAAGTATCGTACAATCCACAACGTTCCAGCCATGAAACTCAACAGTCAAATGAATGAAGAAGCAGCAGAATGGGCAGCACACATGGCATTATTGGATACTTAAATACATGCATCTAGCGTTGAAAGAAATGGTGACGCTGAAAATATCTATTATGGCTGTGGTATGCCTGTCTCTGGAGGAGAAGTCACAACTGAACGGTGAGAAAGAAAGCTACTACTGTATACTACGATTACCATTAAGCATGTAAGAAAATTAAGAATGTATTGCAAGCAATTTCTGTCGTAAAGTAGATGTATGAAATCATATAACGATTCAGGTTGTGATTATCTGTTTATGTTAAAAGCTAAAAAATAATATCTTAATCTAACATTAATTTGCAATAAATGACATTCAAGTTTTTCGGTTGAAAGTTTCTGCCAAATTTTGCGCTTCCATGGTGTTTCAAAACGTTCGAGTATCAATTAGTCAGAATAAGGATTTTTGAATTCGGAATTGAGTGATTTATAATGTTAACAATTGATCATTTAAGAAATCAAACGATGTTTGCCTTGTTTGCACAAGATTATGAAAACGAGCGGATCTTTTGGAGAACTTGATAGTGAATCACACGAAAAACATCTTTTATTTCTTTTATAAAATAACAAAAATGCCAAAGAATTGCAAATTCTCTTTGATTGATTAAATGATTTGGTTTGTTGAGCTAAGAGCGGTTGCTTAGGCTAATGCAAACACAGCACTACCAATCAGCGCGTGTTTTATTGTTTTACCTGTTGATGATTGAACCTTTATATCTTATTTAAAAAAACTAATCATAGAACTTTGATGTCCAACTTGCCAGTTCACCATAGATCTGATATGCTACTAGCCCAGTCTTGCTTGCTATGTTGATGGTCGTGCTAACAGACGACAACTAGAGTGGAGGACCCTTAGATCATGATGCTTCCAGAATATATTGTGAAATTTAGTTACTGTGTGATTAGGGAGCAAGATAGAGTCTACTCCAGAGAAACGGGCTTATGCCTTACAAAGTAAGGGGAATGAAGATTAGCAAATAAAAAGAGACAATGTTTATATGTCTGAATATGAGTGACACTAATAAAACAGCGAGTTTACAGGATTTTTGCGTTTTTTAGTGTCAGTTGGCTTTACAGTTTATAAGTAAAAATATTTCTTGAGTTTATGGTGCTGAAAACGTTTAATCACAGCTAATTAAAGTTGTAGGTATAAGGAGGTGTGTGATTATAAATTTGATACTCACGTATCGCATGAAGGAAAAGCTGAAGGAAGAGCAAGTCAGGAGTTGGGAATCGGAAAATGAATCAAAGGAGATTGTACCTTCGTTGTTGCACGATACAAACCTCCTGGAAACTGGTTTGGGAAAGAGAATGAAAATGTGTGCGAAGGATCTTACGATCCCTCATTTTGTGAAAATCCCGAGTGGGTTCCGTCCACTGAGGGGGAAGATGTTCAAGCGGGTGAAGGTAAAGAATTGGGAGGTAGTACCCAGGGAATAGGAGCAAGAGGTGTTGATGGTTCTTTGGTAGGAGCAAGAGTAGGCATAGCTAGATTACATAATGATCAGGTGGGGGACGTCAAAGACACCTATAACCTAAAGGATGAATCTTAACTTTAAATGGTATTTTCAGCTCTCAAAGGCTTAAAAATGTTGATGAGTGTAACTGTACACTTAATGTTGATTAAATAATTCTAGAATTATTAAAATTATGTTATCATTTGAGTTGGATTGGAAATTAAAATGTCAGATGGATTTGAAATTAAAATGTCAGATGGATTTGAAGTGTCGATGATGTACTGAGCACGAACAGTCAAGCTTTTGAATTGTGTGGTTACCCATTTCTATCATTACCAATTTATTCTTAAGCTACAAACTATTTACCTTTTTTTCAACCAATTTTTTTTTTGTTAGACTGTCTGAACATTAACGTCTCTCAGTTATCTTTTTAATCTAGTATGAAATAGTGTTGGTACTGCATCATATTCCGTATACACTTTGCTACCTGATCTTTTCGTTATGTTTTAATAGAGTTTTTAAATGCATGTTATAATGCTAAAAAAAATGATTTCGAAGGAATTTATCACAAAAAATCATATGCATTGTTGCTTTTTATCGAGATGGCGAGATAAAGTTTTTAAAAATCATTGCCTTTGGTTGATTTATTTGTCTTACTATGCGCTCACCAACAAAGCAACAAATTTCTATATTTTCAAAATAGTAAAAAACAAGTTTAGTTGAAAGATAACGATCTTAATTGTTTTGCAACACGTGTTTAAAAAAACTTTTGCCAACGTTTTATTGTGGAGTTTTGTTTACGGCAATTAGTGATGTATAGTGCCACCAGACGATTTTGGTCTTTGTTGACTGCATATTTTCAGTGATTTACATATGTAGTTGCAGGTACTGGAGATTGCATGTTGTATTTGACCGAACTATTCAGCCGCACGTGAGAGAATTTTTATTTTTCAGGTATGTTAACTATGGGTGCCCTGGGCACTGAAAGTCCATATCACTTGTATTATGTAGAGGAGTGAGATAGCATATTTTATTCATTCTTCCTACTGGACAAATTCTTGCATGTGATATTTGTGTCAAATAGTCAAGACGTACTTCACGCTTTTTTCCGAGGCGTTAGACGTTCGACCAGCCATTGCGAAAAACAAACTGTTTTTGATATCTTGTTTTTTTTTCTTCATAGCTGTACACCGAAAAGAGCTTGTTGTGTTCTGTTAATTCATTCACGATGTTCGTGAGAACTAGCGTGGCGTTGTTTTATGTAACTTGCGTTCTTTCTCTCTGCGAAGGTAAGTGTTCAAGAATCTGTTGATATTCAAAACCGATGGCTATATTTTTCCACTCTGATTGGCATGAGCGGTCGAGCTGAAAACCAGTCAAGTTGGCACTATCTAGACGCTCTGCCGCAAAAAAACGCATAAAAACATGATTTGTTTGAATAAACATTTCTTTTTTTAACAGTATACTGACAACATGTCTCAAATCAGTATGAAACAACGTGAGAAGATTCTTAAACCATATTAAACATCTTATAAGTTTTTTCATTATAATGAAATTACCGATATTAAAGTTTTCGTTTAATTGAGCTGTTTTTAACCCATCAAAGGAAAGTTTTCAAATTTTCTTTTCAAAAAACTGTACTCATAAAAAATACTTTTATTTGCCGTTTCAGAATCTTACGGTATAAAAAGCACAAACAAAAAATCACAGCATTCTTTTCATTCAGTTGGAATGTCAAAGCATAGAAAAGGTGAGATATGTTTTTGTTTCCTACTAATACCTTCTCCAAAAAATCATATGACTTACAAAGTCTTTTCTTAAAAACAGACTGTGTACCATTTTTTGATGTTTTTGTAGTGGCATATTTATATGATACGCAAACAACTGCATCTGTTTCGCTAAATTTTTTCAAAATACATTTTGTTATTAAACAGTAACTTTGCATGTACACTGGAACTGGTTATTTGAATAATCAAAAGAGTTGAAAGTTAAAACTCTTAGTTGTTAATATGCAAATGGCGCTTCATAGGCAGTCACTTTTTTAAAGCAATAAAGAAACATATTTGCAAGTTTTCAAAAGGCCAAAAGACAAGTTGAGTTGAAAGGCGATTATGTTAATTGTATAACGTGTTCAGTGTCAACAGTTTATGGTGGAGTATTATCTACAGTAGTTAATGATGCATATAGTGCCACCAAATGATTTTTTAACAGAAATCATTTTGCATTTTTTCCCAAAATCTAAATTGTTCTAGCAAACTTTTAACTACCAATCCATGGGATCGGATTGTGCAAAGGTTAACCGAGAGATAGATACTGAATCAAATTTTTATTGTTTAACACTCCTATCTTACGTAAGTTATTTTGCATGTTGTTCTACGACGTTCCGTCTTTTCATTTCAGTTGAATGCCATAACAAACGACGACGTAAATACAAAATGTCGACAATTACAATCGACGACATGAAATACGGTTCTACGTTTAGAATATAGATTAACAAATATCAAGTAGCGGTATAAGGAAAATTAAAGAACTCTGGGGTGGGCTCGATAGGCGAATTTTCAAATCCACTGCTAAGGGTGGACTGGAGCCCCCCCTGCCGTCTTATATTTTACTGCCAAGATAAGATTTGTACTCCAAGATTTTCACAAATTTTATATATCAATTTGATAATTGACTTAAGTCTCATTAACCTGCAAAGAAATTGTACACCATTTTTTGGAAACAACGCGTTTGCTTATTGTTCGTTGGTTTTCTAGCGGCTCGATAAAAATACATTCAACCTGTTTCTGCAACCATCTAAAAGCCTGGTTCCTCACTTTCAATATATGCATATAAAAGCATAAATAAGTGTTCTCACTTTCTATAAACTATAATGGACATAAGAATATAAAATACGGAGAGTTTTGATAATCTTGATCTGATGCTTATGTTTATATCGCAAATAAGACCTGGCTTAACTTTGTGATAATTTAGGATACTCCTCCGTAAACAGTGTCTGTTGACGAGTACGCATATTTGGAATTCGTAGAGGGGTATAAACAAACGCCCTTGTACATTTGACCCGATGTATAAGCCTATACAGCAATAATCCAACTGCATTTCATAAAATATCCATATTATAATATGTTTTAAACTTTAATGTTAAGACACCACTGAAAGTGAGACAGGAGATGGAGAACAAAGTATGTGCCAAGCTTACTGCTGCAATTAAATATTGATTTTGTTGGAATCCGTAAAGTTTTCTTATTTAATGCTAGTGTGTGAATTCCTAAGCTACCTGATTTTTGTAGTATAATATATTTAATCTTTTCCACTTACATACTACTCGCAGTATAACTCCAAAAACACTTGCATTTTTACTTAAGGTGTCAGTGACTCTGAGCAAGAACCTTTCCAGGCGCACAAAAAGTATCGTGCCGTCGACGATGTCACAGCCATTAAACTTGACAGTCATATGAATGTTGCTAGAGGTGGAGCTAAAGGTGGCAAAATGAGTGATAAAGATGGAGATGGAGGCAGTGTAATGGATGGTGGAGGTGAGGCTGGAGGTGGTGAAGGTGATGGGGAAGCTGGTGGAGGTGGAGGTGGAGAACAAAGTACGTTTTAAGTTGATATCTTCAATAAATTAGTAAGTTAGTTAGAGTAATCAGTCATGTGGTTTTGTGAAGTACTCGTATTTTATTTGCTGCTTCAGTTTTCAAGCAAATTATATTTAATTTTTGGAATTACACCAAGCATAATTGCAAAGCATGTGACATTTTTTACTTTAAGGTCTCAGTGAATTCGAGCAAGAAGCCTTGCAGGCGCACAACAAGTATCGTTTAATCCACAATGTCGCAACGATGACAATGAACAGTCGAATGAATGAAGAAGCAGGAGAATGGGCTGCAAACATGGCATCATTGGGTAGATTAGTACATGCATCCAGCGAGGAAAGAAATGGTGATGGTGAAAATATCTACTATGGCTGTGGTATGTCTGTCACTGGAGGATCAGTCACAACTGAATGGTGAGAAGCAAAACCACTACTAACTGCTAAACCGCTGCAAACTTTGAACTTTATTGATATTTACGAAATGTGTGTTAAACTGCAATAACCGTTTTTAAAAATTCTGTATTGTATTGCAATCAGAGCAACAAGTGTTGCGTGGCGCAAACAGAATTTTTAAGGTCGAATCATAATCTAGATTGGGTTTATCCGAATAATTCAAGATTGCATCTTTTGTAGACGACTCAAATTCGTGGATAATATTAGTTCCTGCAAAGTTGTGACACGTGAGAGTCCAGCTAGATTTCTCAGAAAGCTGGTGTGCAGTATAACTTTTGTGGTGAGAAAAAGAAAGAGAACAATGAAGTACAGCCTGTACGTACTTTTATAGGTTGACTAAAGTTTGTCCAGCCTGTACGTACTTTTAGATAATTAAACATGTGAGTGATCTGAGAAAAAGGTTGAAAAGCGCTTGGAGTCAGGGCCCTGTGGGGTAATGGGTGGTGGAGGCACTTGGAGTCAGGGCACTTAGAGTCTGGGCCCCTAGAGATGTGGGGGGGGGGCTGGGCAGCAAAATACCTAAAGGCCCCTTTCCTTACTCTAAAGACCATCGGCTGCCCATTTATTTGATAGCAAATTTTAAATACAAACTTTGTAAAGCATGTGATAAAAGTATAAACTTAGAATATAGCGTTTGAAGCGTTTGCATACGATGACTGAATGTTACTTGAGATGGATTATTTCGCGGGATTTGATCTGGCAGTCTTTGATAAGTTCGTCCATATTAATTTCACTTATATCGTCCTCAATGAGTTTACCGTGATTCATTGTCATACGTAGTCTGTTCTTCATTAACTGATATTGACCTAACGAATAAACAAAATGTTTTTCCTTGTTCTGTAAGGCAAAATGTTCAATTTTCCTTTAAATGATGTGGACGCCCCTGGGCAGCCGTCCAGTCTTGCCCTTGGTTAATTTGGCCTTGCTTGGTGTGTCTGATGTGACTAGTCGTACAAGATTTAGGGCTATTTGAAACATTGAACTGTACATGCAACGAACGCATTAAAAACAAAAGAAAATGAGATGAACTTCCTCATTTAAATGCGTTTGGTTCATGTAAAGTTCGATGTTTGAACTAGGCCATAGTGATGAAATAAGGAAAGTAAAAAAAGAGGTGAAAAAAGCTTAAGGAAGGCATACGAGGAATGTTTTCTAGGTTTCTTGTGTTTCTTGTATGATATGGGATAGCATTAAGGATCTGCTACGAGCCCCTTCCTTTTTTCCATGGTGATCATTATGCTAATATATGAAGTTAAACTGAAGTCCTATCGACTATTGGTGAATAAGAGCGAGTCAAATAGAATAATGAGGTTATAGGAAGTCTTGCAATCGTTTTTCATGTAGCTTGGCTTTTAAGTTTATGAACTTTATTTCAAGTAGTGATATTTCCCAAGATCATAATGCTGAAATAATTCACTTGAAGCTGGTTTCTCATACACGTATGTTTTTCCTCATAGGTATAAGGAGGTGTGTAATTATGATTTTGACACTCACAAATCATCAAATCAACGAGCTGTCGGCCATTTTACACAAATTGTGTGGAAAAAAAGTTTAGAGTTGGGAATTGGAAGATCATATAAGGATGACTGTACTTACGTTGTTGCACGGTACAGGCCTCCAGGAAATTATTTTGGTCGAGAACCAGAAAATGTTTTCAAAGGAACATACGATTCGTCGTTTTGTGAAAATCCCGTGTGGGTTCCCACCATTAAAGGGGAAAGTGACGCTAAGGAAAAAAGTGGAAGACGCGTTAAAGCAAAAGGGAGGGAAGATTCTTTTTTGGAAAGCAAGGATACGCATAGCGTTAATAGAAAATGGGAGGTGGTGACGTCATAGAAAACCATGACTTACAAAATAAATCTTAATTTCAATTATATTTCCCCCGTGTTAGGCAGAAGCTAAAGAATATTGATGTGTTTATGGGTAAACTTGATGATAATTAAATAATTCCAGAATCATTAAAATAATGTTAACATTTGAGTTAACATATCAAAAAATGTTGTACAGCATTTTTAATGTCATTAAAGCTCCACTTTGGAAAAGAAGAGAAATACATAAAAACTGCTTGAAAAGGTGAATGTTTGCTGGATTAGACTACGGACTGTCAAGCTTTTTGAATTTAATCTCGATAATTTCTTACATGTTACCAATTTGCGTACAAAAGCTAGAAATCGTTTACCTTCTTTTTCAGCCGACATTTTTTTGCAAGATAGTTTAGTGAATAACGTCTTTCTGGTACATAATTGTCTATGTAGTCTACTATAAATAGAGTTAATACTGCCTAATATTGCCCGCATACACTTTGCTACCTGATATTTGTTTAATGCTCTGAGCATTATGATCAAAGCAAATAATCTGTTCCACTTTAATAGAACAGTAAAGAATGACTGTTTATAATATCCATGCACTAAGTAAAAATTCTATGTTCTTCTTTGCTTTAAGGAAACTATATGCAATGACTGTTTCTTTATAATGTATATGCACTAAGTAAAATTCTGCGTTCTTCTTTGCTTCAAAGAAACTATGCTAATGAGTGTTTCTTTAATTACAATGTCTATGCACTAAGTAAAAATTCTGTGTTCTTCTTTGCTTCAAGGAAACTATATGCAATGACTATTTCTTTATAATGTGTATGCATAAGTAAAATTTCTATGTTCTTCGTTGCTTCAAAGAAATTATGCCATGACTGTTTCTTTATAATGTGTATATGCACTAAATAAAAATTCTGTGTTCTTCTTTGCTTTAAGGTAACTATGAAAGTTGCTCCTTTTGTGGACTTCACAACATCCAATGATTAAAGTGTTGGCATTTTGTAAGAAATGACGATAAGATAGCGTGTTTGTTTTCAAAAAAATGAAATTTCATTTGAGCTGAATGTGGGAATGTAACACCAGGGGGTTCATAGATATTTTTGGCGAAGCAAATTGGTCCCCTTTCATTTGGTATCATTTTCCCAGTTCACTGTATTGTTTTCAAAACAAAATTTCAAAGACTACTGACACTTTAAACCTGTGATCTTACAAGCTTCATGGTAGGGTGAGGTAATATTTATAAATGCATATTACAATGCTGAAAATTAACTTATTTTTAAGAAACTTAACGCATAAAAACATATGCATTGAAAAATATTTCCCTTTATCCAATTGGCGAGGCTGCTATTTGAAACCTAATGTATTTTGATAAAGATTTTAAAAATCACTGTTATTTTCCTTTTTCTAAATTTTCACTCTACTTAATTTATTTTCCTAAAGGAACTCAAATTGCTTATGTTCGACACTTGGACAATAAAGAAACAAATTTTTAAATCTTAAAATTGTTAAAAATCAAGTTTAGTTGAAAAGCAATGATCTTAATCGTTTTACGACATGTGTTTAAAATAACTTGTGGCAATATTTTATTGTGGAGCAATGTCTACGGCAGTTAGTGATGAATAGTGCCACCAGATGATTGTGTCTTTTTGTTTACTAATATTGTTAATAATTTACCTATATAATTGCAGGTACTGAAGATTGCATCTTGTCTGCGACCAAAATTTACTGCTGTAGCTACGTAAGAAAATTTTGATCTTTCAGGTATGTTGACAATATAGGTGCCCTAGGCACTGCAAAATTGCGTATCGTTTATTTTAGAGCCTATATATAAAGAGTAAGACAACATTATTGATTGATTCTGCTGGGCAAATTATTGTACGTGATATTTGTATCAAAGAACCAGGAAGTATTTGAACAGCCATTCAAAAAAAATTTGTCAAAGACTTATCATTTTCATTCTTTTATTTGTTTTTCACAGAAAAAACTTGCTGTTTATTCATTAACGATGTTTTTGAAGATTGGTTTGGCATTGCTCTACGTAACTTGTTTTCTGTGTCTTTGTGAAGGTAAGTGTTCAAAGTTCAGTTGATGTTTGAAACTGATTTATGTCTACTGCATACTAGCCTAAGCCGTAGAGCCAAAAAGAAGTCAAAGTGGCGCTATCTAGACGTTTGTAGAAAAAATATCATAAAAAAACATAATTTCTTTGAAAAAACATAATTTGTTTTTCAACATGAATGATAACATCTCAAATAATGACAGAATAAAGCGAGAAAATGTAAAACTGTATTCAACTGTAGAATTTTTTCGTAAGTCGAGCTCTGCTCATGTGTCAAATTTTGAGAACGTTGCTTGGTTCAGGATGTTGTAAGTATCTTTATGTCTCTAGCTAATAAGATGTTGCCGTTTCAGAATCTTACGGTATAAAAAGCACAAACAAAAAATCACAGCATTCTTTTCATTCAGTTGGAATGTCAAAGCACAGAAAAGCTGAGAAATTTTTTATTTTTCATACCAATACCTTTTCACATTCATCAAATATTTAATTTTGCACGTGTAGGGGAAATGGTCATTTATTAAATAACAAATAATAAATGTGCAATAAAATTGATTATTTTAATAAATAACTAAACTTAAAACATTAATTGAAACTGATAATTAATTAAATAATCAAAAGAGTTCGGCTGGAAAATAGCTTATCAAATAAATCTGGAAAACGTTTGGCGTAGAAATTCTAAGTAGTGAAAATGCAAATGGCACTCTGTGGACAGTCACTTTCAAGGCATTAAAGAAACATAATTGCAAGTCTTCAAAATGTCGAAAGACAAGAATAGTTGAAGGCGATGATCTTCATTGTTTAACGACACATGTTTGTTGTGCACTTGTATCAACATTTTATGGTAGAGTATTGTTAAAATTAATTTGTGCATAGTGCCACCAGACGTTGTTTTTGGCAACAATTCGTATTGGCTTTTTTCCATTTTATTCACAGTGAATTGTAACTGATTTTCTTGCTTCTGGATGAATTGTTGCTTGTGACAGAAATTATTTTGCATCTTTTTTTCCAAAATCGAATTCTTCTAGCAACCTTTAAGAGTATCAGTCCTAAAGATTTGATGGTGCAAAGTTGCCTTGAATGATAGATACTGGTTCAAATATATTGTTTAAAATGTTTCAACTACTTCAACGCGCTGCCTTTTCATTTCACGACTTCAGTTGATTGTCATGATGATTAACGATATAAAACACAAAACGTCGAAAACTTTACAACTGACGACATTATGAATTATGATTGCTACATTTAAACCATGCATTAACCATTATTAGGTACAGGCAGTAGGGAGGATTATTAAAGTCTGAGGGATGGTCGACAGTCGAATTTGAAAACCACTATTGGTGGACGGGAGGGTTCGACTGTCGAATGTAAAAACCGCTCTGGGTAGATTGGAGCATCCCTGTCTTCGTAATTTTTACGGCCAAGACGAAGCTCGTACTCCGAGATTTTTACAAATTTTATATCAAGTTCATGATTGACTTTCATTTCATCAACAAGCAAAAAAATGCAAATTTTTTTTGGCAAACAATACGTTTATTTATTGTTAAAGTTTTTTTGTATTTTCTGAATAATAAAACACTGAACTGTACTCTGAAATTAAAATATGAATAGAGCTCCAAAAATGAGCATTAATACAATTTTCCAAGTTTACATTCCTCATGAACAAACGGTGTTTGTTCTGCTCTTTTCTATGTTTGCAGCATAAATAAGAATTTGTCGGTGAATTTTCAAATTTTTCATTTACATTGAGTTCAAATGAGTTGAAGTTTTAAAACATCAATATCAATACTAAGTTGACATTTTCAGTTCAATAAAATTCTTGAAGTGCAAATAAAAATATCAAGTATGAATTGGCTTAAAGCCTGATCATCACTTGCTATATAAACATATAAGCATAAGAGTAAGCGTGCTCAGTCTCAATAAACTACAATAGGCATACGAATATAAAAAAACGGAGATCTTTGACTTGAGCTTATGTTTATGTTGCAAGCAAAGACCTGGCTTAACTGCATGATAATTTACAAAACGCCTATACTTAAACAGTTAACGAGTGTACACACATTTGAAATTCTTAGAGGGGCATGCCCAATGAAAAAGTAGCAATAATGCACTGCATTTCACAAAATATGCGTATCGAAATATGTTTTTAACTTTAATGACAAGGCATCACTGAAGGTGAAGCTAGAGATGGAGTGGCAGATGAGGAACAAAGTAAGTGTTCAGCTTACTGCTGCATTTAAAATATAAATTTAGTTGAAAAATGAATAAAATATGCTTATACAGTGCTTATATACATAACTTTCATGATTGAATCTTTTTCAATCATGTATTGCTTGTGGTATTACTGAAAAACCTCCTGGATATTTGGCGTTTTTAAGGTTTCAGCGACTTTGCGCAAGAAGCTTTGCAGGCGCACAACGAGTATCGTGCAATCCATGATGCACCGGCCATGACACTCAACAGTCAAATGAATGAAGAAGCAGCAGAATGGGCAGAACACTGGGCATCAAAGGGCTCTTTAGAAATAGACTATTCGCCTCACAATGAAAGAAATGGTGACGGTGAAAATATATATCTTAGTTGTGGAATTCCTGTCTCTGGAGAATCTGTTACGACAGAGTGGTGAGATGCAAAGTTTTTTACAAACAAAGGTTTATTATCTTCGGAATAAATTTTGAATTAAAATTACCACGTATCAAGCGTTTGCAAAAATTCAGAATTTAATAGCAATCCCGGCAAAAATCCGTGAACAATCTAGTTTGTGATTATGTGCTCATTTCAAAAGCTGGAAAATGACACCAAAAGGCCATGCATAAATGATCAGTGGCGTACCAGAATCGTTAATTGGGGCACAAATTTATATATGCATGTCTTAATCCGTTGAAAACAATGCATTTCACAGGAACTTAATGCGGCAGAACATGAATATATGAATATTTTTGAAACCTTTTACGACAAATTTTTATGCGGCGAATTTTCTTTGATCTTCTATACGTATCAACATATCACATTTGGTTGATTTGTCATAATATCTTTGTAGACCTTACAGACGAACAAAATCAGTCAAGTGGCAAGTTTTCTATGACAAATGCATTTGTTCAAAAGCTGACATGCTAGCTTTTGAACAAATGCATTTTTCAATGAAAACTTTGCTAAAAAGTCCCATACAGACGATACAGGCAAATGACATTTTCCACATAAAAATTTGTCCAAAAATTCGCTCTTCTTTAAAATGGGTTAATTGATCAAGTTGCCTTAAATGGCATTTTAAATGTTTTATAAAGCATCCGTGGTCTTCACTGCTAGAAATTTTTATGCCCCACAGACCAAAGGTAAATTAGAAAACAAGGGAAAGTTCTTGAGTAAGTTATATGAAGTGATACAGAGTATTTCTATTAGAAAGAAGATAAAACATAGAATTTGTCGTTGTGGCAAATTTGAAAATTGTCTTAAAAAGAGCATTTTCTATGGTGAATGGCCTGAAGGTGTTGAATTCAGTTTTGGGGACATGATATACTAACAAGTTGAGTTCTCCGCTCCGACCGGTACTTGCAAGTGACGTATTGGGTTACTCTTGGTTTTCTCTTAGTTTTCTCTTGGTTTTCTCTTAGTTTCCTCTGGGTTTTCTCTGGAAAGTTCTTTCTCTGTTTTCTCTTTGGCTTATCGGTTTTTCTTTTGTTTCAGGCACTTCACCATTGCAATTGTTCATTTTTAAGGCAGTATTCAAAGTAAGAGGATAGTGACAGGTGTTGACTTCAGTATAGCTGTAGCTGTGCAGCAGATAAGAAGGACAAGGGCAGTACAATGAACAAAGTGGCTTGAGCTGTAAAAGGAAGAGTGCTGTGTGACTCTATTGAAATAGCTGGTTCAGGCATTAGATGCCAAGATGCGCTTCCAGATGACTGGACTAGTGATCAGAGAAAAAGGTATAAAAGCACTTCGTGTGTCGTCTGGAAAAAGTAGAAAAGGAGATTTAGTGGTAGAATAAAGAAGTGCACGATAGGGTTAAAGCAGAAGTGGTTATTGTACAGGACAGCTGATATGATAAGTGAATTAAAAGTTGATTTATACGGAGATAGAGAAGTAGAGATGTAAAAGATGTGCAGAAGATTAAAGTTATTATAAAAAACATTGGAATGTTTTGACACATGCCCAAAGTGTGACTGGAAGATAGAAAGAGTAATTTAAAAAGTTTATGTACTCTTTCCCTCAGTTAACAAAGAAAGAGGTGACTGCTGTATACTAAGAGGTTGCGAAAAATTTTTTAAAAGCGTTAAAACAGAAGGAATAGTATTCGAGTTGATCCCGATTACACTTTAGAAAAATGCAGGAAAGTCTGAGAGATGTGTGTGTAAAGTTCTTGATACACAATTTTTAACAAGATTCTGAGAGATGCCCGAGAAATGGAATACAAGTGTGTTGAAGAACAAGAGAGACTTGCAATGCTGTAGTGAATACAATAAACCTTTAATAACCGAGCTCGAAGTCTTTACGGTGAAATATTGCACCGATGTCTTTTTGTACAGACCGAGCCCGTAGGGCGAGAAAGCGAGGTTATTGAAAGGATTATTATATGGCATTATTTGACCTGAAACGAAGCTTGTTTTCTTTCTCGTCATTGTTGTTTTTTACCGGTTGGCTATCACCTTTCTAGTTTTCGCCCATAAAAAATAAATCGTTTCAAATTGTATCGTCTGGATAGTTTAACTGTTTTCGAAGTGTTTTTCCTTCGAATCAAATTCGTAAATGGTTTTTTGTTCGTTTATTTTGCGTTTTGCTGTTTGCATTGCAAACTTTGTTTACATTTGACAGTAAAATTACGCATTTTTGGATCGTGGTCGACTACGGGAAAATAATGGACCAGCAAAAAAGTTTCTGTGCCAATCAAAGCGCCATTTTTCCGGAAATGACGCTTGCTATATAATAAAGAGTGATAATGGTTGTACTATAAAGTTTTTTGACACAGTAGTGGAAGCTAGGCTAAAATTGTGGGCGTTTTGTGTGCTGTAGGACAGAAAATTTAAGGTTGATGTAGAATTACTCAAAGTATCTGCCAAAATCGCCCCTCTTGTTTTCGACGACTGGAGACCCGGTGGACCATGATGCTTCCAGATACTACTGTTACTTGTAATGAGAATAGTTAGAGGATATTTAACAGCGACTTCTAGAGAAACACGGATGCATGCCTTACAAAGTACAGCAGTGAAGGTTTGCCAAAAAGAAAAAATATGTGTGTGTGAAAATGAATGCGCTAGTGAATTCTCTGGGATTTTGCGATTGTTTTGATCTGAGTTGCCTTTTCATTTTATAAACTTTATGACATGTAGAATTATTTCTGAAAGTGGCAGTGCTGAAAAAATTAAATCAAAGCTAATTTTGTTTACAGGTACAATGGTGTGTGTAATTATGACTTTGATACTCACAGATCGAGGGGAGCTGGCAGCGATTTTACACAAGTTGTGTGGAAAGCAAGTGTAGAGTTGGGAATTGGAAAATCAACTAAAGGACGCTGTACCTACGTTGTTGCACGATACAAGCCTGCAGGAAACTGGGTGGGGGAAGATAGTGAAAACGTGTTAAAAGGATCATACGATCCCTCGTTTTGTGAAAATCCTGAGTTGTTTCAGACCACTAAAGTAGGAAATGATGCTCAAAGAAAAGGTGGAAGACGGGCTAAAGCAAAAGGAAGGGCGGATTCTTTTGCTGGGAGCAAGGGTAGGCATAGTTCGAATAAGAAATGGGAAGAAGGTGGCGTCAAAACAACCCATGATTTAAAAGATAAATATTAATTTTAAATTACATTTTCCCCATGTTATGCAAAGCTAAAGAATGTTAATGTGCTTAATGGTGGACTTGATTTTAATTAAACTAATAGGATTACTAAATAAATAAGATTACTAAGACTATGTTATCGGGAAGAGTTACATAGTATCAGAAAATATCTTTGTTGTGCAGCATCTGTACGTCATTAATTAAAACTGTCCGTGGCAAAGAAAGACATTTAAAAACCTTCTTAAAAAAATTTAAGCTTGACGGTTTGTCGGTCGATGATCGATCACTTTGTTCCACTTCATTAGCATTGAGGAATGACTGTTGTTTAATTTATCAATCCACGAAGTTAAAAACTTACAGTTCTTTACGTCAAAGAAAATATGGAAATTCCTTCTTTTTGTGGACTTAACAACATCGAAAAAGAATATTTCAGGGATTACAATTACTAGCTAGTATTCATGTTTTTCCATGTTATAATCTTAACAAATAATTGATTTCCAAGGAGCTTTTTACATAAAAAAATATAAACATAGAAATATCGCCCTTTGTCGAGTTAGCAACGCTACAACTTGAAATGGATTGTATTCTGATGAATTTCTTTAAAATCACTGCCTTTGGTTGCTTCTTCTAAATTTATTGTCAAAAAAAAACCACAGAAATGAGCTCTGTTCGACATTAACGCAACAAAGAAATAAAATTGCGACTTTTCAAAATGTTAAAAAACAAGTTTAGTTGAAAGGTAATGTGCTTAGAAGGATGCAAAATAGTTATTGAAAAACATTTAAAATTAATTAGGATTAGTATTGATATAGACTTGGGATTAGTAAAATTGTTATCATTGTTTCGTTTAGATACAAGAAAAAAATGTACTTATAGCTATTATCAGGCTACGCCTTAATTAAAAGTTAAAAAATATAGAAATAAGGCCTGTTTAATACGTTGCATTTTACATGAGCCGAATGCATTTGAAAAAAAGATAATGAGGAATTTTATCTCATTTTCATTTGTCTTTAATGCATTCGGCTCATGTAAATTGCCATGTTTGAAACGAGCCAAATAGTCAGTCTTTAGCAAGCTGTCAATATAGGGAAATTATAGAAAATAAAATATATATGAGAAACAACGCCATTGCGTGCTCTTCGTCGAGTTCTTCGGAAGACAATGATGTTAATTGTAATACAACATATGTTTAAAATAGCTTTTGTCAACATTTTATTGTGGAGTATTGTCTACGGTAATATGTGATGTATAGTGCCACCAGACGAGTATAAACTTTTTGTCTGCAGAGTATTGTTACTTATTTACTGATAGCTAGATGCAGGTAGTAAAAAACTATATTTCGAAAATTGGAGATCGCATATGATGTTGTCTGTGATCGAAAGTTACTGCTGTATGTAACAGAGTTTTTATATTTCAGGTATAAGATGTTGAATGTAGGCGCTCCATGATTTATATTTAGTAGATGAGTAAAATAACATCTATTTAGTGTTTCTGCTGGACAAATTATTTTGAATTATATTTGTGTCAATAATATAATCAGGAATTATTTGGCGTTTTTTTCGGGCTGTTTAAACAGCAATTGCATGAAGCAATCAGTTTTCAGACGGCTTATTCTTGCCCTTGTTTTTGTTTGTTGCGCACAGGACATAGCTGGCTGTGTTCCGTTCTCATTATTTCATGACGTTTGTAAGTATTGGACTGGCGTTGTTCCTTCTAACTTGTTTTTGTTCTTCTCTCTGTAAAGGTAAGCGTTTAAGGATCAATTGATATTCATGACTGATGTAATACTATCCACTATATAATGACTTATTAGTAGTCTAAGACAATAGCTGCTGAAAGTTTGAAATATATATCATTCGTTTTTCAACATTCATGACAGCGTGTCTTAAATACTATGAAACAATGCATGGAAATGAAAAAGCGTATTCAAAAAGTTAATGCATTTAGTGATGTTACAGTTTTTTTAACAGACATTCCTTTTGATTAAGAACACTGAACTCATAGAAAATACTTTTATTTCGTCCTTCAGAATCTTGTGGAATAAAGTCTACAAACAAAGAATCAAAGCATTTTATTCATTCAATTGGAAGGTCAAAGCACAGAAAAGGTGAGAAAAATTTATATTTCGTACTAATAGCAACCTTACATAACCACATAGAAATCTTTTTCTTCCAAAAATGTGTACCATTTTTGATGCGTTTATGGCTAGAATTTTTCAGGATGTGCAAACAAGTGTCTTATTTTTTAAGCAATACAACTAAGTATGAAAATGGTATTTTTCCACTTTACTAAAGATGAACAGATTAATTGCCTAATTATACGTCTTTCAATTGGCCCAGTGTCTCTACATTATTTGGTTATTTAATAAATAACCAACCATAGATGTGCAATGAAATTTTTCATTTCTCAAACACCAAACTATAAACATGAATTGAAACCAGTTGCTTATCAAATACAATCAAAATAGATTGGCTGGGAGATTAGAAAGTTTAGCTTTCGAATTCTAAAAAATAAAAATGCAAATAGCGCCATACATACTCTAATAGAGTGACTGCCTATGTATGTATGTAAGAGTTTATTTGAAAAGCAGTTATATCTTAATTGAATAACAACAGCTTAATATGACCTGTGTCAACTTTCTATGATGGAGTTTTGTCTACAGTAATGAGTGATGCATGGTGCCACCATTAAATTTTTAACAACAATATTAATTGTTTGTTATTAGTTTTCCTCTTGAGCATATTGTAATTGATTTCCTTACGAGGACATGCAGTGTAAAACTGCATGGAAATATGAGCATTGATTGTTTAAAACAGTTATTTTGATTTCAAAAGTTAGTTTTTCTTGCCATAACAACTAACGACGCAAATTAAAAAACATCAAAAGATTGATGACTGAAGACATTTCTAAATATGATTTCTACGTTGATTTGATACTTTAACGATTATCAGGTACAGGCAGTAAGAACAACATCAAAGTCAGAGGGCGGGCTCAATTGTCGAATGTGCAAACATTTGCTATATTTCGTAATGTTGGTTTTCAATTCTTTATAAAAAATTTTTCTGTTCTACTAATTATGCTCTTGTTATCTTAATTTTCACAATAAAATAAGGGGGATAGGATTAGCATTTAAACAATGTACATGTCCGAAGGGGGAAAAGAATAATGTGGCTTCGATATTTAAAATATCAATATTTTAAATTTGACTTTTAATGAAAGGCAATGCCAAAAGTGATGCTAGTAACGATGGCGGAGATGGGAAACAAAGTAAGTGTTAATTTCATGCAACTTTGATTAATGTTGATTTAGTAAAGTCAGCTGATAAAAGCAAACTGTAGTAAATGTTTTGCAATCACATATTACTCGCAGTAAAAATGCAAAACCTGCATTTTTTGACCTTTCTAAGGTTCCAGTGACTTCGAGTGTGAAGCATTGAAGGCACACAACAAGTATCGTAAAATCCACGATGTCCCAGCTATGAAACTCAACAGTAAAATGAACGAAAAAGCAGCTGAATGGGCAGAACACATAGCATCTTTGGGTGATTTAAAACATTCATCTATCGATGAAAGAAATGGTGATGGTGAAAATATCTACTATAGCTGTGGCTCGCCTGTCTCTGGAGAATCTGTCACAGCTGAGTGGTGAGAATTAGAGCTTCTACCATGCTACAAAATTCGCTCTTTTGTAATATATACGAAATGATCGTGAAGTTAGAATTACCATTAAGCGTTTGCAAAAATTCAAACTTTGGATTTAAATCATAGCAGTTCTAGTTGGGAAAAGCATTTTTTTGCATTAAATCACAATCTAGGTCGTGACTCTCCGACTAGTTAGAGAGTAAATCTTGCGTAGACAATGTAATCAAAAGGAGGTTAGTGACTGTCAAGCAGTAGCAGCTGAGAGAGTCACTAGAATTCCGGTATGCAGCCTTGCAGGATATATGTAGTGGCGAGAAGATAAGGAGTACAAAGGCACCAGAAAACAAAGTGGTGGCAAATGAAAAGTAAGAGTCCAGTGGGGATTTTATGGAATCTTTAACATAAGCTTTAGTTAGCAAAGACTTTTTTAGTGCAGCCAATGTGCATGATTAGAATGAGAGGTATGCTTTTGGTATGATAAAATGCAAATGTGAAACTGCCCCAAAGATCTGCTGCCAGCCCCTCACTTTTTTGACATGGTGATAATTAGGCTAAATCACGCAGTCAAGCTAAAGCTCCCATGAACCATGATGTTTTAGATAATATTGTTATTCATAAAATAACAACAATACAACGCATACGCTGATTGATCTATAGCTATGTTTACATTAGCTCATGCAAACCGATCTGAGCTCAATCAATAAAATCAATCAAAGAGAATTAGCAAATCAACTATGAATATGTTTTAGAAAAAAATTAAAAAATCTGTTTTAAATTCGTCTGTCGTGCATTCTTGTTGTTTTATATACGAAATGAAAGACATTTTTGTGTTTGCTCGGCCTTATGAAAACCTTGCAGTCGTTTGTGAGAATTCTCTATTCTTGATTTCTCCAGGAAATCTCCTCGGTTTGCAAAGGCCTATGCAAATACAGTAAACATCTTTTATTTCTTAAATGTAGAAAGACCAGATAGAAACTACTGAAGAGGAGAGGAGGCATATTCTAAAATAAAGACTATTTGAAAAAAGACAGAATATACGCTGGTGAATAAGAGCAAATCAAATAGAGCAATGAGTTAATACGAATTTGAGATTGTTTTTGATGTGAATTGGTTTTTAAGTTCTTAAACTTTATGCTAAATAAAAGTATTTCTAATATTTCATAGTCGTGTAAAAATTTAATGAATACAAATTTTCCACATATTTTTACTTTCAGGTATAAGGAGGTATGTGATTACGACTTTAAAACTGGTCAATCGAAGGGAGGACAAGTTGTGGGCCATTTTACACAAATTGTGTGGAAAACAAGTGCCGAGTTGGGAATTGGAAAATCAACTAAAGAACATTGTATCTACGTTGTTGCACGGTACAGACCCCCAGGAAACTGGGTGGGGCAAGAGAATGAAAACGTGTTGGAAGGATCATACGATCCCTCGTTTTGTGAAAATCTTGATTGTGTGCATACCATGCGCATGGCTTGAATAGAGAAAGTACTTGAATTGGTAGTTGTGGTGGTAGTGGGGATGTAGCTGGAGTGGGTGGTAATGCTGGAATGTGTGGTGGTGCTGGGATGAGTGGTAGTGGTAGTGAAGGTGGAGCTGGAAAGGCTGAAGAATTCACATGTGTTTTAAGATAAACTTGTTGTTAAATTACATTTTAATCGTGTTACTCAAGAATGTTGATGCGTTCAGCGGGTAAATTTTATGTTGATTGAATAATTATAGAGTTACAAAATAGTGTTATAAGTTGAGTTAGTAAAATAAAATATTAGAAAATATCTTTGTTGTGAAGCACTTTTGTATCAGTGTATTCCTCCATGATGTATGCATGTGCTCGAATTTTGCTTTCATAGAGTGTAAAGCATGTTTTCTTGTCATTTCCTGGCATACTACGCATCCATTCTCAAACCCATTTTCTTTTAGCCAACTACTTCATAAACCTTTTCATGTACTAGGTCTATTTCCCTGTTACAAAAAAAAATACTTTACTTTGTCAATGAGCCAAAAAACCTCGCACAAAAAGTATTTTCTGCCCAAAAACCTACAACTAGCGCTTCCCTAAAATTCCTAAAAGCTTTATAACCCACCTGATTAACGGGAAAACCCATAAAGGCAACATTTCACTTGAAACGAACTCGTTGGCGTCATTCTTAAATAACTAGAATGACCAAAAATGACGGCCAATTGACCTGTTTTTTATGAAATGATTGCTTTGCAGAAAATAATTCTGGACATCCTTCTGGTGTTATATGTCTGTCTTCAGTTCATATGAAATTTAATTTGATTTGAAAACAAATGCGATATCATGTGGCCATCTTTACGTAGTGTGCCAGGAGTTGAAAAGAAAGCATACTCTACATTCTATCATAGCGAAAGTCGAGAAAAATACATCATTGTCAGTAGGTTACTGACAAAGAAACTGAAAAACAAAAAATGGCAACTATTCTCGACGCTAGTAACGCTGTTTAGCTTGCGTGTTATAGTGTAATGGTAGAAGAGTACTTGAAGAAAAAAGATTTTCACTGAACAATAGCCACAGCATTGATAAAATGCATTTTTTGGTCCTTGCTTGCTATACGTTTTAGACCATATGGAAGTTGTTCTGGCCTTATTCTTTGATAATCGACTATATTACAAATGACAATCAAAGTAACTCTGCATCTTAGTGAGGTACAGAACAGAACATTATACAAAAGCAAACGGTTAAAAGTTGTATAGTATTTTCTGTTTGAATTGACATATACAACTGAATCTTTTTCTATAAAAAGAACAGATTATTTTTTCAAAACATACTCGAATATGAAAGCAATAATGAAACAAATTTGTAAATTTTGAAAATGTTAAAATACATGATTAGTTGAAAGGAGATGATCTTCGTTGTATTAACATTTTCTGGTGGAGTATTGTCAACTCTAATTAGTGATGTATCGTGCCACCAGATAATGTTTCAAAAATTTAATTGTTCTTGACAATAATTGAAACAATTCTAATTTCGTTTTTGGTTTTTGTCGACAGAATTTTGTAACGGATTTAATTATCGACAATATAAATGCAAACGGTTGAAGGAGAAATCTGGAAAAGTAGAATAGCATTATGTATGTGATGGAAATGTACTTATGCTTGTGAAAGAACTTTGGTAAAAAGGTATGTGGGCGCCATCAACAGATTTTGAAACTTTTTCATAAAATATTATATGAAGAAAAATGACACCTTTTATCTAGTGTTTCTGCTTTGTATACTGTTTCTGTGTTTCAGTTGATGCATATATGGGACAACCAAGAATTAATTTATTTGTTGTTTTTTATGAACAATATTGAGCTATCCAAATTGCTTTAAGTAGTGAAAATGCAAACAGATTATGGCCGACTTGTTGTAATCTTTCTTTCTAATTGTTGTGAAGAGGAAAAAGATCGCCTTTTCTGTTCATTCATTCATTCATAATGTTTGCGAGCATTGGATATGCGCTGTTCTATGTACTTCATTTTCTTTCTCTCTGTAAAGGTAAGCTTTCGAGGATCTTTCAATGTTCATAACTTATTAACTTATGTAATCATACAAACTCTTTAAAGACTTAATTTCTCGGGATAAACAACATTAAAGGAGGAGTTACAACGCATTCTACAGGCTAAAACTATTAAAGCAAAAATATCATTTGAAAAAGAACATTCATGACAATCTTTCTTAAGTAAAAATTTAACAACTCTAGATTGCTCGAGATACATCACTTTTGATTGAAGTAGAACTATGATATTATTTAAAGTAAAACTTTGTAACATGAACTGTGTTTTACGCAAAGTTTTAAACGAAATTTGTTTGTTTTTTATTGTTTTGTGAGCGTTTAAAGTCGACCCGTTCGTGTACCTTAAACGTTATACTAAAAACCTGAAACCTTGACTAGTGTGATGTAGATAGGGTAACACTTCAGCTCAGAAACGTGTTTACATCTATAAAATAATAGCTACTTGAGTAAGTGGTTTGGCGAAGATTTTAAGATATTTATTTGTATATTTGACAGCTTTTCAATAAAAGCAACGTCTTTTGGGGGAGATTCGGCAGGGGAAACTTCGACATGCTCATAGCCAAAAAATGGTATAACATGAACTGAAATACCCACTTTCTTTGAGTGGAAAATTGCTACAGCCAGCTACCACGCACTTTTTTGCGTAATTGCTTTAGGATTCAACGAGAAAAGCGCTTTCACCAACGATTTGCTATTTAAACACATGCTTGTAGATGTGAATAGCTTACCCTATCTGCGTCACGCTAGTTCCAGCCTCTCAAACACGCCGTGGAACAAAACAGCGTACAAAAATTGAACTTAAATGGCAGTTTAAACCTCCATAAAAAGAAAAATAGTCCCTTGAATTGATTTTTTTTCTTTTTATAATCACACCACACAATCAAATTTGCTTGAATGAAAGAAAACACGATAATCATACTTCCACTTTAAAGAATTGTTCATTAGTTTGGCTCAGTTCAACTTGTCAAATTGAGGTTTTTGATATTGTGTTCTTAAAATGCTGTACAAGGTTCAGAATGTTGTTTTCATCTAGATATAAGACGATGTTTACCACCAATAAAAAATATTTGATTTGATATTTTTAGGATCTAATAGCATAAAACCAACAGAGAAAGCGTTCAGTGGAAATGAAATGACAGAACAGCAAAAGAAATCGAGCACTTCGTGGGGTGGTGGTGGTACTGGTGGAGGAAGCTGGTCAAGTAACTGGGGTGGAAATGGTGGTAATGGAATGGGTGGTGGTAATGGTGGAGGAAGTTGGTCAACTAACTGGGGTGGAAATGGTGGTAATGGAATGGGAGGTGGTAATGGTGGAGGAAGTTGGTCAAGTAACTGGGGTGGAAATGGTGGTAATGGTGGAGGAAGTTGGTCAAGTAACTGGGGTGGAAATGGTGGTAATGGAATGGGAGGTGGTGCTGGAGTGGGAGGTGGTGCTGGAGTGGGAGGTGGTGCTGGACTTGGAGGTGGTGCTGGAGTGGGAGGTATGATTAATGGAGTCAGGGTTTCAGGTCGCTGGCAAGGTAATAAAATGTTTATACTTCATGCCTAATACCTCATTACAAATTATAAATTTATGACATATAATCAAAATTGTATCAAAAATAAGAAATTTTTTGTTGTATTCATAGCAGCATAAATTTATGATCTGCAAAAAAATGTCTTAAAAATGTTTTGATTTTACGTGCATTTTCACAAGTACTTGACAAAAGTGTGAAAGCTGAATAAAATATGCTTTCGTCTGCATCGTAGGTTTCCGTGATTTTAAAAAAGATGCCCTAAAGACGCATAACATGTACAGAGCAATCCACAGTGTTCGCAAGCTGAAGAGATCCTGGTTACTCAATCGGCAGGCAAAACGGTATGCTCGTAAATTAGCCAAAAACGGATTTTACAACGTGAGCCATGACTCGCAAATTACACCAGGTGTCGGAGAGAATATATTTGCATATTGTGGAAGTGACGTAAGTGGAAGTGACGTAACGACAGCTTGGTAAGTTGGAAGTTATAAAATGAAACCCAGTGTAAAAACGTCTTCTCTATGACTTCAGCTGATATTCAATTTTTTCAGAATTAGCATGATTTAATAGAAATTTATCCCCAAAGAGAAGCAAAAGAAATCTATATTAATTCCATGCTAGAAATTTGCCGCAATTCATATTTATCATTTAATTCAGTGGTGTTTACAGGTGTTAGGGGGGTCAACCACTACTGAATCATATAAATTCTGTTCGTCAGGTGGTTTCATGAAGAAGCAATTTTTATATGTCGTGTAATACTGAGTTATATCAACACAGTTTTTCCAAGCATACGACCAATCAGCGCCCGTATTTGGAGGTTGTTTTATAAACTCAATAGTGCACGAGACTTCAGTCTCGCAAGGATCTCGCAGGTTTGCGTGGCTTATGAGGGGAATTACAATGGAGAAAATAGAAACAGCTTGCCATTAAAATCAATTCATTTATCTTTTCAATATTGTTTTTAAAAGGCTATTTTATAAATGAAATAAAAAATAAATTGACTTTTTTCTATTGAGTTATATAAACACTTGTGAAAGTTTGGGAGAAGCTCGAAATTGCTTTGAAACACTCGTATTTAGAGCTAGTGCTTACCATGCATATTTTCGTTTTTCCCAAACTTTCCCCCATGTTTATACAACTCTATTGATACTAGGAAAATGTTTTCTATTGCTTACTGTAAGCACGTATGTCACTTGCCTTTTCATAAAAGTAAAACGATTTTAACAATGACATCAAGGATTTGGAATTCATTAAAGAAAGGAAGATTTTGAGATCGCAAACAGTTCAAACAACATGTTTGCTATAAAGCTAAGAAAGAACGCCTTGTTTCAAAAGATTCATTTACTCATTAGCAATTTATATGGCATTTAAAGATAGCAGCACCACTCTAATATCTTTGGGATTTCGTTTTCTTTGTTGTTTAAGGTACAATCAAATCTGCAACTACAATTTTGACGAGCCTTCAAAAAGTCTTGGTTTTGTTGATCATTTTACACAGTTAGTGTGGCGTCGCACTAAAAAGTTAGGCATCGGACGAGCATTTGGACGCTTGGATGGGATGAAATGTACTTATGTTGTGGGAAGATATTTACCTGCAGGGAACTACATCGGGCAAGAAAAGAGAAATGTGTTCCGTGGTGATTTCAACCCTGAATATTGTAAAGGAATTTATATTGGCAGTGGTGGAATAGGAAATGGTGGAATAAGAGGAGGTGGAATTGGTGGTAATGGAATGGTTGTTGGAGGAATAGGAGTCTCGGGATTGGGTGGTGGTGAAATGGGAGGCGGTGGTATGGGAGGTGGTGGAATGGGAGGTGGTGGAATGGGTGGTGGTGGAATGGGTGGAGCTGGAGGTGGTGGAGCTGGAGGTGGTGGAGCTGGAGGTGGTAGAGGTTGGGGGAGGTGGAGGGAAGTGGAGGTGGAATGGTGGTGGCGGAGTGGAGGTGGTGGAATGGTAAAAGGAAAGTATGGAAGTAGTAGGTGTGTGACTTTGGAAGTGCGGACAAGAAAATGCAGGCGGAAGTTCGTTCAATCAATCCCAGCGATGACAATCAACAGTAAAATGAATGAAGAAGCAACAAATTGGGCAAAGCACATTGCACAATTGGGTACTTTAAAACATGCATCTAGTGAAGAAAGAAACGGTGATGGTGAAAACATTTACTATAGTTGTGGCATGGCTGCCACTGGAGGATCTGTAACAACTAGTTGGTAAGAAGCAAAGCCACTACGTATGTTGTAAAACTTAAACTTTGTTTTTCGATTACAAAATAATATTAAGTTACTTTTTATATCAAGCCCTTAAAATATTTAAGAGATATTGCAATTAGAGCCCTGATCTCAAAAATCACGTCCAACATTTCAAAGAAAGTTTTGAGCAAAATTCATTACCTACTGATCATAGAATGAGATTGTGATGTTAAAACTTGCAACTAATCATAAAACTGAAATGTTCAAATCTGCCACTGTTTTGTTAATGTCTTTACCAACTGAGCTATGAAGTCACACAGTGGAGAGCAGGTCAATTTTGTTGGGCTCATGTTTTCTCGTGAAAAATTCATGTGACTGAGAATTCAGAAAATTCATTCTGTGTGACTTCATAGCTCATTTGGTCAGAGCACTGCATCGGCACCGCAGAGGTCATGGGTTCGAATCCCGTTGAGTCACCTGAATTTTTCAGGTTCATGAGACAATTACTTAAATTGTCCAGCAAAGTGCGAAGATCATATCTTCATTTAATTTCAAAAAAAAACAAAAAACACCGCACTGCATATAACATTCTTTTATATGACATTCCTTTCACGAGAAAACATGAGCCCAACAAAATTGACCTGCTCTCTACTGTGTGACTTTATAGCTCAGTTGGTCAGAGCACTGCACCGGCACCGCAGTGGTCATGTGTTCGAATCCTGTTGAGTCACCTGAATTTTTCAGGTTCATGAGACAATTGCTTAAATTGTCCAGCAAAGTGCGAAGATCATATCTTAATTTAATTTCAAAAAAAAAACACCGCACTGAATATAACATTCTTTCACTGTAAAAACTCTTGGACGGAAAAGCAGTGAATGCCAAATAAATTTCTGTTCAATTAAAAAAGCACTGTCCGGCAGTTCTAAGTAAATGAAGATTTTGCACAATTCAAATTGTTTGCAATCCAAGAATTGCAAAATATTACTAAGAATGAAAACAAAAAAGCTGTTTTGGGGGGAAGATTTTTAACAGCTAAGTCGCGTAACGAGGCTTTTTAACAACGATAGAGAGTTACAAAGCAAGACAGAGTTAGACGGTGCAGTCAAGAAATATCTAAAAATATATTATTAATAATAGTTTTCGTGCAATTACAGCGAAACACGCACTTTGCTGCGGTCTTAAAAAGCCACTCATGTATTTTTATCCGTAATTGCATCAAAACTATACTTTTACCAATACGAACATCCTGATGTCAAGTTCATACATTTCTGGAGGTCATAGCCTAAAAATAATCAGCACTAATCATACATGTGTTTTTTCTGTAGGTATAGGGAAGTATGTGATTATGACTTCAATACAGGCAAAGCGATAGGAGACAAAGTTGTGGGGCATTTTACACAAGTTGTGTGGAAAACAAGTGTAGAGTTGGGAATTGGAAGATCAACTGAAGGACAATGTACCTACGTTGTGGGAAGGTACAAGCCTCCAGGAAACTGGATAGGACAAGAGAAGGAAAACGTACTGCAAGGATCATACGATCCTTCATTTTGTAATAATCCCGTATGGGTGCCGACTAATGGTGGTGGAGCAGGTCAAGGAGGTGGTGGATCTGGAGGTGAAGGTGGAGCTGAAGGTGGTGGAGTGGGAGGTGGAGGCGGAGCTGAAGGTGGTGGAATGGGAGGTGGAGGCGGAGCTGGAGGTGGTGGAATGGGAGGTGGAGCTGGAGCTGGAGGTGGTGGAATGAGTGTGGTGGAGGCGGAGCTGGAGGTGGTGGAATGGGTGGTGGTGGAGGAGATGGAGGTGGACAACAAAGTAAGTATTAAGTATGGAAGTGCAATAAAAGTAGCAAGTTAGTTAGCTTAATCTGTAATTTAATTTATTAAGTGCTTGTATTTTATTTGTTTCTGAAGTTTTCTAGCCAATTTTATCAAATCTTTGCTATTATGAATTACTCAAAGTTTCATTACAAAGTGTGTTGCATATTTAACATTTTAAGGTGTCAGTGCCTTTGAGCAAGAAGCTCTGCAGGCGCATAACCAGTATCGTTCAATCCACAATGTCCCAGCGATGACAATCAACAGTAAAATGAATGAAGAAGCAGCAAATTGGGCAAAACGCATGGCAGATTTGGGTACTCTGAGACATTCATCTAACGAAGAGAGAAATGGTGATGGTGAAAACATTTACTATAGCTGTGGCATGGCTGCTACTGGAGGAACTGTAACAACTAGTTGGTAAGAAGCAACGCCACTACAATTTTTACAAAGTTTAAATATTTTTTACGATTTACAAAGTGATTGTCAACTTACGATTATTATCAAATGTTTGAAATAACTCAGAATTGGAATTCAATTGGAGCGTTCAGTTTGATCATCACGAATTCGATTTCGAAAAGAAATACAAGTGTTTTTTTACGGAGAAATATCGGACCGAAGTTTTTTGTACTAAAAAACAGAGGTCGGTTATTTCTCCCTAAAGACAAAGTAAGCAAGATTATTAAAAGGTTCATTATATGGAAAGGTTCATTTTATTAACTTTGATACTGACTTGATTTAAATAATATGGTATGTTTTTTTGATCTGCTGAAGTTAGCAAACTTCTTTTCTCTTTGTTAATGTAATTTATGTATACTTTCCACAGTCAATCGTGTTGTCTTCTTTAAAATAGGGGCTTTACATTTATTGATTTTGTCTTCTTCTTCATATTACAATAGCTAAAAAGTGTTATTGTGAAAGGCGACCTTAAGGAGGAAATAACAGCTAAATGGGGAATAAACTACTGATAAAAATCAAAATTCAGAATAATTTTGACAAACTAATGTCTCGCTAATGTTTAAGCAATGGTCAATTACGTGCGTTGATTTTTAGGTATATTTAACCATCCTTATGTCAAGTACATATATCTGTAAAGTTTATAGTCTTGAAATAATTGAACCTAATTTGACACTCGTTTGTGTTTTTTCCTTTAGGTATAAGGAAGTATGTGATTATGACTTCAATACAGGCAAAGCAAAGGGAGACAAAGTTGTTGGGCATTTTACACAAGTTGTGTGGAAAACAAGTGTAGAGTTAGGAATTGGAAGATCAGTTAAAGGAGATTGTACCTACGTTGTGGGGAGATACAAGCCTCCAGGAAACTGGATAGGACAAGAGAAGGAAAACGTACTGCAAGGATCATACGATCCTTCATTTTGTAATAATCCCGTATGGGTGCCGACTAATGGTGGTGGAGCAGGTCAAGGAGGTGGTGGATCTGGAGGTGAAGGTGGAGCTGAAGGTGGTGGAGTGGGAGGTGGAGGTGGATGGATGGAATGGAGGTGGAAGGTGGAGTGGAATGGAGGTGGAAGGAATGGAGGTGGATGGAAGGTGGAGGAAAGGTGGAGGGTGGAATGTGGAGGTGGTGGTGGAAAGGTGGAGGTGGTGGAAACAATGGAGGGGGGTGGAAGGTGGAATGGAGGTGGAGGTGGAACGGTGGTGGAGTGGAATGGGGTAATGGTGGTTAAAATGGTGGTGGAAGGCACAACAATGGCACAGACAAAGGATAAACATTTAGACCAAGTTATATTTTCAACTTACCATATGAGGCAATGTCTTTGTCAAAAACAACAATATTCATGCTTTGGGCATCATTATTTATATCATTAAAGCCATTCTTGGTATCAAAAACGTACATGGTTATACACAATGTTAGTAAAAGACCTCTATTGGGGTTGACATTTGTAAAAAATCAAGTTAAAATCTGTCTTGCATTGTTAAAATTGAAGCTATCACATTAATTGTGTTCTAACAGACAATATTGTACTTATTTCGCCTGCTTTTTACTAAAGAAAAATATACACATGAATAATTTATACATATAAGTTGGTTTTTCCCGTAAGTAAACTGTTTTAAACTCTGAAAGGGAAATGTCGATTTTATATTTTTTTGAACTCGCTAATGTATAAAGATTGCGGAATTCCGTTCTTCGCCTCAGATTTCATTTTTACTCCTTTTACACACGGGCCCCTTTGCCTTTCAATCCACCTCCTGCCCCAACAGTTTGTAAAAGCTGCTTTAAGGTTGATGCCTTAATGTAAGGAATAGAATCAGAAATTATTTGAGTATATTGTGTCTACAACGTTTACTATAGAAAAATAGTTAACGTCTTGTGCACTTGAATTAGAGCATTGCGTAAATCAAGTTTAAAAAAACATGGCGGCGTACACAAAAGTTCAAGCAATGTAAATTTCGTATACTTTGGTTAATAATATCAGTTTTAGCCAGTAATAAATATGAATACAACTTAAATTTTTTGACAGGCTGTTTGATTTACCTCTCGTGTGGTTTAAAACTTGTCTATTATCGATAATACAACTGTATATAACTCATTAGGGGTGTTTACATGAATCCGGAATGAACTCATTCCACTTTAAAAGAAATCCTACTGCATGTTTACATGAATCCGGAATGAGTCACAACTCGATCCGGATCTAGTTCATTCCTATTTTCATTCCGGATCAAAATTTCATTCCGGATCAAAATTTAGTTTTAATCTCATCTAAACGCGAATTGAGTTTAATTCTGGAATGATATTGTGATTAATGACGAAGCACTCATGGGCCATGGGTATTGTCTTCTGGCAAATTGAAGCTCGTAAGCAAATAAAGCGGCTAAATAGGCTAAATTGAGTGCGAAGAAAAACAACAATTAGTTTCATGCAAGAGTTAAGCTGTATAAACGCAGGAGCAAGAGAAAAAAAGGGTTGCTATAATGTTTATATTTTCCACCTTCAAATTTCAAAATTCCCGCAAAATGTCAATCCTTGTGTTGATTTCCCATGTAAACACGGATTAACATCACGTTTCGATCGGGATTGAAAGTCATTCCGGATTCATGTAAAGACCCCCTTACTCAACAGTGGTATTATACATCTCATGGTTGGATGCGCCGTATCTATAACTGCGCAACAGCATTATGTCATTGCATTACTTAGAAATAAAAAATGTTAACTGTGTTTGCACTGGCTTGTGCGAATCATGGAGACCATTGGGAGAACTCGAGAGCAGATGAGGGCAAGCTCAAAAACGAAAGTTGAGGGTGCTCAAGAGTTCTTCTGACTGACGTTTCCTAGGTTTGCATAAGCCATAAAAAAACATCTTTTATTTCTTTTGTAAAATAACAAAAATGCAAAATAGACAAATTTAAAACAAACGTCTTGAGTTTTTTTATGATTTGTAAATTCTCAGACTAATGTAAACACACCTATAGACCAGTAAGCGTGCACGCATTTTATGTCACCCAACGTTGCTCCCAATTAATTAAACAATGAAACAATCTGTTCTAAAATAAACATTTCTAAATCTATGCTGATTTAATAAAATTTTCCAAGAACAAAGCTAACACTTCCCAGAGAGTTACGCTTGACATTCGTAGAAAATTTGCATTTCTTTGACCGAGATGCAATGCAAGCATTCCTCAGCAAGCCTTGAAAATCCGTCGATTTTCGAAAAAAATTCCGTGAGCTGCTCAATCGTCTTGTTTTCAAAGATCGATTCACGAAATTTTAATCCGTATAGGTTGACCTATTGCATATATGACTAGAGAAAGCAAGAAAAAAGAAAGCAGATTAAAGATAACAGGCTACGGCAATAATTTTCTAAATTTACGTTCATTCAGTTGTTTTCACATTTTCGATATACATTAAAATTTTCACATGACGAATCAATAATTTAATGAATCGTCTTACACCACACCAACCAGAGTTGCGATTTCTACCACTGCGTCAGAGATTCCAATTCGTTACGCAATTACATAGTAGTATAGCTGTAGCAAGTCGGCAAAACGCTTTATTTAAAACATGATTCAATTCCCCTTCTTATCGAGATTAGTTTAAAATTTATTGTGATTTAGTGCACGACATAGTGTGATTCTTATGTAAACGTTTAGAAGAGGTAACTGCAGAAAAACTCATAAAACGTTTAATTGAAACAGACTGAAGAGTTCATAAAGAAACTGCTTTTGTGTATCAGTTTTTCGAGAAGTCTTGAAATACTAAAAGTGTTCAACGTTTACACGTATAATGACCTAAGACAATTAGTTCACCAAAATAAACCTTTAAATTGTATTCAGTGAGTCCATGACGATCGTTATATTGTTACTTATTACCGTGAAACTTTTTTCGACCTCATCTCACTAGAATGCAATATAGATAAAAGTATTAATGCAGTCATGCTATGCGCTGTAAGCCAATTGCAAACACACGTAATTACGTCTTAGCATTCCTTCGCATTTTTCGCAATTGGTTTTGAAGTGACAAAGCACATTTGTGTACTTAACACATTTCCGAAAAGGAAGGTAGGTGGACGTGGGCCCAAAATCTTTAATTCTGTTCGCATTAATCAAAGCTAAAGCGAGTTCGATCTTTCGCAGAAATTATGTTCCTCTCACAAATTTCTATTACCGAAATATATTTCTTCCTCATATGTCTCCAAAGAAACGATGACAACGTGTTTCAACATCTCAATTTCATGGGATCCAATGACGTAATGCTCTCATGGTCACGTGTCATGAATATAATCAACAGATACACAGAACGTTCGCAAATTCTTGAATAAAAAATAGGGAAGTATTTTATAAAAACTACGTGATCTACTCCGTCATAACCGCTCACAGCAAAAGATATCATAATCAACGGTAATGTACCTTTTTTCGTTCGTTTTGGTCGACAATATTTTTGCTTTTTCAACCAGTTTTGACGCAGTGTTTATACCGACATGTCCGCCATTTTTGTTTGGAATGTCATAATATCGAAAACGTTTTTGCTTTTGAAGTACATTTTTGTGAATATTTTGTGGCTTTGGTCACTTCCGTCCAACTTATCATTAAAACCATAATTTCATGGAGATTGTGGTGAAAACGCAATGTTGAATTACTATCGTGTGATGTTTCGATTTTCTCTTGTCTTTTCTCACCCGGCACTATAGTTCATACGTTCTTCATATTGCCAGGACAGATATTCCTGTTTACCACATTCGATTGTTTGGTAAAATACTCGTTTTAAATTGTCGCCGAATTGAAATAAGATCTCGTTTTATCGTTTCGTTTGTACGTATTTGACAGTCGTGTACATATTTTTGTGAAATTGCGTATGTGGAAATGATCTGCAGTAAAGTGCGAATATTTGACTGAAAACTTGTCACGTTTGTATTTAAACAACGTATTGAATTTAAACATTTTTCTACGTGTATTTTAGAAATGTATGGAGATCGGCTGTCTCTCTCGCTTGTCATGTAATTACTGGTGATATGATCTGAATCCCATCTATCGACCGACATACACAAAGTTCTTATTCAATTCCAGCAATTTGTGAAGTACGTATGAATTTTTTGCTCTTTTGATTAATCACCATTCCAATATTTGTATTAAATGCCCTAGTTGATTTTGGGAGAAAAATGTTTGCGAAGTTATTTATTTTAATAATATTGAAGTCAATAATATTTCATGAATGTACATATTTCCTTATGCAAGACATTACGTGTTTCATATAATTTTGAAAAGTGCATTTTCTCGCGAATGAATTTCGCCTCAGTACTACCCACCGTTTGAAAATATTCACTTGTGTGACTGTACTTCCTGGAACAATTTTTTTTCATTTTGTGAATGTGTTTAGTGCATCTATGCCTTTTTGCCTGTAAGCACATTTTATTAGTTCAAGCAAGCTATTTTATCACATACATATTATTTTCAAAATAGATAGCTACATATGTCAGTGTCTGTGAATTGACCCTAACACTATGATTGGCATTAAAATCATCAACTGTCATTGTGTTAAACCATCATTGCCTACAAGACTTTGTGCTCTATTTAATTATTGATGTTTTTGGCCATTAACTTATGGCCGGAGATTAGAGCAGCAATTTTCCAAAGCTGAGGTTTGAGCAGAAGTTTCATCAACATTATGTTAAATGAACTTTGAACATTCATTGTTTTATGTAACTTTGTATTTTAATTATTTCATTTCCACTACATTGCAACTATTTCAGACTTTAGTGTTTGCCGTGGGCAACATTAGTCGAGTGCCTGCTGTAGCAAAAAAATTTGCAGTTTTTTCACTTTAAAAAGTTAATTAATGTGACGAAATATTTCTGCTACATGTTTAAAATAATTGGTACTGGGCTAAATCCAGCTTGCTGTGAAGTAGGTAAAGTTCAATTGTTATGAAGTACTGGGCTAGATCTTTTTGTTTAATAAATAATACATGTACCACATTTGTTACTAAGATGTCAAAGTTCTAGAAATTGCCGATGGGACACAATTGGATAGCTTATGCTTATGTAAGACTTATTTTGACTGACTATGGAATTTGCAATTCATCATTCAATTTGAATTTCAGAATTTGATGGATAATTTCTTCAAACTCTGCACATAATGGTGTAACAATATGATATATGGCTTTGGCTAAGCAAACATTGGTTTACCATGTGAAAATTTACTTCACATCTCGGGATAGTCATTAACAACTACCAAACATCAATTTTTCTGTGAAATTTTTTATCATAATTTTTTGTGATGATTTTGATGTTTTTTTTCTGCTGCTCAATTGGAAGTTTAAAATTTTTTTGCTGTTTTTGATCTTTTCTCTCTTATCAGACTAAATAGATTATAAATTCATTTTTCATTCTCAAGAACTTTTTAATTGCCATTGTCTGTGATAGCTTTCTAAAGCACCTTCATTTTACGCAAATAATTTTGTGTTTTTTAGAAACTGGAGTTCCAGGATTTTGATCTGAACGAATCAGTAATTACAATTGATGATTCAGAATTTGTCATGGTAGATACCCTATCAGGGTGAGATTCATTATTTGATGAACTTGTAATGATTTGAAAGCACCTTTAAAAATAATAAGGCATTTTGACTTAGTCATAGAATTTTATTGTCTAAGTTAGTCTTTTGTCCACCTTCAATGCATGATCACCATGAACTGGAAAAATTTTCCGTCATAGTTTATACCATAGTTTTTGATAAAAATTGTTCAAGCTGGGACATATGCATACATATATAAGCTGAGTTATATTGGGATGCTGAGTTATCACCAATGGATGCATATATAAGTCCTGGATGGGCGACTTTTCACAAAGGGGATGTTTGTATGCATATTTGGGAGGGAAAAAGGATCAGTGTAACTGGGTTGACAAAGTTTGGTAGAAATATGCAAAATATGAAAAATAGAACTATGCAATGTTAAGTATGTTCATATTATGTTTGGGAAAATCTGGCAGCATTTGAGAATAGAACCCTGCAAGCGCAAATGAAATGTTTGACACTCATATACAAAATGATATAATATTATAGACATTTCACTTTGATTATAATCAAAACATTCTTTCTAGTTTTACTGACTTTAACAAAATTTTGATAGAAAGCTTAGCTAAGTGTATTTCCCAAATGATATATGCAATTCATACTGGAAAATTCGTGAATGCTTGTGAAAATTAATAGTTCTATTTTGATAAGGTAAATTTGCTGCTATTTATTCCAAAGCCATTACCAGAGAATCGTCATACCGTAAATGCTCGCTTTACCACCGCGGCGTTTATTCAATTTTCTCGAATTTGAATGCGGTGCTTATGCGTCAGCGGCGCGAAAGCGAGCATTTCCTATAATATGAAGCCTAAGCTATTTGCTACTAAGGCATGCAATGTTGCCATACATGCAAAAAATTTTCTAGATTTGGTCTGATGGGCTTAGATTCGCACACTTGCTTTCTGTAGTTGCAAAATTCAGAACGGAGCATTGTTTACGCTCATCTGAACTAATCTGTTGAAAAATTTACGCACGTATATGGTCGTATTATGTTCCTGCGATTTTAGTAGTGTTCAAGTAGAACTGTATCAAGTCTAACGTAGTTATCTTTTTTTTCTTAGATCATAAGTTTAGCTACTGAAAATTTTGGTTTGATTTTTGTTTTTCAATCAAAAGCTTATCAATTCGAAAGTTTTACATGAACTACATACGTAATACTAAATATTTCAGTCTAAACATTTTTTCCAAAAAATTTACTTTAAAATTCAGTCGCCGTGTATCCGCATAATTATGCCGCGTCTATAAAAATCTCGTAGATCAAGATGAAGCGAGATTCGTGTGAATTTCCACTTCATTTTTTGAAAGAAAACTTTATGCTGACACGAATTAGTTTCCAAAAGACCGATCGTTGAGTTCTATTCTTAATTTCCGCTGTTTCGTGGAAACTTGAATCTAAAACATTCAACAGAAGTACATATTGATTATTTTAATTGTTTTCACATGTTTCGTCAGTCTTCTCTACTGTCCAGTGGTTGCTACCTAACTCATCTTCATTATGTCGAAAATTTTTCATCGTGTGACAGCGAACTCGCTTTGTCTTAGAATAATGCCGTAAAATATGTGAAAATTTAACTTATTTGGACAGGCATGTGCTAAAACGTGGACTGGGCACGCACTGCGGACTGTAGCGTATTTTTTTACAAACAAAATAAGTAGCTACAGTTAACAATTTCGATTGCTAAGCGCTGCGTCTGTATCGAGTTCTCTGAAGTATTATTTATTTCAACTATAAAATTTCACTTTTAGCAAATAAACTATGCTATATTGCCTTGTAACTTGTAAAAAATAAAGCGAAATGATTGAACATCGCTACATCGCCCAACTATACATGTAAAAAGATGCGGCTACAAAACAGCAGGATTCAGTACAGGCTTACGGATGTATTATAATAGCTTTCAATAACGAGTGAGCACCATTTGGGCATAATATGGATGTGCATGAACAGCTTATTTGAAGAGCAGGCATGCAAATTTAATAGTGAAGAGAAAAGGCTCTCTTGCCTGTCCACTTTTAGTCAATATAAATAATTTATACTCCAAACTTCTTTCGGCGTTCGTTCCGTCTACAAAGGTGATGGAAATGGTTTGTCAAAAGTTCTAGCGATTGTTAAAATATAACCAGTCGGGAATTCGGCTTTCGAAATGAATAACACAACTCGGCATATGATGTGAAAGTATGACATAATAATCAACATTTCGTTTCATTTTTGAGAAGTTATTAGCCATTATATAGGTTAGTTTTAACTTGCTAAATGGAATTTTACGGATTAACTTTAAAATACTTCAGAAAATTCCAACACGCTCAGCGCTTTGCGATCGAAATTGTTAACTTCTACACCGCGATTAACTCGTAATAATTTACTACTTCCAAACAAGGACAAACTGATCAAATGCTCACAGTCTGCAATCCATGGTTCAGTCCAGGTTTTACAAAATAGCATTTTCACATTAATATGGTCTCAATTATCTTAAGAAGAGTAAGTTATAAATAAACTGTGATAGATAAGTCCAGCGTATATGAATGAGCGATCTGACTTGAAATACGTGCGTGGGTTTGCTTACCTATTTGCTGTTCGAGATTTTTCGTTCTGGGCAAATTAAAATTTTAACCACGTGATAGAGAGGCAAATAATATGTAATAATGAAGTCGGATCGTTTTCGACTTTATTGCATGTGACGCGAAAGTTTTTTTCAGAACTGCTTTTACGTAGAATTTTGAATTGAAAATTTATCACAACACGCTAACTATTTTCAACATGTGAGCTGCTTTCCACATGTGACGTGCGCTAATTTACAAAAAGAGAACAACTTTAACAAGAATACTACATTTACATAGTGCAGTGCATAATAAGATTAAATCACTCTAAATGTAGTATAAAGTCAACAAACTATTTACATTTTACCATCGCGAAATTACTTTGGGAAAGTGGGCAGCGATTTTGCTTTGAAAAGACGCGATGGAACTAGATTCTTTGAGTTCAGTTGGTAATAAGTTCCAGATTTGTGGACTCATTAAATGCACGCAGTGTTCTTTTAACACCACTTAAGTTAATACGAACTGGGGCAAGAATGAGTCTACACATTGTGCTCTGAATAACTACCGTAACTTGGGCAATTCTATCAAAAATGTATAGTGTATTTTTCATTTTAAATCTTTACTAAATCCGTAACTTTGAATTGGAACTTTTGAAATCGCGATTGGATAGATATGTGTTTGTACATATGAGTAGATAGTAATAAGCATTGTAGCTAGATATTTTCAAATTTTATAAAATACCGGACCCCCTTGAAAAACACTCGTGTGATGTGCATAAGTATCCTGAAAACATATAAACATAAACATAAATAGAAATAAATAAATATGAATGTGTTTTAAAAAATCTTTGTGTATATTGCATAAATAATTTACTTTTTTGTCTATTTTTGTAGAACGACTTTCTTTCAGCTTGATTTATCAGGTAAAATGTCCTACGCATGTTGACTTTTATTGTTGTTGCTGTTGTTTTTTGTAAGATACGAATTAACTGGTCAAGCTACTTGTGTGGTGATTTTAGTTACCCTTGCGAATTGTGTTGTTTTACTTTAGTTACGAAGGCGAAGCTCAAAGAACAAAGTGGCTGGTTGTTTAGTAAGTTAAATGTAGAACTCGACAAGGGTTCGGTTAATTACTCGGTTAACGAGTTAATTACTTTGTTCTGAACTTGTCAAAATATGCATATACCAACTCATAGGAAATTCCATTTAGATTTTTTCTTTCAAAGCTTATTGTTGGTTTTCCCAGTAAAGCTCTGATGCGCGCGGGCTCAGAGTGGGATTTTCCTCATTTCATTACAACGTTTCTATACTGATACTGATATCAAGCAGCCCGTTTTCCCCTCTTGCAATGTAAATGTTCAATATTCGACCAGTAGAAAAACAACAAATAGACTTGGTTAAGAATTGAATAATAATTTTGCTCAAAAAATAACATTGTTTGAGATTAGGAGCGGAACATTGGGCTGGCTTTGCCACTGAGATTGAGATTATTTCAACAAGTTTAGTGGCATTTTGAAACTCCTTCATATTAATTGTTAGCAACCGAAACTTTGCACAAAAAAGTCTCATATATGAATAGTCACTCTACAAACTTTTTGCTTGGCAATGTTGAATGAAGTTAGGAAAGCAAGTCGTTCGTCGGATCCAGTCAAAGTATGACATCAAAAATACGACACTAGCGACCATCAAAGCGTGCAACTCTTGGTACGTTTTGATACGGAAACATTGTTCCATGATTTTTTATTTATGGAGCTTCATTTGTGCAAAGTTTCGCTTGCTAAACTAGTTTATATGAACAATTTTTTTAAATATACGCTTAAGTAGCCCTTTTAACTCCGATGCGTTTAATCTTTGTATTCCTTATTTTCCGCGGTCAAATTGGAAAAGTATCAAACACATGGGTCAGTTATTTTAAAATCTAAATAAAAAACTATTGCCATAATCATGTGCACACATGTATATGCTCCCAGTGTCTCCTTTTTTTTTCACTTGCATGTCCCCCCCGTGTCTCGTTTTTACACTTTTATAGGCTCCTCATGTCTCCTTTTTTTCACATGCATGTCCCCCCCGTGTCTCCTTTTTACACTTTTATAGGCCCCTCGTGTCTCGTTTTTTTATGACTGTAATTCGTACATAGTACTATTTTATTTGTGAAAAAAAGTGTGGATCACGATGTGCATGGCGTTTTTTGTAATAATATCAGCTTGTTCTTTAGCCAAAGGTGACCCATATGCGAAAGTCGTTGTTGATAATCACCCTGCCAAGAAAACAGAAACCATCAAAAAGACCTGGGAACCAGTATGGAATGAACATTTCGTTGTGTGAGTGCGATGCCCCATGTAATTTCACATGCTCTTTAACATTGGCTGATTCAATGCTAGACAAAAAAACGTGAAGTCGCCAATTTTAGATATAAAATGCCTTCATAACGATTTGTTCGACTTCGACTTTTACACCTAACTTGACTCTTAAGACTACCGCTAATGTTGTCGAAACGTCAGTCATTACCAACAGTCCTTCTTGGGACTCTACTAACTTAGACCATCTACATTTCAAAACGTCTAGCGATACTCCAGGGATCAAACCATTCACTTTATATGAGTTTTATTATGACCAAAATATGAACTTAGCATCAGGTCATAATGCATCGTTGATTTTTCAGACTGATCACGCCGTACAGTAAAGTGGATATTGAAATTTTGTGCAAATTTCCATTGAAAAGTGACGTATCTGCTGGTAAAGTTTCCTTGAACATCAACGAGTTGCTTCACGCCAATAATGGACAATGTAAGTTGAACGTTAAGGAATTATAGAAAATTAGCTTTTCTTGCCTTAGCAACGGCTTGATTTCTTCGGCACTACGCGAGTTATAAGTAAATGCAATTGTGCTGTTTGATGATGTTTTCATTGAACATCACGCTCAAAAGGAAGGCGTATCTTCTAAACAGTTTGCTTGCATCGCTTTTCATTTTCGAGAGATGCAAGAGTACTTTGTAGCTATAATGTCTGCTTTACACAACTTGTGACGTCACATTGCACGAAGAATTTTGAAACAGTAGATGTATTTGTTGACATGTTAGCTACAGAGCAGAATTCCTTGTTAATAGTGTAAAAATTGCATAATCTTTACAACTAAAAGTTGCAAATAACAAAAAGACGTCAGTTTGTAGCGACTTATCATGCAAAATGATGCCACAAGTTACAAAAATTTCAATATCTCGAGAAAAAATTGATGTGCATAAACTTTTTTAGAAAGTCCGCTGTCATTTCTAAAAGTTTTGTTGAATGAAAATATCATTTAAAGCGCACGTAGCCTTTAATTTTTTTTTAATGAATGTAGTGATAAATTAGCTGTAATTTTATTGCTCACGACGAAGTGGTCGCATGTGGGGTCTGGTACCTAAAATATGACGTGAATTTCCGATAATATCATATATGTTCCATCTTCTGCTATTTCCTCACTCCAAGTTGGGAAACATACGCTAAAGGAGTATGGTATACGCTTGCAGTAGCATTAAGATATCATAATAGGGTATTGCAATGTTATTCAGCAAGTGCTTTCCGGAAATCACGTGGTCCTTAACCAAACAAGTGTTTCACAGGAGTTTTTATCCTTTAAAAAAATTCTTTCACAAATGTTATTCTACATCTACCGTTTATAAATTTGTACAAAATATTAAACTTAGGTGACATTTAAAGTGCCTATATCAGCCTTAGGGAAATAATCTATTTTGATAGAGTTGACCATTTTAAGAACATTTGCGATATATTTTAAAATACGAAAATTTGATCTTCCTTGACTTTTTGGGCCTCGAAGTTCGCTTTTTTCATGTTTGACCGTGAGGTGCTGTGACTGGACATTAACGCAGTAGTTTATAGTATAATTTTTATCAAAGTCAAGAAATTTATTTTTTATTAAACTCGAGTTATATTATGCACTTTGTGATTGAATCACAGTTTAGTTCTACAGCGTTAAAAAGGAGCGTGTTCTCCAATGTACGTTACTTTGGTAAACTGGACCCAGTCATGACACATCACGGTCAAACACGAGAAAAGCCAACTTTGAGGCCCACAAAGTCGAGGAAGATCAAATTTTCGTTTTATAAAATATATTACAAATGTTTCTAAAAAGGTCAACTCTATCTAAATATATTATTTCCATGAGAGTGATGTGGGCACTTTGAATAGTAAAATTGTTCGGTTGTATGTATTTTAGCCTCTAGTGTAATAGTAATAGTTAATTACTTACACCGAGTATCTAGTAAGCTAAAATATCGTGTGGTTTACAACAATAAACATAAAAAGTACAATTAAAAATAATTATGATTATCTACTACTATTTACTATTCGAAATACTTAAAAATACTATGAATTTACATTACTTATAACTATGAAAAATTCAAACTATAATATCTTCTAAAATTGCCTTACAAAATAAAAATGTTTACCTTCATCAATACTAATATTTTATTTATTTATACTACAAAAATGCAGACTATGTTTGGCGTACATTAATTATGCTTATCGTATAAACATTGGCAATTGTTTGCATATTGATCTTTTAAGTCAAAAACCTGAACTTGGAACTGGAACTTACGAGTGGTAAAGGTTCATCTGCCGTGACCACCGGACTGCTTGATCTAACTCTTAATGGACTTGATAATATCAATATGGCGAACTATCCGATAGCTGGTCGAAGAGCCAATGGTAGCGTGCCTTCTGCTGCAGCCATGACTTCATCCTCACCTGACTCTCGGCAAAGGTAAAGCAATCATTGCGAAGAACTTCTAAAATGTTAATATCTTTGCACGTTCAGGGCTCGAAATACCGGCCGAAATGTGTCCAGACAAGATGAAAAATCAACTTTATTTTACCTGAATCAAAGTTGATTTTTGCCTGTCCAGCAGTACACTAAACTTGCTCCAAATAACGTAAGACTGCAGATTTTCCTGTTTGATATTCTAAGCTTTTCGGGAAGATGTGAAAATGTGGACGGTGAGAATGACAGGCAAGGTAAAAAATTGACCGGTAAACAAGCATTTTCAACTGGTCATTGACTGTTGACCGGCTGTTTTTTTGAGCACAGCATGATAAGCTAAAAGAAGGTTTAAAAACCCATCCTATCGAACATTTTTAAAATTAAACCTAGACTATCAACTTTACAACTGTATATCAACTCATCAAGAGCAGACATTAGTCGTAAATATCGTCAGTTTTGCCATTCTTCAAGATGGCGGCTTCTTGCCTCACTCGTAACTATAGAATTTGGCCGGAGTAAGGTATCTAGTAGATTGGGTTCTAGGTCATTGATATATATAAATGCACATATATTCAAACATAAAATAATAGCTCCAACTAAAACTTAGGGCAATTAATAAATACTTAAAAGGAAAGATAGATTTTGCATTCTTGATGTGCATGTCTAAGTAAAATTATTTTCCAGGGCTAGGGTCGTGACTGATAATGCAAAATAACATTACGACTCAATAAAAGGCTTTCCTTTTCATTCTTACTAGTAATTCGAATGGCCCTGTCCCGAGGCGACCTGCACCACCAAGGCCTCCTCGTGCATCTCGTCCGATGAGCATGAATGCCGACTCCTCTAGCAGTCCTGGTGCCGCAGGCTCATCCCAGGGCGATGAGCGACCGCCCCCGCTTCCAAAAAGAACCAGTATGCCGGTAATACCCGCCATTCCACCTCCTCCAACGCGAACTAATGGGAATACACCATCAAGAAGGGAGTCTGGATCCAGGGTTACGCCGTCAAGAGATAATCTCGCGACACAGGGTCGAAGTCAACAGTCAATTACACCAACCGGTAAGGCTATAAATGTTCTTGTTTAAGAAGAGATGGATTTGATTTTTTTGTACTTGTGTCCTGTTTAAAGTAAAGAGCTCGGGGTCGAGTGCAAATATTTTATGATAGTTTACCATGGGACATACTTGCTTTTGTTTACAACCGGTAGTGTAGCAAGCCTGCATGTTTACTCCTGCAGCCAGCCCGCAATTTTAGTCCCGCATTAGCTAGCCTGCAGGTTTAAACGTGCTCTGCAAATTTCAGAACATCATTATTTAGTTGTTTGGAAACTATTTTTTTGCGACGAGCACAGAAAAATTGGTATGACTACGACACTCGTAACAACAAATGTATTTTGGTTGATGTTTGTCTCATGTTTTTTCCCCGATAACCCTCTTCAGCAAACTGATTCATATAACTCGAAGTTCCTCCGCCCCGTTCAGGGGCACGAAATTTGGAAGCTTTTTAACGGGCGTTCGCTGCATGCATGATATCGTGTTATGCTGTAATAACCCTTTATTTCACAAGTTTTTTGTTCCTTTGATTTTGATGTTCGCCATGCTGCAACGCTGGGAGAGAAAGGATTGACTTAATTTACATCGCCATTTTGTATATTGTTTCGGGAAAATTTATTCGTTAGTTTTCTGCGGTTTGCTTGCAATCTTTGATAGCAAGCAAAAAAGAAGATACGTGCTGTGGATATTGATACTAATTTAGTGTACTCATGCTAAAATTCCCTCTCGTGTCAGTCATTGAAACGATTATCTGATTCAATAAATCTTCAAAATTGCACAAACGCACAAATGCGCGTCATTTTTTTGAAGAGTTTCTTAACTCACCTCAAACCAGTGAACCTTTGCACTTGCATTTTCCAGTTTCCAATTTCCTTTTTCCATATTTGCTGAGTGCAAGTGTTATGTTGTTTAGCATAATTTTTTTCTCGTTTTACTAAATCGGAAAGTTTAGTTTGTTGTGCTAAAAAATCATAGCTAGTTTGGCTGCCCTTCTTTTTAAAGACTTTAAAAAGATAACGTTATCTATTTGTTAGCTTCAACTTCCACTCCTTCTGGCACTACAAGAGAGAACAGCACTACATCCTTGAACACCACCGGCACACCACCGTTTGGGGCAAACAGGCCCCTACCTCCCGTCCCCACGGGGACCACACAAAGCTCTGCGTCACCACCTACTAATGCCAACAGACCGGCTTACTCTCAAAACGCACAGCCAAATAACCTTGGTAAGTTAAAAGAAGAGAGAGATTCAATGTATGTTTTCATGATTTAATGTGTGTTTCTCACATCATTATGACTGGACACTTAGACGACGGAAAAAGAACTGTTTGTGTTAGGCTGTTCAAGAAGAGAGTAAACATAAACATTTAGATTTTTTGTTTAACGTAAATCTTGATTCAAATAAAAACCCTCAAATAGTTATCATGTTGCCACGGCAACAACCCTCTCACGATCAGAATGTTTCGTATTTCTTTTAGTGAATGGCACCGCGAATTCCAATCCGGCTGCTGGAACTCCATCTTCTACTCCTCATTCTGCACCGGCTCGTCCTGCGGCCAACGAAGTGCCCCTTCCTGCTGGGTGAGTTTTATTTTACACCAACAGGTCTACTTGCTTTGATTGAGAATGGTTTTACAGTATTTCTCTTTTGTAGCTGGGAACAACGCGTCGATCCTCACGGTAGAGTTTATTATGTTGATCATAACACTCGCACGACGGCCTGGGAACGACCTCAACCATTGCCTAGCGGGTAAGAAAAGCTAATTGCGGGCTCGTAATCAGGGCGTGCATTGCTTGCCAGTGCACATTTATTTTGCATCATGAACTGTGACAACTGCACATCTCCAAAACAGTTCATCCCTCTCCCACTAAAGAGTATTCGTAGCTACTTCTGTAGACATTTAAATGACGTCTGGATCTCAAATTGTCCTATTTTGTTACAGGTTTTACCTTCCCTTCCCAGTTCTTTACAAACTGGGTTTTTTTACGATTTTGTGTTTAAATATGTCCAGTGTTAAGGTAGTAATTTGGAAGTAATTTTAATGCAATGCTTGTATGAATTTTAGCTGGGAACGACGAACTGACGAGCGTGGCCGAACGTATTACGTCGATCACAATACGCGCACGACGACATGGCAACGGCCGACGCTGGAAACGGTCAGAAACTTCGAGCATTTTCAAAATCAACGCTCACAGTGGCAAAATGAAAGAACACATTTTCAACAACGTTTCTTATTGCCAGTAAGTGCGATGTTTATTTTGTAAAACTGTTCTCCTTTAGCTGGTTAACATGAAATCACCTATTCTTGCTGAATTCTTATTGAATGCGACACTGAACTTGTGGTTTTATGGTTAATTTTTTAAAATCAAATCACTTTTGAAGACACGAGATATAAGTACAAGTGAAGTCATGTTTTACGCATTTATTTATTTATTTATGTACGTATGTATTTATTTTGTAAAACATATTTAGGAAAGAGAAAACATTTTCCGAGATTCCTTAGACTGGAGTATAAATGTATTATGGACCTAAGTTTCAACATCAGATCACTTCTTATGAAGATGCCAGACTGTAGTATAATAGGATTTAAGTTTTAACATGAGATATCTCTCATGAGAACTTCAAACACATATATATTTGACAGCACTATAGACCAAACTATTTTTTTTAGTGGTTTAAGTAGATTTCTAAAATATTTAATATTTCAGCAAAATTCCGCGGCTCCTGCACCAGATGATCCCCTCGGCCCATTACCACATGGCTGGGGTAAGTTAATTGATGTAGGACATTTTTTTCTCTCACGCCTTTGAATATATCATTATGAACATGCCTACATATGAAATTAGTCGATCAGAACGACCCTCTGTATTCATTCTTTTCCTACCATAGAAAAGAGAACGGAACAAAACGGTCGTGTGTATTTTGTGAACCATACAACTCGAAAAACACAATGGGAAGATCCTAGAATGATGAAGTAAGTTTTTCAAATGAGTTGAATTCTCTGCCTGCTCCTTTTAACGTATTGCTTGCACGCACCGGTTTTTTGCTTGCAATATATGTTGTGTTAAGATATCCATTTTATTCGCCGAATTATTAAACCATTATTCAGGGCGTATCGAAAAAAGTAGACTCTTGGAAAAAGTTGTCTATAACAAGACGCGCGTCGAATAAGCAAAAACGTTTGGTTATCTTAAGAACTTTAACGTTCTCTAGTACAGTTGGTGATGAAATTTTAGTAAATGCTAGGTTTTTTCCTTTGAAAGAACCTCTGTAAAAAGTCCTTCGAACCGGGCTTTTCGGACGAAAAATAACCATGGGAAAAACAATCTTATCATCCTGAGTGAAAATGTGGTCTGTGTTGTACAAGCTATCGAAATTTCAAGCAATTTTTTGCAAGCGCTTGCCAACGCGAGATCTTTAAAACTTGGATTTTTCCGTGTTCATGCCTTTTATAACCAAGTTTCATTACAACAATTCAAATTAACTATATGCATTTCCGAAATTTGCATAAAGTATAACAAGAATTTTGAGAAAACTTGTGTAAAATGCGAAAAAAATCCAAGAATTTTAAAGATCTTGCGTTGGCTAGCGCTTGCCCTATAAAATGCTTGAAATTTAGATGGCTTGTAGAACACACTCTATATTTTGACTCAGGGTGATTAAATATTTTTTTCCGATGATTATATTTTGTTCACAAGACCTGTTTTGAAGGACTTTTATCCGCAGATATTTCACTGGTAAAACATCTTGCATTTTTAAAAATTTCCAGCTGTACCAGAAATGTTAAGGTACTTAGAATCACCAAAACGTTTTGCTTATTCAACAGGTGTCATACTTGAGAGAAGGTTTCCTTTTTTTTCGATACACATATTGCACAGGCTAATGCAAACACAGCTATAGACGAACCAGCGCACGCGTTTTATTAGGTTTGTATAAATTACAATGCAGCATATTTCACAAAAGTTTTTGAAAATTTCTTAACTGCATTTAGCAAACGTTTTGTCGATTAAGTCATTCATGCTTAAGTGAAAACACAATTATTTATTTGCTGCAATTATTGTTATACGCAGGCTTTCTATCCAAGAAAAGTCTCTTCCTCCAGGATGGGAAATGCGATTTACGAACGAAGGCATTCCTTACTTTGTCGATCACACCACTAAAACGACGACGTTTAACGATCCGCGTACGGGAAAAAACGTTGGGTAAGCGAACATATTTGTTTTTGTTTGATACAGGTCTTAGTGTGATTTTTTGGTGCAAACAGAGTTTAGGAAAGATATAGAGCGCCTTTTCATTTTTTTTGGTACCTGAAACATTTAAAGACAAAACGCGATGTATCTTAGCAGAAACATTGCATCACATCTTTTTCTATTGCAGATAGTCCAGGTTAGTAGAGTCCTGAGATGGACTGTTAGTGTTGATGTTGACTTACGTTATGACAATCTTAGCGGCATTCTCTTGACTCTGAAGATGACTACCGCTAAGGTTGTCGAAACGCCAGTGAACATCTACGCCAGCAGTCATTTTCCGGACTCTACTAACCTGGACGGTCTTCATCTGCAAACATGTAACGATACCCCCTTGTTCAAACCATACACTTGAGAAACATTGCATCTTCATTGTTAAAACATAGCAAAGAAAATTTTTTTTCTTTTTTTTATTCCTGGCAAATTCCTCTTTAGGAATTTTCCATTTATGATATTTAAAATTTTTGATGGTTATTTTCTCAACCATTTTTTATACCTTGGCTTTAGAGGGCCAGCAATGGCTTACGAGCGAAGCTTCCGTTGGAAAATTACTCAATTTCGATATCTTTGCCAGGTACGTGTCCCTGCGGCATGCCGCAAAATATAATTTTATTGCGTTCGCTCACTTTAAAGACAATACGTTTGTAAAGAAATGAATAATGATTTTGATCTAAAATTTACATAGCAGGACTAGTACATGCTTGCCGAGTTTACTACTGGTCTTCCTTCTGTAATTGTTCTTGAATATATAGTGTGTATTGCAAAAGCTTGTACACTGTCGGACTCTATGACTAATGTTGAATAAATTGTGTAAATTGCAAAGGCCCTTATACTGTACGACTCTATGACTAATGTTGAATAAATTGTGTAAATTGCAAAGGCTTTTGTACTGTAGGACTGTAGGACTTTTGAAAAATGTCAGCCTTGCAAAAAGTGAATGCATGTGAAAAAACTACGCAGCAATATCTCATTTTGCTTTTATTTATATATCTTCTACGGTTTACCGAAACAAAGGATCACATTAGATTTGATGATTAGATTGGAGGGAGGGTGGTTAAATTTTGTTAGTATATTGTGGTTACCTTCAATCTTTGACACGTGCTTTCTTCCTTTTTTATCATATTTTCTTTTTTAAGGCGAATTCACTGCCAAGTCACGTAAAGCTTGGAATAACGAGAAACAATTTGTTTGAAGAGTCTTTTCAACAGGTAAGATACAGTGTAGTACACGTCAATGTCCTTTATGTAACTTATGTATATTGCGTGCTATGATTGGTCGAAGCCATCGAGTAGTTGTTCTGCTTTGACACTTTTTACACAAGTTTTACTAGTTAAGTCTGTGAACTTTATGTATTACTGAAATGCTATAGTACATCTAATCAATGCTCTTATGCTAGTTCCGTTGTTAGCGTTCCAGTTAATATTACAACTTACTGACTTATGATGACAATACTCATGGACGCATTTACCGAGGGGGCTCTACCCCCCAACATCTGCTTTCACACCCCTAAATAATTTTTTTACCCCTCTAAGAAAAATTTTAACCACCCCAATTTTTAGCAAAATGAATCAGTAGTACATCATCAGAGATTATACATAATATAAATCCTAACACGGTTTTTATATGCACATGACAAACATGTGACTTGGACGAGTTTTGACCTCGAACCTTCGGAATACAAGTCCGCCGCTCTACCTGTTGAGCTACCAGGCCCACAGGGATTGGAGACGACTCAAGTCTCTTTAAAACTACGCGTGGACAGAGATTCTCGCCACGATAGCAGTTACTGGATGGCACCGTGTTTCGACTTTATTCCAAAATCATCATTAGAGATTATACATAATATAAATCCTAACACGAAGTATAGTTTAAGTGAGTTTTTCGAGGCAAAATTTCAACTTTCTACACAACCTTCGATGGCCACACTACTACACCACCAATGCATTGTCTTACGTCACTTCTTTACTAGTTCACCCCCCTTAAAGTTTTTAACACCACCCCCGTTAGAAATATAAAAGTCCGTCCATGATATTACTTCTGAGCTGTAGTATTGTTTAGTGGAACACGCGACTCGGCAAAAGACAAAATTATTTTAATTGAAAATTGCTCAATCTCACGTTTGCATCGCATGCCAAAATTTTGAATGCCGTCGCCAAGTTTAGTTGCCTTCTCTTCATATAACTGTCTTGTGGATTTCTCAGGCGTTGTTGTGATAAAAATAAGTAGATTCTTATGCTCCAACCTGTTATTATGTAAGTTTGTTAAGATTAAAGATTGATGACTAGAGACGTTTTTGCATTCTGCAGGTGATGCGTTATCAGCCACATGATTTACGACGTCGTCTTTACATCACGTTCAAGGGTGAAGAAGGTCTTGACTACGGCGGTGTTGCCAGGTATTATCGCGGGCGCACTCTGTTTGTTGATAAAGATGTTGAACGTAATCGCTGCTCGTCGTTATTTTAGGGAATGGTTCTTCCTTCTTTCTCACGAGATCCTTAATCCAATGTATTGTTTGTTTGAGTACACCAGCGACAATACGTACAATCTTCAAATTAATCCAGGTATTTCCATACAAACATAGTAGAGAACTAGTGCAGTTTAGCAGACACCTCAGGCGCTGTTCAAAAATTATAGACATTGATAACTAACCCAAACCATAACACTAAAACATAACACTAATCACAACCATAATCATAACCATAGCCATAAATACAACCATAATCATAACCATAGCCATAAATACAACCATAATCATAACCATAGCCATAAATACAACCATAATCACAACCATAATCATAACCATAGCCATAAATACAACCATAATCATCACCATAGTCATAACCGTAACCATAACCCTAACCATTATACTAACCCTAAACATAACCATAATCCCGTTTGGAAGACTAAAACTATTTTAAACTTTCTAATCAAACACGAACATGTTCTTTCTTGCCAAAATAAGCGCTTCCGATGTCCGCTAAACTGCAGTCTAGCCCTTAGTAGCAACAAATTAATAAGGCATTAATTTTCCTTTTATATATTTACATTACACTGTATACATTGGCAAGATTTTCCTTTTTTTTTTACCTTTACATTCATTTTTTTTTACATTACACATTACATTTACAAGATTTTCCTTTACATTTACATTACATACATTGGCAAGATTTTCCTTTTACATTTACATTACACTATGTACATTGGCAAGATTTTCCTTTTACATTTACATTACACTATATACATTGGCAAGATTTTCCTTTACATTTACATATACATTGGCAGGTTTTCCTTTACATTTACATTACACTATATACATTGGCAAGATTTTCCTTTTACATTTACATTACACTATATACATTGGCAAGATTTTCCTTTTACATTTACATTACACTATATACATTGGCAAGATTTTCCTTTTACATTTACATTACACTATATACATTGGCAAGATTTTCCTTTTACATTTACATTACACTATATACATTGGCAAGATTTTCCTTTTACATTTACATTACACTATATACATTGGCAAGATTTTCCTTTTCAACAGCCGTCCTTTGTTTGCTTTTGATGTCATTGTTTAGGCGTGTGCGTTTTTTCTTCTAGCGTCAGGTGTCAATCCAGATCATTTAGCGTATTTCCGATTTATTGGAAGAATAGTTGCTATGGTAAGTTTACCGCGCAATAAATATCGGGAGGAAATATATTGAGGTGTTGAGGTGAACTCTTTATGAACTTTTGTCTAGTGCCATTCTCTGTTATACTGGCACTACATAAAACAATGCCCCCGAGACATAAATTCTAAATGAATGAATCACAGATAAATATTCGCAGCACATATCAGGCTTATGGTATCTGCAATGTGAAGAAAAGAACGTATCGTCCCTTGAATTCAAAATTTACTAATTTCAAACTTTTATTGTAAAGGAAGTTAAAGCATTTTTCACTCACTATTCTGCGAAATCATTCATTGCTTACTGTCATAGTGTAAAGCAGTTTGAAGAATGGCAAAATCATCTGATCAAAACAGAGCATTTAAAACTGGCCTTTATGGAGGGACTGGGAATCATTCGTTTAGAACTTAAACTAATTTATCTAGAGGGAACTTTCTTTTTGTGTGGTGCTTAATTCAACTATACTTCATTTGAACGACTTTCGTTTGCAGGCACTCTTTCACGGGAAATTCATCGACCGTGGCTTCACCTTGCCGTTCTACAAAAGAATTTTGAACAAAAAGTTGGTGATGAAAGATTTAGAGACAATCGATCCAGAATTTTATAACTCCCTCGTGTGGATAAAGTATGTACAATAGCTACATATGTTATTTCCGTAACTGCGTAAAAGCACTTCTGATAATGCGCATTTAATAAATACGTATTTATTCAATGCGCATGTGTTATTTACCGGCTGGTAGGTTCGGATAGAAAAATATTTTCTCGAGATCTGAAAAAGAGCCCGAGGTCGCAAGCCGAGAGGGAAAATGTTTTTTTGCTGACCGACCTAAACGGTAAATAAGTTATTTTTTTATTGCCAAAGGCAACAATCTTATGAGATTGTGCAGTCAAATACAACAATGGCAGCAAAGTAAGCAATCAAAACTTTGCTATTCATTTGATCATTTTACTTTGGAAAACTCTAAATTCATATAAAATAGATTTTTACAATGAAAAGTTAGCTGATAATGTCCTTTTTGAAACAAAAATAAACAACTCTTCTCTCAAGTATTTAGCAATAGAATTCTGGACCGCGGTCAAATATCCCAAAATCCTGCCCGCTGCTACAGCCAATCAAATTGTAGGAAAGGCTACGATTCCACCCGCAGCTGATATGCAAAAAATAAAACGCCATTTTTGTAAACAAGGAAAGCGAGAGAACAGCTTAACGATTATCATGTTTCATCCTCTATAGGGAAAACGACATTGATGAAATTGATATGGAAATGTTTTTCTGCACCGATCAAGAGATTCTCGGGGAGATATCGACGCACGATCTCAAGCCGGGCGGTTCCGAAATTCAAGTTACGGAAGAAAATAAAGAAGAATATATTAGGTACTAATTGCTTTTATTCTAATTTTGGGTAATGTAGGGACATCGGCGACGTTCCTACATTAAAAAAAAGTGTGGCATGGTACGACTATAAGTGGCCACTGAAATCTAATCCAAACTATAGCATCTTCTCTGTTCTCCATCCCTGCCACTCGTACCTACTTCTTTAAGTGACTTAACTGGACATTAGAGAAACCATTTTGATGCGACTGTTACCAAAAGTTCGTGCATGTGTGTAGATTAACCAATGCCAGCACTGATCCTTTTACATTCTGTTTCATAACTAATGCCATTACTGACATTTTTGCATTCTGTTGAATAACCAATGCCAGTACTGACCCTTTTGCATTCTGTTGAATAACCAATGCCAGTACTGATCCTTTTGCATTCTGTTGAATAACCAATGCCAGTACTGACCCTTTTGCATTCTATTGAATAACCAATGCCAGTACTGACCCTTTTGCATTCTGTTGAATAACCAATGCCAGTACTGACACCTTTGCATTCTGTTGAATAGTCAATGCCAGTGCTGACACTTTTACATTCTGTTGAATAACCAATGCCAGTACTGACACCTTTGCATTCTGTTGAATAGTCAATGCCAGTGCTGGCACTTTTACATTCTGTTGAATAACCAATGCCAGTACTGACACTTTTGCATTCTGTTGAATAACCAATGCCAGCACTGATCCTTTTGCATTCTGTTGAATCTTTATGCGTTTTGTTTAGTTTAATGACTGAATGGCGTTTGAATCGCGGAATTCAGGATCAAACGAAGGCCTTTTTAGATGGTTTCAACAATGTCGTTCCTCTTTACTGGCTTTCGTACTTCGATGAAAAAGAACTTGAGGTAAGCGGCAATTCCTTTTCGAGAATTGACTTCATATTATGAATTAGTAAAGATGACAGCATGAAGATCTTACTAAAAGTATCATTAATGCCTGTATACTTAGTTTGTTCTAGCAGTTGGCCTTGTGCAAACTAAAGTCTTGGTAAATATTATTTCGGAAAAAAATAGTTTTATACTTAGTGTGAGTTCTTTTCTTCACAGCGTGTAGTAAACTTAAGCACGAGCCTGCATGGGTTGCATGATGTAGTCAACTACTGTCACTCGTACAGCTTTTCATTGGTAACAACTAGAAAAAGTTGAGCTCTATAAAATTCGTGGCAGATGACAATTTTATGAAGTGTAAAGGAAAACATACTCCGAAGAAAAGGATTTTAAATGTTTTAGTTCAAATGTTTCCTTTTGTAAGATCATATGAAAGTCAAGTTTTTGTAAAATGTAGAAGTATAACTTATAAAGTCATATTATCTTCAAATCCATTTCTTTGTGTTTTCATGTGCCTACTGCATAAAAAATTCTTCGTTTAAATTTTTTTTGACCTACAGATACGTTGATAAAAATACTTATAAGTGTTCCCGAGTGCAGTGGTGCATGCAGTGCCGACTTGAAGTGTTATTCTTATATCGAACATAGCTACATACTTATTTTTATGACTTGACTTTTTTTAAGTTGATGCTCTGTGGAATGCAAGAGGTTGATGTCGATGATTGGCAGAGGAATACGGTTTATCGTCACTATACGAGAAATAGCCGACAGGTCATCTGGTTTTGGCAGGTCAGTTGCCGTTAAAAAAAAACAAACCACTAATATCGCGAGTTCACTAGCTCAAGCATTTCAAATGCTCATATTTATCCCTCTTTGTCATGGGATGATCCTGATATTTTTCCCGTGTATAATACATTCGGACAACGTATAAATTACTGCCATTGCTCCTGCGTACCTTTTTTGCCATTATCTTTAACATGATATCAAAGTACCATTGTTAAGGTCTGCATGTTCAAAATGAGCTCCATTAATTACTTCCTTGACTTTTAACGGCAGTTATAGGTGAAAATCAATTATTGTTCAACAGTTTGAGCTTTATTTTTCTTTAAAACTTTACAAGAAACATGAAATGTAAACATTCATCATATACATAGTTTCAGTTCCACAGAATTATGAGGCTCATCGCTGTTCAATCCAATATAATCTTTTCTCACTTGCCCAAAAACTGCCAAGATTACCCTCAGGGAAATTATCTATTTAGATAAAGTTAACTATGTGAAGAAGATTTGCAATATATTTTAAAAGGCAAAAATTTGATCTTCCTTGACTTTTTGGGCGTCAAATTTGGCTTTTTTCATGTTTGACCGTGAGGTGCTGTGACTGGGTCTTGTTCACTGGACGTGACGTACATTGGAAAACAACGCTGCTTTTTAACGCTGTAGTTTATAGTAAAATTTGTTGCAACGTCAAGTTCTTCATTTTTTATTCAACTTTTATAACGCTATAGACTTAAAGTGTGATTCCATAAGTACAAAATATAACTCAAGTTTATTAGAAATAAATGTCTTGACGTTGCAACAAATTTTAATATAAAGTACAGTGTTAAAAAGCAGCGTTGTTCTCCAATGTACGTCACTTCCGCTGAACTAAATTCAGTCACAGCACCTCACGGTCAAACAAGAAAAAAAGCCAACTTTGACTGCCAAAAAGTCCAGAAAGATCAAATTTTTGTCTTATAAAATATATTGCAAATGTTCTTAAAATGATCAACTATATCTAAATATATTATTTCCCTAAGGGTGATCTTGGCAATTTATAATAGCAAATGAATCTTCTTTTGTAGTTTGTTTTCTGCATAAAGGTCAAGTTATGATTTTCCCTCAGTAATTGACTTTGTTTATTATATATCCAAGGCCGTAAAGTCGTTTGACAACGAGAAGCGAACGCGTCTTCTCCAGTTTGTAACTGGAACTTGTCGTTTGCCTGTTGGCGGTTTCAACGAATTGATGGGTAAGAAAGAAACTAAATAGACTTTCTTTTTTAATTAGTGTAGTTCAAACTTTATTTGGTTACTCTAATCCTTGTAACTTCTTACCGACAGGGAGTAACGGTCCTCAGAAATTTTGCATTGAAAGAGTCGGCAAAGAGACCTGGTTGCCTCGGAGTCATACGTGGTAGGTTTTATGCGATACTTGATGTAATTTATACCAGGCAGGTCGATCATAGAATGAAAGCTGAAATTCGGCTTTTAATTCATGACGAGAACGAATGTGGATATGGTAGTTAGTAGTGAAGTCTGGGATGGATCAAATAAAATTTTTTGGGGGGGTGCTTTAGATAGGATTAGATTTCGGTGCCTTTAGCCAAGTCTAGGAGCGTCTCTCCCCCCACCGGTATTGCAGCAAATGCATTACCTCCTCCCACTCTTATAATGCCCAGTAAATGCCTCCCTAAATGAAGGTAGTTGTTTCTGGTCATGTACCTCTTCTGGTCTCAATTTTACCTTCTGTTCCACACCTTCAAATCAACACATTTTCAACTAAATGATAGTTACTATGAAACATTGTGCGTTTTTAGTTTTCATTAAGTTGTTGTGTCATTGATGTTCATAATCACCAAAGTAGCTGCATGGTAGGTTTAAAGAAGTCTTTTTCTAATTCTTAGTTTCAATCGACTGGATCTTCCTCCATACAAGAGTTACGACCAGCTTATAGAAAAGTTGACGTTTGCTATCGAGGAAACCGAAGGTTTCTCACAAGAGTAGAACTAGTGCTCTACGCGTGAGAAAATGAAATCGAATGGCCTAAAGTAATTAGCGTTAGTTTTTTAAATGTATTGTCGCATACGTTTCCCGCTCTCGTTTACTAAATGCAAAAAATATGTTGGGTTTGTTTATGCGAACAATAATACGAGGTAGGAATTGAAATTGAAAGTATAAAGGAATTTTGATGTTTCGTCCTCGAAAGTTCTATCGGGGAGCTCTTAAAGTGCTGTTGTAAGTGCTTATCACGCCAAAATGTGCTTTTCTCAGAGAACCATTTAAATTGTAGGCAACAACTTCGGGCGGTCGTATCGTATATGAATAACTTATTGAACTTGTTAAACTCCGCCATATTGATCGCAGCGTTTTTGCGCGGGAACGAGGCGGCAAGTTATTTTACTTGGCAAACATCGAATTATGCTTAGAACGCATTTTGGTGTGTTTTGCACTTGAAACCATTTATAGCAAGGCATGCAAGCAATGTGAACGGATAAACTGCACCCACTCCTCCCATCGTACATTCATTCGTGTTTACGTTCCGCCGCCGCCGCCCCTGCCATGGTCTTTTTAAGGTTGTAAAGTTTTGATGCAGGTTGATGATGTGATGAAAACAGCCGATAAACCGTTTGCGTTGCTTGTTTGTCGTTCTCGCCCTCAAATAATCTTAAATAAAGAAATTTCAACGTTTGCTGTATGTAAAATGTAGACATTTATACTTTAAGAAGTTTGTATTTAGTGAAATATCGTTGCACAACCAATATGTAATTATCATGTTTTAATACAAGGGACAATCATTTAAGCAACGTTAAAAATTATTGTGCGACCATGATGCAATTGGAAGCATTTACGTTTGCTGTTTAATAGGCCTTTTGGTCACTGATATGTATAAAACTGAATAACGCAGCTTCGTACTTGACTTGAAGCCGGGCGGCGGCCATATTGGACTGTCCACTTTTTCAGTTTTTATATACGTTTTATATAACAAACTGCTACTCTCGCATTTACTTTGGATCATTTGTTTCACTCTTGGGACAAAAAAAGAATTATTTTAATGGCAAGACTGTGATAAAACGGTTTTGGACGAAAATTCAAGTTCGCTAAATTTCATATAGAAATCTTCTCCCGTTGTTAAAATATCATAAAAGATTTGGCATGATTTTGGAAAGAGAAAATAACAAAAATGCATTCAAGAAAAATTCATTATAAAACATATACTAGAAGTGGACAGTCCAATATGGCCGCCGCTGTCAAAAATTGGCTCAAAATTTTTTAGGCACCAGAATTAGGTTGCGTTATCCAGTCTTTATATATATCAGTACTTGTGGCGAATATAAGGCAATGACCATACGACTCCTTTCCGATCATTTACGGCAAGATACGAACGCGATCCAGTCTTCATGAAGTGTTACCCGTTTATGTCATCGGTGACTCTATCTGGGCTTTCACTATTTATCTTCGACATATTGTATGATTAACTCCGAACCACTGAACAAAGTTTCCGAGTTTCGGCTAATTTCTTCTTCTAAACTACTATCAATAGTGAGCTGTCTTGAACACGTCTCAAAAAGCCGTAGTTTCTAGAAAACAGTGATATAATGTGGGCTGTTGTACTCATGAAATAAACATCCAAATTTTTCATATATGCAGGCTTCATACAAAACTCAAAAGTCCCTGTATGTTCTTTAAAATTGAAGTCAAAAGTTTAAGCTTGAATTACTTTCATTTATTAGGATGTGCCTGAAAGTGCTTGAATTTAAATTCTTTAGGTGGAATTTTTGTAAACAAGTTATCGTACTAATTTCTTTTCAAAATTGGGGTTGAAATTATATCTAAACTCTTTATTGCACAAAAAGCAACTAGCGCGATGATATGTTTTCTGTCAAGAAATGTGGATTCAAGCACATCTTGATAAATTAAAGTCCTTTTAAAGCCTTGGATTTTTCATACTAAATTCAAAGGGCATTCAAAGACGTTCAGGTTTTGTAAGAACTCCGTGACTTAGGGACTGACGTATACACATTTAATTGAAAAGAAGGTAGTGCGTGATGCCGTACCTTGGAAGGTTGTTTGTTATTTTCGTTTTTTAATTTACATGTCTTGGCAATTTCGTCGATCGTCTTTCCAACACTCCACCTCTAGATGAACGAGAAATTAAGAGTTAACAGTGTCATTGCTCATAACAAGAGCTCGCCTCCCCCTACTTCGAATGATGCATCTATATAAGATTTTACCAATAATCCAATTAACCGACACTAAAAAACCGATATTTTGCCGATACCGGTATTTACGAAACATAAACATAGTAAAGTAGGCCACTTTGTGCTCACCAGTGACTGTTCATTTGATAAAAAAAAGAGATAAAATTCAAAGTGGTTATTTGCACTGCAGCCATATTTCACAACACAATTGTCAATGGAAATTTCAATGTCATGTGGAACCAACAAATTTTAAGTTGTGGTAATTTAACAAAAATTGTTACGGTAATATATTTACTATTGTTAAACTATGGTTCGCTTCATATATATTTTTTTCAATGACATGTCTAAACATCGGTATTATTAGCAAGAAAAATACCGACACCGATAATTCTATTTTAGAGCCGATACGCCGATATAGATATCGGTACATCACTACCTACTTCACACCGATTTTTACAGCAAGTCATTTCCTTCACCCTTTATACAAGCATTTAATGAACTCATTTAGTATAATTGTAATCTATTTTCCTTTATATGCCTTAAATAACAGAGATCGATTAAATCTTTTAAGTAACAAAACAAAGACGTGGTGGCAATGTAAATATTGCCTTGAAAAGCGCAATTGCCATGGTGAATGATAAAATTCTCAATCCTGAAGGTTTCTATTAGTATTCACAACTTTTGGCAACTCCATTATAATTTTTGCCCATTCATGAAGTATTTTCATTTGTCGTCATTACATTGTTCACATCTAAACTTAATGAAGGAGCAGCTCGACTTCTTCCTGAACACAATAAAAATTATTTGCCTGCTGGGAATAAAAAGTCGAGTTGGCTTCGTCACTAAATAAAGACGCCTCGTAAACTAATTCATAAGAGCAACTTACCCCTCCCACCTATTCAACAGCTGCCTTTACAACCTTTGAAAAAAACATTGCTTTCGTACGCGTCAACGAGCCCTCCGGGAGAAGAATGGAAAAGTAGATACGTTCGTCCTGTAAAAAAAGAGTTTATGTTTATGAAAGATTAGCGGAGATTGAAAGTAGGAAATTGTGTTGTACGTATAAAATTAAATTTGTTTGATGGTTGAATATGCAATGCATGGAACCATAAATGACTATGAAATGCTACGATACCCGAGGCGTGGAAGAATCACCAACAGCATGCAACTTCATCTTCATGAGAGCAACTTTCGCCTCTCTACTCCTTGACCTCGCCCCACCACGCCCTGTTTCAAAGTAGTTTCAACAAATTTTTCTAAATCATACATTATCTAATGTAGTCCCACATACCCAATTCAACCTTTTTATTTAGCAATCACTTTTAGTTTCAGTCAATTCATTGTCTCTATACGGTTACCAAAGACCTAGCTCCGAAGTAAATTCAATTCAAGCTACAGGCCTACTCACCCTTTTTTTCTTTCTTGCTTACGGTAGCTAAAAAACAATTTCAGATATTGATGAAATGTTACTTTTTTGTGCTCACCAAAATGTACTAATTCTAGCGACAACCTCGAGCTACCGTACCTCGTTCTGAATTTTGTTTTTCATTCGAAGAGTTTTCCTCGCCTAGTTTTGAGCAGAAATGGTCCTGAGGATGTCGATGTCTTCACGAGGTTATATAGTGCAGTGTTAGAAAATTAAAGTTGTTTGCTGGCTTTGCACAGGCTTATGTAAAGCGAGGAGACATTTGGACGAGAGTACAACAGTACAAACGTCTCGTTTTCACAAACGAGGTTAAACATAAGCTAGAGCAAACACGAAAACTTTTATTTCTTTCGTAAAATAACAGTAATGCGAAACAGATAAATTTAAAACAAATGTTTAACGATTGATTTGCAGCTAACTCGGCTAAAGACCAATCAGCGTACGCATTTTTTTCATGTTATTTTGTAATAATGGATAACTGTGGATCATCGTCTTTCATGCCACAAAAGTCCAAACGAGAACACTGATTATACACGCCATTATTTGGCAAAAAAATCTTATTAAAACTAGGAACTTCGCGATCGATCATTATTTCGGTTTTTATAAATGCTCGTCGCAACATTCATCAAATTACCATATATTGTTAGATTTATATTGCGTCGATTATGATCTTGACGTTTTGGTAATTTGATGAATGTTACGAAGAGCATTTATAAAAACCGAAGTATGAATACTGATAGTATGAATACTGATATCATTATTATTATCTTACTAAGTATGAATATCTCTAAACAGAAAAATAACCACACTATTGCCTTGTTTTACCTCAAACAAAATTCTTGTAGGCATTTTTCGCACTTCACAGGCAAAATCTCGCGAATCTGACAACTCTCTAGAAAACACTTGATGCCATCTTTCGGTGTTGAGTGATTTATCTGTATTTTAAGGCGAAATAATCACTTATTGATGTCGTGAAAAACTAACTCGTGTGTCTATTTTTTCCCATTACCTTGGTAGTTTCACGTGGTTTTGCAGTGCAATTATGTGCAGTTGTCGAACGATGCTCGAGGCTCATAAAATGAAACAGAGACTACTGTGAAAGGAATCATGTGACTAAAGAAAAATCTTGCTTAGAAACATGTTCATGTAGACTGTTACAGCATGAACTTATTGGGCGGCTCGATATGCTATGGATCTTCAATATTTTGAGCTTTTCTTTCACGAATCAAGAATTAACTGAAAATGGCTGTAGCTCAGTGCAAGTTACATGTTTCCTGATAATGCAGTAATATGCTACAGCAAACCTATAAAACTTCTCTGACCCTCTAATCACGAAACACGCAATAGCAAATAATGAATGACGTAATATAATATTGAATCAGTGTCACGATAATTACTATAAGTACCATATTACGTAACATTTACACAACAAAAACGTTTGAAATCGTTTACGAAAATATGATTGAAGGACGTTCGGTCAGTTCAGATATTTGTCATTTAGTTGATATAGTTTTGATGGTCATTTTAATCGTGTGATACACTGAAAAAGATAACCCTTAAAATATCTCTCCCAATAAAGCTCGGTTTACAACTAAGTAGGTCTTTTTGGCCAGGACTTTTGCATGTAAAAATACTATTAAATCAGCAATTCAATGTCATACCAAAATATCGCTAAACAGTTCCCGCAAGTGAATGGCAGAAAGTCTAAACAAAACAATTTCCAAGTGAAAATTCACGCGAGCATGTAGCTCTCCAAAATAAATAAAGACAACTTACCCAGTCGTTGACAAGTTGAAAATGAACATTGTTTTCCAATATTGATTTCCGCCATCTTGATTACAAATACCGCAGACTAATCAAGTAAACATATCGCGGACTCAAACAAGGATCAATTGTGAACAGCGAATTGCCAGATTTGGAGAAGTTTGAAAGGTTTAGAAATGTTTGTTCCTTGTTCTGATGAAGAAGAAATTAGCTTTGCTGGATTCACCTTTGTTTTGGTAATTTTTCATCACGCTTTTTGTGTAGTTTTATTAAAACTTTGCTGTTTTATTAATTTCCTAAGTTCTATTTTGCCACTGCAAGAAGAGTGATCCCTGATCAGATACTGTTTACTGTCTAGTGATGTCACTGATGTGACGCTGAAACATTGTAAACTTACTCCAGTGTTTTACAGACTGGTCTCCTACGGAAACTTGAAGGCCTATCTTTAGTCTTATTTCTTCGCCAATGAATGATTCAACATCTTCGTATTGTTGGAACTTAATTTCTCATGTACTGCAATTCGCTGTCATTAATATGAACGATCTGCTCAACACTCAGGAAATTAGGTCTTGTGCCATACTGTCATAAACTGATTATATTAATGGAAGGCTCCCTTGAAGTAAACATGCTTGTACATGCTTAAAGCCAAATTTTAGCTCCATAATCCATATGTGCTTCTCAGGAGATAAAGTCCCTCATTTTAGTTTATTGCCTACAGTAATGAACTTTCTTTTCTTTCATTTGTAAGCACCAATGCATTGTATAATTTGATATTCAAACCATCGCATCAATAATGTAAGCATTAATGCACTGTATAATTTGATATTCAAACCATCGCATCAATAATGTAAGCACCAATGCACTGTATAATTTGATATTCAAACCATCACATCAATAATGTAAACACCAATGCACTGTAGAATTTGATATGCAAACTATCGCATCAATAATGTAAGCATCAATGCACTGTATAATTTGACATTCAAACCATCGCATCAATAATGTAAACACCAATGCACTGTAGAATTTGATATGCAAACTATCGCATCAATAATGTAAACACCAATGCACTGTATAATTTGATATGCAAACTATCGCATCAATAATGTAAACACCAATGCACTGTATAATTTGATATTCAAACCATCGCATCAATAATGTAAACACCAATGCACTGTAGAATTTGATATGCAAACTATCACATCAATAATGTAAACACCAATGCACTGTATAATTTGATATTCAAACCATCGCATCAATAATGTAAGCACCAATGCACTGTATAATTTGATATTCAAACCATCGCATCAATAATGTAAGCACCAATGCACTGTATAATTTGATATTCAAACCATCGCATCAATAATGTAAACACCAATACACTGTATAATTTGATATTCAAACCATCGCATCAATAATGTAAGCACCAATGCACTGTATAATTTGATATTCAAACCATTGCATCAATAATTTCATTACATGTTTGTACGTAGATGTAGATTGTCCAGGTTACTAGAGTCCTGAGAAGGACTGCTGGTGTTGATGTTGATTGATGTTTCAACAACATTAGCAGTAGTCAACTTGACTCTACATACTAACCTAGACGATCGACATCTACAAACATGTAACAATACTCCAAGGTTCAAACCATTTACTTTAATAATTTCCTTTTGCCTATACCAAGATCCCATCAAAAATATGACATACTTTCCAAATTGTTTCTTTATAAACCCGGAAACAACCTAATACAGTATTAAACACTCAAATGAATTTCTTTCAGCCTGCAATCTCCGTTGGTAATGTTGGACAGTTGGCAATTGATCTTTTGATCCATAACTTGTGTTTGAAGCGTGTTGGATATTTTTATGATGATTGTATCTTACCACTCGTTGGCAATAATCCCTTTGATGAACCTGATTGTAATGATGGATCTTTAGTGACGAGTAGTGAAGGTGTGTATTCTGACTTATAAATTTTTCTGCTTTAAAACTCTCTTTAGAGCCTAGTAGCAAGCTAGGAACATATTTTGCTGGCGGGAGCTGTTGTTTTCCATTGTAAATGCTCCCTAAGAATAGAGAGCTCTCTTCACTGAAGATTTAAATAAAAAAGCTCTAACGCCTGGTTCTCATTAAGTCGCTTCAGTCATCCAAGTCGTTCCGAGTTGTTTCGTTGCTTTTCAAAACGACAGGGACGACTCAAGCTTTGTACTTCTCATATATTTGTACTAGCGCTGCCGAGAGACTGCTTAATTAATTTTTACGCGATACATTTGAAAATGGCGCTGATGTTTATCAAAGACAAAGTCTTTTAGCTGGTTATTAGCTTCTACAAATCGTTTTGCGCCATAAAAAGGTCGCTTGCATTTCTCAACGGTCGTCCGAATAGAGCAAAGTTCTATCCAAGCGACCCTGGTCGTTTCAGTCGTGTGAGTCATTTGAGTTCATCCTGGTCGCCTCTGAAATGTTTTCATAAAGTCGCACGGGTCGTCTGTGAAATTTTGGCATGACTGAAACGACTCTATGAGAACCAGGCTTAAAATACCATCTCCTGAATTTTGGGGGGGTGAAAATTACTAGCTGTATAGTTTCAAATGTGTCTTGTCAACACCGATTGAAAATTTGATGCCTCTTATTTAATCCAGCACCTCGCAAAAACCAACAGTTGAGGGGGCATAGACCCCCTCCCCTCCTATGCCGGCACGCCAATGTTAAAGCCTGTTTAACATTAGCAATCAAACAGCTCATCATGACATCACAAAATCAGTATTATCGATTCGTTGATATCATTATTGACAAAAACGTAGAGCCGTAACTGCTTCGCAAAATTCGGTGTTTTTCACAATAAAAAGGCTCGTTCTGTTGTTTACGACTAAAACAAAATTTTTACAAAGCGACAACGACAACAAACTTCCTCGTGCCATTCTCTTACACGGTCAAACTTCGAACTTGTTTTCGTAATCGTACTCTTGCTAAAGCTCTCTAACTTTAATATTTGTTAACTGCAATGTTTGACTCTTAATCCGCGCTGTGTAAACGGTATTTTTCAATGCGTTTAAAGTTGTGTACATGTGTACATGAACGTTTTATTTGGATAGCAGTGTAAATGTCGTAATGCTTTTAAAAGTTCTTTGAAGAAGGAAGTTACTTTAGAGGGGGGCTGTTACTTTAGGGTAAAAGGCGTTACTTTAAGGTAAAGGGCTTACTTTAGGGTAAAGAGCGTTACTTTAGGGTGAAGGGCGTTACTGTAGGGTGAAGGGCGTTACTGTAGGGTGAAGGGCGTTACTGTAGGGTGAAGGGCGTTACTGTAGGGTGAAGGGCGTTACGATGGCAGTTAATTTCGCCATTCTTTAGTAATTGTTGAAATAGACAGCTACTTTTAAGGGGGGCATCTACTTTCATAGGGACGCTTTTTCAAAACTCTATTGTTATATTTCAAAGCTCAAAGTTAAATAAAATAATTGCTGTTTGAATGGTCATTTTAGGCATGCTGTGTAAACATGTAAAAACGATTCATCAAGGGTTGTGAAAGTATTTCTTGCATTTGTCTATGTCTCTTCTGCTTGATTATTTTGTTTTATCACACCCTTATTTAACACGTTTTTAATGACCACACATTTTGATTTTGGCTTTACATTTACGTATTTACTAAATTGTTATGTTAATCATGAGTTATTATTCATTTGATGTAGTGTTCATGTGTGATCAGTCAAAGATTGTTGTGTTACAACTTAGGGCTCCTCTTGCAAAGGTGGGCTTTGAATTTTATTCATTTATTGTTACATCTGATGTTATAATTGCCCGTTGTCTTGGCATTTAGGGATGCAGGCAAATATTTTGTGACAACATTGCCAAATGGGTCAAAAAAAGTGAAATGAAGCAGACTGTTTTGTTGACCAGCAGTATTGCAAGTGAAAGATCGGATTCACAAATTCAAAAGTATGTATGTATGTGAAAGAATACCAAGTAGTACCTCAGTTGAATTCTCTAGATCAGTAGTTTTTGTTATGTTCTTAAAACTGTGAAAATGCTTGTTAAATCTGCTAGAATTGTTCCTAGTATTGGTAAATAATAAACATGTATGTTGAGATGGCAGCAGTGGTGCTAGCAAAATTTTTTTATATTTTGTTGATGCCAGAATATTTTTGAGGAACAAAACCAAAAATTTCTCGTGCAAATCTATTGTTTTTACAGCAAGTGCAAACAGAAAAATTTAATTAGCATGACAAAACTTGCGGTCTCGCTATGCCAATGATTGTCAGGTCCTCAGTATTATTGGCTAGAAGCTAAACAGAACGAGAATGATTTAACAACTCAGTATACGTTTTTGTTTCAGTGGACCATTTCGTTATTTGCTTTCTCCCAAAGGAAAACATCTCGAGAAAACCTTTCTTGATCAGTACGGCTGGAGATGCCTTGAAGAAAGACATGCCAGTTCTGTAGGTAACGATGCTAAATAGTCAATATAGGGTTGACTAAACTCCTTCAATTTGCATGGAAGGTGTTTGTTTCGTTTAGCTCTTCGTAAAATGTTTTCCTTGATTCACGATTGCAAAAACATTCCAGGTTCTTGGTTCTTGTGCGTATTGAAAACAATTTTTATCTTGGTTTTTTTGAAAACAAACTTTATCATGTAGAGTATGTATCATATGTACTTGTAGCTATACATGAATAGTAAAATTATGCACACAGCGCAAAATAAGGTTTTTGTTAAAACAATTTATTTATTCAAATATTATTGAGTTTGCCCAGTCGCACTCTATTAAGTTATTTGCCTGTGCAGTGAAAATTCGAGGGCTAAATCCCTCTGACTATCTGTCATAGTTTGAAAATGACTTAAATTTTAAGTCATCACTTCTTGTCAACGGGTTTGGACACAAAGCTAAGATTTCTTGAAGACATTGATCGAATGGATTTAATACAAGAGTAAGATTTTCCGTCATGAAAAACGTTAGATTGTTACGTTTTTAAAATTTTATGAAAAGTATGTTTTGTCCATTACATGTAGTTTTGGTAGTTAAAAATGAAAAACAGAAAGAAAGTGAGAGAAACAGAGATGTTTTCTTGTCTGGTGGTGGTTATACGAAATCCTTTTATCATACATGGTAAGTTTTTATAAGTCTTCTTATTTAATGCATAATTTTCATAAACATTTTTATTACATTAATAAACAGTTGCAGAGAAAGCCTTCCTTTGGCAACGTTTCTCGTCTTCTGTGCTGAAGGAGATAATATTCCCGAGGCCACAATCCTGCATGCATTATTTAAATGATTTGAAACACGTCATATAAAATTAAAAAACGCTGTATTTCTGGTTGTAACAATCACTTATAAAGTGCTTCATAAATGCGTGCACTGCATTATTTAAATAATTTGAAACACGTCATATAAAGTTAAAAAAACGCTGTATTTCTGGTTGTAACAATCACTTAGTTGTTACGACATTGTTATATTGTATATTCATGAAAGAATTTCGGATTGCAACAATTGTCATTGAAGATGAAAGTCTTAGGTTAAGGGATCACATGGCCTGTAGAATAATAATCTTGATACAGTTGCAAGAAAGTGCAAGCTGAAGGAATAATATTAGGCCACAATCCTGTTGTATCATCTTAATATTTGGATGGAATTTAAACGAAAAAAGAATTCTAACGTAAGTTCGCGTTTTCGCTTTTTGGTGCATTGGAAAAAGTTGTTGTTCTTGTAGGTGTAGTGTTTGGCAGTGTGACCAGTTTTGGTAAAAAAAAATCCTGTTGAACAGGAACATGTAGCAAGAGTATATAACTGCCGTGAATTAATTTAATTCAATCAATAAAATTATATTTGCAATCTTAGCTATAAAGAAGTGAATAATAATTTTGGTAAATGGCATTTAATATATGCGACGAGTTTTTTAAAATAGACATGTTTCGACATCTCATGATGCCATCTTCAGTATGAGTGAAATAATAAATAATACAAGGTTTATATAGAAGTAATATGATACATAAATTACAACAATAATTAGTCAACAACAACAAAAACAGTCCTTGTCAGGACTATACCAACCTGGACGATCTACATTCACAAACATGTAACGATACTCCCGGGTTCAAACCATTTTCTTTAATAATTAAGGAAATAAGATAAATTAATGGGGAGCGTCCAAGCGTATTATAAACTAAATATTGTATTGAATTTAAAAACTTGAACATTGAGGTCAGGGCTGGTTTTGTTAATGTGGAGTGCTTCTTTGATTTTAAGGGGGAATGAGGTGTCGGCAGTGTCGATGATTTTGAAGCAAGAGGGTGAATAGTTGGTTTTACATTAGTGTGATTTAATGTGTCTGTAGATATGAGAGTTTTTGTCTGTTGTGGCATGTTCCCTGATTCTGGTGGATAAATGGCGCGAGGTTTAGCCAATGTATCGGGAATTACATCTCGCGCAACTGAATTCATATACCACCATTGATTTCATTGAATCAGGGATTGGTCTTTGAATGAGAAAAGGTTTTTGATCTTGAATGATGTGAAAATTAGTCGAATGTCAATATCTGTACAGAAGCATTTCATAATGTTTGTAAGTGTGCGCTGTGTGTGTCGTGAGTAATGTCCGATGTATGGCAGTTTGAAGTATAGAGTTGTTATTTTGGAATTTTCGTTTGTGTTGGTCGTGATCGTCGTGTCAGAAGTTTCGGTGTATAATTTGTGGTTGTTGCTTTATTTGTTGTCGAGATATCGTTTTACGGTACTGTTAGTAAAGTGTAGTGAGAAAGAGTTTCGTAAAAGAGTGGATGTGATGTTTTTTATGTCTCGTTGAAAGCCAATGTTCGTATTGTGCAGTGCTCTGACCAACTGAGCTATGAAGTTCACTCAGTGACAAAACAAAAACACCGCACTGCATAAAACATTCTTTCGTATGACATTCCTTTCACGAGAAAACATGAGCCCAACAAAATTGACTTGCTCACCACTGTGTGACTTCATAGCTCAGTTGGTCAGAGCACTACACCGGCACCACAGAGGTCATGGGTTCGAATCCCGTTGAGTCACCTGAATTTTTCAGGTTCATGAGACAATTGCTTAAATTGTCCAAGAAAGTGCGAAGATCATATCTACATTTAATTTGTATGCTCTGTCGATTAGTGTGCGTATAAGTCCGGTTTTGTATGAAAGTGGTGTGAAACTAAAATAGTTCATCAGAAGTCCTGTGTATGTTGGTTTGTGATATTTAGATATTGTACAGCTGTCGTGGGATTTTGTTAGTAAAATGTCAAGAAATGGCAGTTGTCTTGCTGTTTAGTTTCAAATAAAAATCTAATGTTTGCGTGCTGTGTGTAATTGTAATTATAAAACTTCACGACCAACACAGATGAAAATTCCAAAATAAAATTTCATAGCGAAATTATGAAATTTTGTTAAAAAATTTAAGCTCTTTTTTTTGCTTCTTTTTAGAAGAATTGTGAAAGTAATAATTTGGCTAAAACGTTAGAAGGTAAGGCTTTATACATATTTCTTCAAGTCACTGGACCTGCCAAATGCTTTTTTTTCGTATGAATGTGGAGTTTTTCTCACCCAAAAATTTGACATCTCTAATTGATTGGATTAAACGGCGGTATTCGAGCACCATTGAGCTATCATCACAGATTTTTGCTCAATGGAGACTACCTGAGTGGTATCTTGGTAATATGCTGGTGATTGCTTCTTTTCAGTCATATATAGGAGGACTGGACGGTTTATCTTAGTAAATTTGAGAGGTTGAACAAAACATGGCGATTGAAGAAGACAACCTCTCTGTCAAAAACGCTTTTTTGCGCTTTCTCTTTCTTAAAATTTTCAAACGTAAGATTTTTCTTGAAATTTTTTCTGACAATTCCCTTGGCTGATAAATTTGAAGGTCTCTAAATTATTGTCGCAATGAATAGTTTTATTGTTACAACATATTTCAGTAAAATTTATGCGAAATTTAAGCAAGGATTAGCATGATTGTTTTAAATAATATTACATTACCATTGTTAAAACCATTCTCGCAGCTCTAGCATCTAACTCTTATTCAATGATCTGTTATGTTTTTCTAGTTGAATGGCATGAGCCTCCATCTTGGAAAAATCTCTACGGAACGCCACGTTATTCGACCATATTTTGAGGTGCTGTGACGATTAAATTTTTTGTATCATCGATTGACCATTTCGGGGTTTGTAAATGGTTGTTTTGGTCACTTGATTGGTTGCAGCAGGGAGCATGCGTAAATGATCTTCACTTATTGGGTGGTTTAGATAAAATTGCGGCGATTACAATGTCGTTAGTGTTGTTACTTAGTACCAGTAGTGTAACCAAAAAACGTCCCAGATCCATGCAAAGAGATCGAAATTATTTAAAACTGAGTTTACAGGCCCATCTGAGTAGGCAGCTCGCAAAGTTGTACCTGCTTTGCAATTTTTTCTTTGTTCATTCACTATAAAAACAATAGATTTCTAATGAAATTAATTTTGACAATGCTCCGAAATTTACGTAACACAACCAAAACATGCATGCTGGCAACAGTTCGTCATTCGATTCTGGTTTTCATTGGTAGATAGGTAATTACTACAAACCACAATAAAACATTTTATCACACTAGAACTTTTTCGTTTGTGGAGTTACGCACGAGAAGAAATTTCAAAATTTTGCCAATTCTTTGTTCTGCTTTGTGGAACCTGTTTCATATGTTCTTGTTTCAGGACTCACCAGTTGTTTGCTGCCTGAGATCCGCCGCTGGTCTTTTGAATTTGTAAAATTTTCTTTGAAATAGTGATATGGTGGGTAGTTTGTGTTTTTTGGGTGGGTTGTAATTTCTTCTATAACTTTAAGCTTACTCTCAATAACCTTACTCTCTCATCAATATCAGACAAAAGGTCGTTTTGGTACAGAGGAAGCTTATATAGGGCGATAAGGTCAGATATGTACGCCCAAGAAAGGGTTGTTGAAAAACAATTAATTATTTAATTATATATAATTGCAAACGCAAATTGTCCAAAAATACGGAAAACTATTGCTAATCAGGTTTAAATCGTTACATTTTGGGACAAACAAGGGATAGGTGGGGTTCCTTATACTTGGGATCACATAAAAACCGTCTTGGGCGATGGCAAAAGTTTATTACATTCCTCGTTAATGTTATCCCATGGTATCACTTTGTTATTTTGGTTCGGATGGTGACAATTTGAAAACGATTCCATCGGTATTCCTGCTCTTACAAGCATTTCTTTTACATTTTTCTTAACGCCGTAAAATATCATTGTAATGTCACGATCGCTGCACTCTTTGTATAACTGGAGCAATGCTTCAGTCACGGTGAAGTCGCATTCAAACATCATAGAAAAGTCAGATACTATCCCAAAAGGCCCGCCAACTGTCCTGGCCATTTTTTCTACAATCAACGTAAACTGCTCGACACCGGCAAATGTTAGAGGGCCGTGTATCTTAAAATAGCAACGATCGTTAGTTTCATTTAGAATTTCGACTTCTGGTTTCATTCGGCGGTAGAGGAAAACAATTATTGCCATGGCAACGCCGCAGAGAATCCCAACATCCAATTGGTAAAGGCAACCGAATAATGATGCAAAATATGGCAACAAGTCTATTCGGTTTGTTCTCCATATGTCCTTTACAATACGAAAATCAACTACTCTCAATAATGCCGTGATGATGATGGATGCAAGGGATGATTTCGGGACATACTTAAAGAAAGGTGTTAATAAACTCAAAGCAAGTAGCACTATGGCTCCAGTAAAGATACCTGAAAAGACAATATAAGGAAACGTTGTGATTCGATCCGTCACACCTACAAATCGAAATTTGTATAAGTTCTTCTTATACGTCTTGGGTTAGAAATTATTGACCATGCATTTGTGGTTGATGAGGAATAAACAAGAGCGTCAATCCAACGTTAATTGAAGTGGACCATATTCATAAATTTAAAATGCCATGCTGATTTCTTTTGAAAGTGAAATTGTTTTGAAAAGAATTTAGCTATGCATGCAGAATAAATGAATATAATCGCCATCCCACCCCTCCCCAAGTAACGTATAGGATTGACACCAATTGCAATAAAAAAAAGCTAAGTGAGAGGAAGGAATTTTCATACACAACTAACTATTAAATAAGAAAATAGAGACTTGTCGTGGTGACAAATCTGAAAATAGTTCTAAATAGCAAATACCATAGTGAATGGTAAAAGTAATATAATAAGTTGATAGTTCCTAAAAGAACTGTTTTAAGTAAAAAGCACTAACCCAACAGTTCTAAATTAAACGACACGATGCATTTCGGCAGACTACTCCTCAGGCATTTCTTAATGGGTGCCCTCAAGACAACAACCAAAACGTGATTGTAAGAAAAGTAATTTAGTTTCATGTGACTCCGCGATAGGTAAACATCTCTTGAATAACTCCCATTGTGCTTAATCTTATTCAGACGACAATTTCAGAATCATTAAGAAATGCCGTTCATTCTTTCAGTTACGCGTCATGGAGGCTGTTTTAATTAAGTTAACCAATCCCGTCCTTTGTCGAAAAAAGGATTATGTTTTTAGTTTATCCCTGTTTTGAGCGTCATCTCCCCTTTTGGAGATGACGTACACTCTTTCTTGGCATTATATATATCGGTAGATTTTATATTTTCATTTAGCAGACGTTGACACCTGAGAAGTAGTCTGCCGAAATGCATCGTGTCGTTTAATTTAGAACTATTGGGTTAGTGCTTTTACTTAAAACAGTTTTTAAGAACTATCAACTTATTATATTACTTTTACCATTCACTATGGTATTTGCTATCTTTAGAACTAATAATAACTTTGAGCCTGCATTTTTTCTGTCGACCTACTTGGAAATTTTGTTAAGGGTGTCACAACCAATCACAACTCACCTCCTAACTGGGTTGCGACGCCGCTAGCTGCATTCACTGCAGTGCGAGAAAAACTGCCAGTGACTGGATAGCCAGAGACAAAGCAGTTCGCGATATTCACGACGCCCAGTGATAAAAGTTCTTGCGTCGCATCGACTTCGTAACGATAGATCTTTGCAAACGTTTGGGCGCTGACAACGTTTTCTACCAACCCGATCAACGGCATTACCACGAAACCAACACCAACATTCGCGATAAAATTCAGCGGCCCCAAGGTTTCGTTGTTTACCCGTACGGTTAGTTTTGAAAACTACAGAAATGTGTATTACGTCAGTCAGTGATCAGTAACAATTAAAGTGAAATAACGATATTTGGCATTCCGAAATTATTTATTTGGTGATCAGAAAATTTCTTGACATCTAACTATTTTTGCCTTTCATTTATGAACATCGTGGATTGTCGAAGAAAATTTCAAACAACCAGGGGCGCAAACCCCTCAAAAAATTTTAGGGCTTTTCTGGGACCGATTTGTAGTGTTTGTATAAACAGCCTACATTTTTAAGCAGAATCTACTTTTTCCCGTTTTCTATCAGTTTATGGAGCCCCTCATATTAGGTGCAACAACCCAAACACACACCCTCTAATGTGCTCTTCTTTGCAGGTGCCCGTGTACTTTTGCAGCGGTAATTCCCAATATTTGCAAAAGAGCGGGAATTTGGTAAAATTATTTCGTTTTGAAGATGGGTCGTTCCGTTCATTGTTTCGTTTCTTTCGCTTTTTAACTTGAATTTTGAAGGACAATGAATTGAATTTCGTATTGTTATGCTTTTTTATATTTGTTCTTCCAATAATGGTTGTAAAGTTATTTGGCAAGGACAGATAATACAACCTTCCTGTTGCGTTGAAAAGGACCCCCATCATTTAGGGCTGACAAGCCGAGGTTTACAATGACTGATTGATCGTATTTTAAATTTTGACGATGACTTTATGTCTCAAATGAATATTTTTCCAAAAAATCTTTTAAATGGTTTAAAAAGGTTTAAAAATGAATTTTACACGTTTTTCACTACATTTTCTTCACTACATTTTCCCGATCATTATCAATTAGACTAAAAGCAAGTAGCACCATAGCTCTAGTGATGCTTATTAAGTATTAACCATAGCCTTCAAGATAACATAGCATTTTCATAGACATGATAGCAAAAACCTCAACATCCCAAGAAAGTTAATGTCAACACTTAATTGATTTACTAGTGTAACACAACACAGTTTCTGATACAACTTTCAACTTTGCATTGTAACTCTAACAAAAACAACCTTAACCCAGACTCACACTCTATCCTGCAAACACCCTAATTGTGGAAGTCTTTGACCTCAAATCATTTGAATTTTTGTATTAGGGAGAAATAAAAAGATACCTCCAATGGGGTTGAGTAGCCAGCTCACATTTTTGCTATCAACATCTGAAATCTTTTGATTTCAATGTGAGTGAACTCTGGGATATTTACAAAGTCCTGCCAAAACTTGCAGGCTGGTGATGCCATTGCAATAATATGACTAACTGAATATAATAAAGATACAGTACTGACAAACATAATCAATTTGACATGTAATCATTGTTTGACGTGATCAGGTCTCATATTTAATTTAAAATGTTAAGGTTGAAACGTTGAACAAGAACTGAAAATTTTAAATTTAAATATTAAGCAAGAACTGAAAATATTTCCAAAAACATATGCTAATATGATTCTACCTGGAATGATGGTAAGCCTTCCTTGACAGGTCCAGTCAATGTAAATGGAGTCAGACCTTTTTTGTACAAAGCAAAGGCAACCAAACTGCTTATAAGTACAATCAGAGCATTTCTTGCTGTGCATACAATCCATAAAAAATTACGAGCAACCTTTTGCAATGTTGTTGTAGGGGAACTGTGTTCCTCATGTGATGAATCCAAGACTGGTTTAATTTGACGCAGTACTTCCAGCAAAACTATGCAAACCGTAGACAGAATAAGATCCCACAGGTTTATTTGGCGAATTTTTGAAAATATTTTGATCAAGCAGGGGAAAAGATTTCTAGGTATACCAGACAAGCCAAGAATATATTTCAACTGACCACATGCAATGGTTATGCATGCAACCGAAGAAAAACTACTGATTACCGGCAAAGGCATTATGCGAACAATAAAACCAAGGGAACAACAACCCATTACCAGCCATATGATGCCAATGTAGAAACTAAGTGCTATCGCCACTTGTGGGGATCCAGCAGAGTATGTTGCAACCATCAAGGACATAATGGCTGTTGGACCCTGGGTTATATCTTTACTGGAGCCAAGAAGGCAATAAATGAAACCTCCCATAAATGCATTGTATAGACCATATTGAGGGGGTAGTTCGGCTATACTTGCATATGCAAGTCCCTGTGGTATAACCATTACACCGACAGTCAAGCCAGCGATGACATCCCGCTGCAATTTGCTCAAAGAATAGTGACGCATCCATACAATAAAAGGAAGCCTTTTTTTCCAGTTTATACTTAATTTCATCGTTGAGAACTTCGACGCGATGTTTATGGACTTAAAATCGATACAACAAATCGTCCGTGATCTTGAACACGTTAACTCCACATACATACGCGCTGTTAGTCCATGTGACTATGTACTATTGCAGCTCAAGTCGGTTGAACACTTGCGATGTGTGAAAATCGTCATTCGGATATTATGAAAGTGATGGTCAGTTCATTTTTTAAGTACAGTTATTCGGGACAGTTTCATTTAATCGTAAGCTTCTATTTCACTTAATTTGATCAATGCAAAAAAATAGCCGGAAGTAATTAGGTTTGTTTTGTGTTGTTACCCTTCAGGCAAAGTAGAAATTGCGTAATCGGAGTACGGTCACTGTGGTACGATGGCACTCCTGATCAGTACATACTGATACTTAATTACTACTTACGTATAAGTCATAACACAAACCTCTTCAACTCAAGACCACTTCATTTCACTAGCATTTCACACCTATATCAGAATCTCACACAGACTTTTCCATGCCCCCATAATACAATGTAAAAATTTAAACAATCAAACACACAATTAGCTGAATGACACACATGCTCATATTATTTGTACAAGTTTTTACGTTAAATTTACTGAGCTCGACACTCAGTACGTCTGAGCGAGTAAGGATTGGTGTCTCTTTATCTGCTTTCTTGTTTATCCTTTGACTTTCCACTTCTCCTATCATCCTAAATGAAAATCAAGCATTATTTGTTATTACATAATTTCGATTGGCATTATGATTCTCCACGGCTGTTACCTGAGTGTACCTCCTATCATTGTGTTTGGCGAAAATCCGTTCTAATTAATTTTCTTTCTTTGTTAGACTATCACTATTTCCATGCATCATTTTGTTATTTGAAAGAACTTCTTCTACTAGCATAACGCTATTCTGCAAAAAATTTTCCTTATCAAACGCTGTGCATTTTTCAGTGAAATTCAAACTTTATAATATGCGTTTAACATTTGCGTAACCACGAAACCCTTCCAATTGAGGATGACTTGAATGTGGTGAAAATATTCTTTAAGCAATATTATCTTAATGCTAGTTAGTTTAGCGCTCATTGTTTATGCTTCAATCCGTTGTTAAACGTTGCGTGCAATTATGTGCTCCAGGATAAACTCAATTCAAGTAGATTCTTTGTGGTGTAGAACTAGAAAGTCAACAAAGTGTTGTTAGTTTTGTTGTTAACTTGACGTCTTGCTACTACAACGTACTTGATTGGCATTTTCTAGACTTTTCATGCAAATGGTAGAGCTATACGTCACTGGCGGGAATTCTCTACAAAGTTCAAACAATTAGCAATTATCAGTGCTAAAATCTGAATCACTTTAGCATAATAAGTAAACAAGTTCCAACAGGAGTTGACATTTAGGTATTCTCTGTCGCTTAACCACATCGAAGGTTGCCATTTCACCTATTTTATAACTACAGAGTCTCGAGAAAAGACGAACCTGCTATTGAAATGAAACTGAATGGAGCTCTTAAATATTCAAAACTATTTCAATGACATCATCGAGTTGATGATAATCCTGAAGAAGATCACGAAATCATAAAGCTGCAAAACCTCTATAAGGCCATTTTTACTGTGGTAGCCACACACTACTCCCTCTCCTCCCCCTCACCAAAAACATCGATGCTTTTTCCTATACAGGACGACTAACAACGCCCAATGAAGAAAGAAGATTCTCAGATATCAATGAAGCTCTAAAACTGTTTAAAATTGAGCGACTCTTTCAAAGCCCTTTCAAATTCAACTCACAAACACGCAAATTTTGTTTGGACTTGAAAACACCAATCGGTTTTTCCAACAATCAAAGAATGCCTCATAAGTAGCCCAGTCATAGACTATTGCATATCGGATGAGTGAAATATTTATCAATAATCGATGCAAGCTCCTTCGTTTGTCTCTCATCCTGAAGGACTGAGAATCCAACGGACAAGTGCAGACGTTCTTGCTTATGGCAGAAAAGCCTATTTGCCTGTTAAAAAACAATATTCTTATTTACTGAGTGAGTGATATCTCATGTAATAATATGAAGTTTTGCAAGTTCTGGCGTTTTTGCATTGCTCAAAAATTCTTATTCGTTTGGAAATGGGAATTATTTTCCAACACTCAAGAGTACAACCCGTTAAAACCAATTTAATATGATACACCCATCATGATTAAAATCCCTTTTGTACATTTATGAACTCAAAAGTCCACAGAACTCCTCCGTTAAATCCGATTGGAACGCCTCACGTGGCATACCAGAGTTAAGTAAAGTCTTTTGAATATTCACTTGCACATTGTAAAATATCAGCTTCAAATCGCGCTCGATACACTCTCTTTGTAGCTCTACTAAGCCTTCTGCCACAGTAAAATCGCAGTCAAACAGCGAGGAACAATCAAATGCCAGGAAACCAGGTTTATTTTCAGCCATTGCCGTAGTGCGGATCTTCGAAATGACGTGTTCCACACCCATGTACGAAAGACCGCCGTGAAGGTTGATATTACACATGAAGTCCCCTTCAACGTGCACGACTGGAAGCAATCTTCTGTAAAGGAATATGACGAGGGCCACGCTAATGCCGAGAAGGATTCCGGTCTCCAAATGGTAAAAGCAAGCGAAGAAGGTCAAAAGATACGGAACGAGGTCAATGCGATTCGTGTGCCATATCTTTGAAATGATTTGAAAGTCGACCATTTGCAAGACGGAAGTAATAATGATTGCAGCCAGTGCTGCGGTTGGGATGAACTTAAAAAAGGGTGTACAGACCGTGAGAGCCAGTAAAACAACCAATGTTGTGAACACGCCTGCAAAAAAATAGAAATTTAGTCATCGATTTAATGCTTACGCTTTAACAGTGCTTCTGCAGAGAAATTTTTTCACCCTTTTAAATTGTCTTAATTAAAAGTATTTGCCATCAAAACTATTTTTCTGTGTTTTTTTGCCGGCCATGTTTGCACAATCATAACGAGTACACATTCTCAACTTGGCTGTAGAAATTGCTATAAGCTTGGTCCCTTCCGTACTATTATAACGTCTCAGTTATTAAGGAAATTGGGCGGCCGAAATGTTTGCACACAATGAAGACTATTGGAGTTGACATTAAGCATCTTCCATCAACGTGTACTAATTATATTTTACAGGGAAAAGAAAAATTTGTATGTTTTTTGTATTTTCTTTACACAACTGACCTCCCAATTGCGTGGAAACACCGCTGGCTGCGTTCACAGACGAACGTGAGAAGCTGCCAGTGATGGGAAACGCCGAGAAGAACGAGGAAATGAAGTTTGTAAAGCCTAAGGCAATCAGTTCTTGTGTTGCATCAATCTCGTATTTGTATTTTCTTGCGAACGCCTGAGCTATGGCGATATTTGTGATAAAACTGATCATTGGAACCATCAAAAATCCATCAAGACCAATTTCAGTAACCATTTTCGTCGTCGACATTGTATAGTTACCGTCACTCAAACTTAAGAGTGGCATCTGAAATGACGATGAAAACGAAGCATTAATGGCTACCATTTAGAGCCTTGCTAAATCAGTAGAAGCTTTAAGAATCAAGCAGCTAGTGTTCCTTTTATACTATTCAGAAAGGGTTAGCAAGTCAAGGAAGATCTAGCGTTCTATTTCGTAAATTTTAAGACGACAACAGGTAAAGAAGATTTACTATAAAATTGAAATTGTCACAGTGCTATTGTGGGGCATGCTGAAGGTGACCACGGACCTTTTTTAAATATGCTGCAATGCGACCAAACCTAGGCAGGTGTAAACTTGATCCTTGACATATATACTCTTAGGCAGTGCTCTTTCTTGGATAGTTAAAACTAAAAAGGTAAAATATTCTACAAAATCAAGTTTCTGAACGTCAAATGATTATTAAATGACCAATACTTTGTGCTCTACCAAGTGCGTCCAATGCTTTGCAAACATATTTAATGAACAATGTAATATTTGTTCTCGAAATCGGATTTTTTGCTTCGGTGTTGTAGTATTTTCAAATGAAATTGCCTTACAGGCTTTCGCTCAATATAAAAGCGTCACTGGGAGTCAAGGAAATTTTGAAGACAGAAAATTATTTGTCTACTATGTGCGTTTAAAGTGCGTTTGGTCTTTCTTGTCATGTCGCAAAATTGCACACATAACGCGTGACTGAAAGAAAATCTTTGAACCAATCACAATCCTTAGATCGTTTCAGGCGTGAGCCTTCAGACACGTGCAGTGTGACTGCATTGTCATAAATTTCGTTGTGGTATGTAGCAACTCTTACCATGAAAATAATCCTGACTCTGACTCAATAGTCCGGAAAAAATGAAGCAAGAAATAAATGAAAGATAGGTTTTATATGTCAAGAACAGTGTCATGTGTCACTCGTTTTTACAGAATTGCAAAATATCGTTTTCGACTTGCACATTTGTATCATAAAATCAATCATCGCTAAGATTTTTTTCACCGTGTCAAAGAGCTACGAAAACACGACACTGCACATTATATGGTGTGACAGGATAAAAAGGTTGTATGTATCGATTATCTGAACGAGCAATTTATTAAAATACACCTTTTACATCCTAGTGATTGGTGACAGAAATTATGGATTGTAATGACACTACCAAAATAATCTTGACTTTTTACATTTTATAGAAATTTTAAGGTGCCTGCACTTCTTATACTTTAAAAAAAATCGTCTTGTTTTTTTATAACATTTTCTAGAAAGAAGCAACGAAAGGCTTGTTAAAATTCTTCGCTGCTTTAATATCTAATGTATTAAAATCTTCAAAAGATTTATCCAATACAAATAATCACACAAATACTTGTTGCACGCGTTGTAACGTCTTGATGCCGGTTTTGCCAAAATGCAATGTGTGTTCATTGAAGTCTTTTACATTTTAGTGAATGTCGACCTTTAGTGGCGTTCATCACATATGGCGTTTTTAAATGTTTAATGTTGTCTATAATTTTCTATTTTTTTGTTTTCTTACTCGCTTTAACTGCTACCATAGGCTTAAATTGAAGAAATTTTAACTATCGAAAACTGGATTTTCTCCGAGGTTTTATGTAGTTTGCACGCAGGAATTTTGTATTAATGGAACAACTTTTCGAGTTATTTCATGAGTTATCGCCATACAGTGAGTGCTGCGGCTTTAACGTTGACAGATCGATTGTTAATGTTTTTGGTGAACTTAGGTAATCAATATTTTTAAATTGCAGTATACAAAAAAATGTCCTCTCGAGTCTTAATTCAAACAAACATTTATGATGTGAAAACTGAATTATAGTTTACAATTTTCAAGATTATTGAGGTTTGCTCGGTACTTATTTTGAGCTGCATGTGACTCGTAGAATTCAAATTCAATTTTGCCACAAAACAAATATTTCACTTTAGAATAACCTATGCTTAACAACTATTGGTGGATGATTTTTCAAATTGAAACTTTGAATCTGCTTTTTATGAAAGAAGGTAAAGCATTATCTCAAACGCATATATAAGCGCTAACCTCACCAACAACACCTCTATGCCAGCCCTTGTATTACAATGCAACGTGTTGTAGTTTTGTTCTTGAAGCGTGCATATGATTGCGAAACCTTTCTCTTAGGGTTTTCTCATTGCTTGCGAAATTGCACGTGGATAACAAATGTACTATTCCTATGTAAAAGTACTCATTTAACTCACGTGCTGGAATAAAAACTCTAACCATGTGTCAATTAAATGTTTGCGACACAATCGTAGGAATTTTGTATAATGTAGCAAAGAATGCAGGTATCATCACACTCACCCAATTGCATAATGTGCTTTTAAACACATTTCCGGGGGGAGTATGTGAGTATTAACAGGGTAGTTGAGAAATTTTTTTCACTGACCTTAGCGTGTGGCAGCCCATCCTGTACTTCACCAATCAGCGTGAATGGTTTCATATCTTTCTCATTCAATACAAAGCAGATGATTGCACTTGCAAATACTACGACTGCATTGCGAGCTGTGCATACGAGCCATACGAGATTTCGCGAAGCATTTTTTAGAGTAGTCATCGGTTTCATTTCGTCAACGGGCCACAGGATGGTCAAGGTGTGAACGTACCGTAGAAAAGAGAGTAACAAATAACATACAATGCTCAACACGAGATCCTTGTACTGGGATTCCTCTATACGCAGTGCTATTTTAAGCAAACCTTGAACGAAATCCTTTGGGATCCCTTTTAGCCCCAAAATATTTGAGATTTGTCCACATGCAATTGAGATTGCAGCTGAAGAGGTAAAACCACTGATCACTGGTAGTGGCATAATCTGCACGATAAAACCCAGTGAGAATGTACCCATTAACAGAAGAATTATTCCAGAAAAAAAGCTAAGAGCCACGGCAAAATTGACTGGGTCCGCGGTTGATCCGTACCGCGCCACCATTAAGGCCATTATGGCTGTTGGTCCCTGGTTTATGTCCTTGCATGAGCCAAAGATGGCATAAACGAGCCCACACATAAGACAACTGTAAAGACCATATTGGGGGTAATGCTGCTATATTCGCGTATGCCAATCCTTGCGGTATAACCATAAGCCCAACTGTAATACCAGCTATGCAATCGCTTTGTAATTTTCCCATTGAATACTGTGGTAGCCACACTAAAATAGGCAACCTTCTCTGAATAAGCTTTCTCAACTTCATTCTTTAAAAAGGCAAGGTTGTTAAAACTACTTTAGCGACGTTTTCTCGACTCCGGTTTCTGACTGATAGGCCGATGATGAAACAGGTATCCAATTATCTAAGGAGTCTGTTGCAAAATGTAAGTCATGCAGTGCCGACTGAAATTGGTTTAGATTTTCTATCTCGTGAGTGAAATTGAGTAATTATAGCACGACATGAGAGGATGTCCCACGGCCAGCCCCCAAAACAAACGCCAAAGTATATAATAATAGCATTCAAAGCTTTTGCATGAATGGTAACTAAACTTTGTATAAGACGCGTTGATTCTTCTTGAAAGATGTTGTTTTCAAAGTGGAGTCGTTTCAATGTCTGTTTAAGAATGTTTCAATCCATGAAACAAGTCAAATCACCTCAGCTAAAATGCACTTTAGCCGATAAGGACCTTGAACTCTGGATAGTAGCCATTATGAAATTATGAAATACTTGCAAGGTTCTACACTAAAAACTTGCATTGCAGTCATTTAGGTTTGCGAAGATGGCGAAAGGTCTTTTATTGGGAGAGCGAATATCATATATGTCTCTTTTGGCGGCTTACATAAACAGTTCATGTATTTGGCGACTTTATACAAACAGTTCATGTATTTGATTACTCGCTAAATAAAATGCATGAAACCTGTCCGTTTCTATGGAGGGATTCAATTGCAGGCTTGGGCACGCAAGACAAAGATATGCAAAAGTTTCGCAACATGTTTGAATGTTAGCGGATAAAAGATTAGCATGCTTTGTACATTCTGTCGTGTACTGGGGAGCAGAAATGGCTCAGGGTCATTGCTCACAGCTGGATGAGTAAAAATCTTATGCATTATTATTTCGTTAAATGAACACCATTTGCCACAGAAATTTACTCTCCATCTCAATGTTTAACTATCATTTCTTAAATTCTGCAACGGTTCTTTTTTAGCTACTCATTTTCAACAAGGCAAGGCTGTGTACGTAAAGCAATTTTATCCGAAATCTATTGTGTTGTATCAGGGCTGCATATTTGAGAGAAAGGGGCACTTTAGAAAAGTACACGACCATTTTCACCAAGTAGAGAAATGCTTAAAAATGGAACATCGTTAAAATTTAGTTACATTGTCTAACAAGTGCAGCATTGGGAGATGTTTTTTTTCAAATTAGTGACTCTCCCCAAGATTGGTTTTGCCACAATAATTTAGACACAAGATCACTGTCGTTCCTAATTTATTATTTTCAATTTTGATATTTTGATCTCAGTCCAGCAGATCTGCTCAGACATGCGATGTCGAATTACGCGAACTTTTCTCCCCGTTTTTTAAATGCGCCGGTCGCCATTCTTATTTAGATTGTAGTACAAGATTGTCACAAATCGATGTTCCCATCATGTCCAAACGCATTACAGTCGGTGCTATAAATACACATTAATTCTTCAAATTGGTTGTTTCTCCCAAAAACAAAGACCATATTTAAATCACGAGACATATCTGCACGACGTCACTATTATGCAACCACTAAAAAAAAGCTAGCAGATTGTTTTCAAGATTTTAAGGAGTCGCGTGCGTTTTGCTATCCAAAAAGAACATTTTTAGGCTAAATCAAAATTGGGAAGACGCACTAGAAGAGGCTGTACCAAACAGAAAAGGAAGGGAACATATGACCCCCCGTATTTGTGAAGTCCATTTCGTTCTTGTTGAAGTGGAAGTACAGAATTACTGCATTGAAGTAAATATATCTGGAATGCTAACTCTGGGGAAATTGAAGCCAAATTTGAAGCTATTTTGTAGGTAGACCCAGCCCTTTATAAAAGATTTTTACTAAAATTGTTTCTGTTTTGACTAGATAATTTTGGCACAAAACCCCAATTATATCACTAAAAGCAATTACTATCAGAAGTATAATAATCGAATTTGATTATACATAGTTAACAAGGCAGAAGTTTCAAAAAAATGTGGAAAAAACATGACAATACACATTGACGTTCTGAAAAACCGCGCGTTTTTTACAGCTTTTTCTGTGTTATGGAAAGATTACAAACCTCAAGAAATAATCAAAACAATGTAAAATTGATCTGTTTTGGAAAGTTTCGAAAAGATTTAACTTTCTGGGATTGAGGAAAATGCATTTAAAAATTGACGTAAATATTGTTAAAAGAAAAACAAACAAGCCTCTCTTAGATGACGTCAGCAACACTTAGTATAAAGTTTTTATTAGGATTTCTCAAAAAGGTTTTATTTTCAAGAAAATGTAAGGTTATGAAAAATGTAGGTTATGCCTTAAACTTGTTAAGCATAAGCCTATAAGTTTTCTTTAAAACTGACCAATTTGCCCAAGAGAAAAATGTGTTTTTTTACGATACTTTTTCATGCTGCAAATAAACAAACAGCTTAGTGTCAAAAAGAAAAGTGAAAGATCTTCGCGAAAAGAGTTTTTAAAAAGCTACTTCATTGATATAAATGCATAAAAATCTAGAACATATTTCAAATACGCCACGCTCCTTTCTTATTTTGTCTGTGTAAAGCAAATAATGAGAGAAAAAGAAAATATAAACAATGCTTACCACAGCGGGCCGATAAGCTTGGTAGTTGATACGAAGACAATAATGAAATAAACAAGGAAAAATTGTGTGTCATCAAACAAAATACATCACTGGAGCATTATTTAAACATAAAAAGCCATATATCATACACAAAAAAGTTTTAAAAAATGCTATGAATATTCAAATATATTTTATATCGTATTCATATTTTTTAACATTGAGTTCCGTCTTGTAGACTTTATTAGTTTGTGGATCGATCGTCCTCGATTCTTGCTGAATATGTTTCTCCTCGAAATATCTTGCTGTGGCATGAAGTAATTCTGTCCGACGCAATTTTAAAACACAGAATGTGAGAATTGAGAAAAAACCGACACCAAATCATTTTTTCACGTTTTTCTACCGCCAAGAAGCAAAACATTATTTCAGGGGGGGGAGTTTGACAAATTTTAGATGTATTTTGGCTTCAGCCAATCATGGGACAAAACTGTGGGAGTTAGCGATCCGGACATATATTCTTCAATGATTTGCAGTCGACAAATGGCGGCTGGCGACCAAGGGATAAACAACACAATAAAGACTTGAGACATTTTAGATTAGTGTAATCGCCACTGGTTTGTTTTCGTGATGCGTTGTCCATTGACATTGCGCGAAAGGCTGCCGATTGTGCAATGGTTGCCAAAGTATTCATTCCAGTTGTTTCAGTGCGACGTAATTGCCGGGATTACAGTTGCGTTGATGGTAATACCGCAAGGCTTAGCATACGCAGTAATAGCCGGGCTGCCTACCCAATATGGCCTATACAGTGCATTCATGGGAGGTTTCGTCTACTGTTTACTTGGTACTTGTAAGGACCTCGCTGTTGGTCCGGCAGCCATCATGGCATTGATGGCCGGTGCATTTGGCAACAAGAATGATCCAAATTTTGCAATAGCCCTCAGCTTAGGAACGGGTTGTGTTTTGTTGATTATGGGTATGCTGTCACTTGGTTTCATTGTTCGTCTCATTCCTTTACCTGTTGTTAGCGGATTCACTTCAGCGGCATCGATCATCATAGCCTGTGAACAACTGCCCAATTTGTTTGGGTTGAAGGTGAAATCTGAAAATTTTTTTGAACTGATGAAAAGCGTATTCAGTAACTTATCAGAAACCAAGGTTTGGGATTTAGTCCTGGGAGTGTCCTGTATGATAGTGCTAGAAATTATGAAAAGCTTCAGTCGAATAAAATGGCCAAATGAAGATGGACTAGTGCCGACTCTTGCTCAAAAACTGGCCAGGAAAGCCATATGGATTTTGGAAATTGGGAGAAATGCAGTGGTTGTGTTTTCATGCATGTTGCTGGCATATGCTTTCAAATCAAAAGACATGCATCCTTTCTCCTTGACCGGCAAAGTCCGAGATGGTTTACCACCTTTTAAGGTAAATGATCTTCATGTAGAAAGTTTGTGATTGTATTTTTAATGACGGTTGGAACCCAATTTAATGACACAAGATATTTGAACAAATTTTTATCCCAAAACTTCATTGTTACGGTGAAACTTGTCCAAAATATAGGCTATGTTATATTTTTTTCAATCAGACAGTGCACATCTGATAATTGAATTATTTTGTGATGCACCCTATGTGGGCATCACATTTTGTACATTTTTGTTCTTTCTCATTAAAATCAAATTACCATTTTGTGGAATTTTCTTTTTGTGCAATGTCCTCAAATTATTACTTAAGGAATCCTTTATTTGATCTTTAGCATATTGATCTTTCTTTCATTTTTTATTTCTTTGTCATTTCCTAGCCTATGCCAAGAACCCAAATTTCTTGAATGGGTCTATTTGTCTATGTAATATTGAAGAAAAGCTCTCCCCTGCATTTGTAACATTATTTTAACTGTTGCATGAATTATACTGTTTTATTCTAAAGTTATTCACTCCGTTATTTCATTTTTCAAATATCTAATTTCAAAAACTATTGCCAAATAAGTTGTCTTCAGCTTAGTAGTGTATCTTAACAATCTTCTGTATATTATGCTTGTAATTTATGTCCTTCTACCTAAAATAATAAAAAAAATTGCCAAACATAATATGAAAAGAGGCATGGGTGTGGGAAGATTAATAATTTGGAGGAGGGCTCATATTCATGTACATGTATGTTATAAGCCATAGAAAAATAGATTTCTCATTATGATCACCATATATATATATATATATATACAAAGTGTATAACAATGTGCCCTCCCGGCTATCACCATTGTAAAATTGTGACTCCTGCACTTGGGACACAGGACGCACGGTTACACATTGTATGGATTGTATTGTAGAGTCACCAGAGTGCTCAAACCTATATAGGTGAGCAATGCATAAAGCGAATGCGGTGAACGTCTCTTTATGAGACTCTCTACGCAATCCGAGAGCGCTCAAACTGCGCAAGCGCAGTTAGCGTAATATACAAAGTGTATAACAATGTGCCCTCCCGGCTATCACCGTTGTAAAATTGTGACTCCTGCACTTGGGACACAGGACGTACGGTATATATATATATATAAGAATATGAGATACCCCAATTATCGTTTTTCCTACGCCTACATATGAAAACAGAGTTGGAAGCCAATCATGAGAGCATGAATTGAGCAGTATTTTTATGCACAGCTTAAACTGATGTGATGTATGCGAGGCTGAGCTTTCCTTAAGTTTTGCATAAGGTCTGGAAGATAAGCTAAGCAGTAACGACATGACGTTTCATCGGTTTAAGGTAGATCTCTGGCATCGTGCTAACATTCTACCCAATATGTATTTGGTCTCCTATGGATTTGAATGAGCATCGTGGGATTTTACTTTGGGCATTGTGCATCGTTGAACAAGTAAAACAATCCATTACTGTTTTAATGCCTTGTATTGTTCCATCTTTCAGGCACCAAAGTTACGTTCTTCTCATAATTGTACAACAGCAGAATTATTTTCTGAGATTGGAGCGGGTTTTGCCGTCGTACCAATAATTGCGTTTCTAACCAGCATCGCCATTGCGCAGTCGTTCTCGAAAAAGAACAATTACGAAGTGAATCCAAGCCAGGAACTAATTGCATTGGGTGTCGCGAACGTCGCTAACTCGTTTGTCTCTGGTTTTCCGATTGCCGGCTGTTTTTCAAGAACAACCGTTAACTCGTTGAGTGGTGTTGCAACCCCATTTGGAGGTATGTATTCACGCTTGTGGATTGAATTTATGTTTTTTTTTCACGTCAGAAATGTATACACAAAATGCATTGCTCTCTTTTTTGCAATGGTGTAGAGACGCTGATCTACGTAGCGCTTCATATTAACGAAGCCTGCTCGAGCTACGTATACAGTATTTCTCAAAATAAAGTGCATTACAAATAAGATTGATGCAAAATTATGATTGATTATAAAATAATTACAATAAAACGCCTGCGGCGATTGGTCTATAGCTGTGTTTGTATTAGACTGTACAAACCGTCCTTAGCTGAATCTATCAAATCAATCGATCATGAATTCAAGTTAGAGGAAAAATTTAAACGTTTGTTTTTTAAAATTAGTGTAGAATATAGAAAGCACAACTTACATGGCTACGTTCTGCCTTCCAATTAGTTCCATTTTAGTCTTGACAACACTCGTGTTTTGTTTGTGACCATGAAAATTAGCTGTGTAATTCATAATAAGTCTGAAATTTGTTGCGAAACCCAAGAGTGTATTTCCTCAGTCAAAACGAGCATTGCTTATGAGCGCAAAGCTTAATTTTTCACCAAAAAAATGATTGTTATTTAAATTGTGATTCGAACGACTATGGTAATGCTACCAAACATAACGCTTTTTTTCAATCAATGTTTCAAGACAAAAGAATTTTACGAATTTTTTCTTGATGAAATCGAAATACAACGCTCAAAAGTTGTTGACAAGCGTCGTGTTGACGTACGTGCGGCACATAGATAAATTATTGACAATTTTTAAACAAGTTTGCATTTGACAACGTGCAAACGTGATTTGGTTTTTAAGTTGTTCTCCCTGAACTGTATTAGTTTTGCTTGTGTATATTTACGCGAATAAATTTACATTTAAATCCTTCAACAAAATTATAGCATCGCTTTTATTATCGCTTTCGAGTTGGAGTGATTGCACTTCGATGGGGGTAAATGTAACCACCCCCTTTTACGTGGATAGATCGGAATATTAATTGAGTTGATAAAATATCACTTTGAATTCTTTTACATACATCTTTGAAGTATGTCAGTTGATGAACGTTTCATATCTTTAACTCTTTATTAAATCGAAGGATTTTGTCTCGTCACTAAAGGAAAGCACATGAAATACATCACATTAAATATCCCGCATTTCACTTTCTAAACTTTCCCGCCAAGTATAAATTTAGTCACCTCCAATAAGAATTTCTTGTATAATTTAAGGTGTGGTCACAAGCTGCGTTGTCCTCTTGGCCCTGGGTGTTCTGACGCCATTCTTTCAGTTCATTCCCAAAGCAACACTGGCTGCGGTCGTTATTGTAGCTATCCTTCGCTCGATTAACGTTACTATTGTTAACAAAATTTGGAAAGTAAGAAAACTTGACGTTCTACCGTTGGTTATTACTTTCTTCTCCTGTCTGTACGAGATTGCCTTGGGCATTGCTTGTGGTATGTGCATGGCACTGGTCATATTATTGTATCGGCAGTTCAAACCACAAGTGAATGTCCAAACTGGTGAGGTATGCTATGTGAGATTAGACGGTGGTTTGAGCTACATGGGTGTGCAGTATATTATAACGAAGATAAGGGAAAGCGCGATTCTCAGCGATACCAAACCGGAAGTGGTCATAATCGATTGCACGTCGATGTTTGAATGCGACTTCACTGTGAGTCAGGGTTTCTCGCAAATCGTGAAAGATTGTGAACATGAAGAAATCAACGTCGCTTTGTGTAACGTTCGCAGCTCCGTGAAGAAAATGCTTGTTGCGGATGGTTTGTCGCTTGACTTGTTTCGTAACGAAATTGATCCGGAGGATGTTTCGTATTCGATTAACGATGGATATGAAAGCAATGCGAAAATGATGCCTGATATATCGGAACCGTCAGTAAACTTAGTCAACTGACTAGTTGGTTATCATCATCATTAGTACGCGAATACCATAAGGAAGTTTATGTTTAAATCAATGGACGTTAATTTTGAATCATGTTGCGCAAGCAGCTGTAAAAATTTTCCTCGAGGGCTAATTTCAGTGATATTATGCAAGGCAAACAACGCATACTCGGGATTCTTCGTGGATGGTGTGGGAATATATAGTCAATCACAACAGCAGAATGCAGAAGTAATGAATAATTTTGGCAGATGCAATGAAATTTCTCGACATAACATTTAATAATTGGATTTATGTAATATTTGCTCATAAACGACACAATTTAATTTACTTTTGAAGAGAACTTTCTCGACATAACATTTTATAATTGGATTTATGTAATATTTGCTCATACACGACACAATTTAATTTACTTTTATACAGAAATTTCGAAAACGTTGTTTTTCTATTCAGTTAGCAAAAAATATAAATAGAAAACATTTCAAATATTTTGTAAAGTAAATTTGGTTATACGAACAATTAACAAAGGTGACTTATCATTGCTTTAATTTTCTGTTCGCTAACGTTTTAGCGAACTAGCCAAAATCATTATTTTGTATTCGACAGTGGCAGACCCTAGCGGGGATGAAGGTTGACTAAGCCCAATAATTTTGAAAGACTAAAAATCTGTCTCAGAATACCACAAATCAAACGTACATACCGTAACTGTCATTGCCATGACTATTTTTTAGACATCTGGGGCCCGTTGCACGAAGCCTGGATAGCGTTATCCATTGGATAGCAATTTTTGTTAAACTTTTCTAAAACGCAAAAAAAGCAAAAAGTATAAGATTTGAACTGAACAATCAATGAAATAAAATATTGTCTCGAAGATTACGAAATTTCTTTGTCGTAAGAAATATATAAACACCTTTTTAGAAGTTTGAAGATTTTTGCTATCCAATAAAACGTTATCCAGGCTTCGTACAACCGGCCCCATTAATGTACATGTCCCTGCTTGCGCTCTAAACATTCTTGGCTTTTCCGTGCGTATGATTCCTTAAAATAGAATTTTTGGTCAATCTAAATTCTAAACGTAAAAGGTATTAAAATTATGACTCAGTCACAATGCTTTGGAAAATAATGATTATTTCAAGACAATTTTTGAAATATAACGACTTTAATTTCTCATTCCATCTTTTTTCGATTATATCCAACATTTGCCTTGCCTTACGTCCGTGTTTCGTTTGGGAAAAATCTGATCGGAATGAATTTGAGCTATAAATTCTAATACATGCGGTACATTTTTCATGTAAACTCAGGCATACACCAAGGATTTTAATTTTTCAAAATGAATTTCTTATTTTGTACTGTTCTGCGTGAAATTTTTATTGAAGAAAAGGGAAAAGGAAGAGAGTTAGGCGCATATAGAGCTGTTACTGTTCTGATCGTTGTTGATTGACGACATTTTGCTTGTCGGGAAGGAGGAAATGACCTTTAGCTAATAGTATAAGTTTGAAAAGGACGCAGTTTAAGGCAGAATAAACAGGTCTACTTTGATGTAAAACTTGGCGTTGTTTATTTATTTATATTACTGGCTGCAGTTACCCATCTGAGCGTTCTTGGTGAGAAAAGAAATTGACTTGCTGCCTTAATAAGATATGCGTGGCAAAAAATTTCTATGGAATTCCTCTACTTTTTCTGTACTATGACGACGAGTGCGACGTGCTTCATTTTGGAGAGAAAATTGTTTTTGACGCGAGTGACTGACCTCGAGTACGAAGTGTTAAAAGGGACGAAAATCCGTATTTCATTCATTACCACCCAAAATTTCTATTGCGGCTTTCGACAGTTCAAGCATTATTAGAAATGAATCGAATCCATAGTCCTGTTGTAGGGTCAGCGGTAATCGACTCTAAGAACACTTAATTACTTTATCACTAAAGTGCCTATGTATCAGCTGTTTACTAACTTGCCAAAATTGAATATATTTTAAAAAATCCCAATAGCATAAAGAGTGTTACTGGCCAATTGCTAATTAGCAAGGACTTCTGTCCAGATTCCGGTGTTACAATGCTTTTCTTAAACCCTTTATAAAGAAAATGTTTGATTTTTACTCTATTGTATGCTTCTTTGCGATGGGTCGATTGTAGGTAGGAAGTACTAGTACGATGTTAACTCATGAAAGCACAACTGACTGCGTGCATCTAAAATATTTATGTGCTCTTATTTTCAGACCTGTATTCAGTTGGGCAATACATGCAAATTTTTTTTCCAGATTTAGCCCATTTAGCATAGACTCTTACCTGCATTGTACAGTTGCTGAATTCAGAAGAGGGGGAGGGAGGATTAAGCTCATCTAAGTCTTGTGAAAAATTGCATATATGTTTACACAGCCTGTATGGATGAGCAAATAGCAAACATGTGGTTGAAAGTATTTTGTGTCCTCGTAATTTTATGGCATTCACGTCAGACGTGTTTGATGAGGAAATTCAAATTGTTATCTCCTAACAACTCGTTGCAAATATAAAAATTGTTCACTTCGTTTTGTGGCCGTGTTGCATTATTTGCCAGGCTACTGACATAATGCACGTTTTGCGTACCTATTTTCATATATTAAAATTATGTTTTGAACTCAGTGACGTGGAAAGTTCCAAGGAAACTAGATCAGGTGCTCATGATACCATATTTAATAGCATTTTCACTATAAAACATGGGCATTCTTGGTAATAAGTACTTCTAAATGGACTTAGATTCTATAGATTTGCTACATGAATTGTTAATCCGACACCTTTGTCTAATCTAAACAGTTACTTAAAGCTGACTTTCTTGTATTTAAATGTGATATAGTCTCCGTCTTTTGGTTTTAGTCCATCGACGCCATATTGGGCTGATTTGTTGTTGAGGTAAATCATCCAATAATGCTTTGCCTTCCAGTTTGATGCGACTCCACAAATACTAGTGATGGAATGGCCCCACGCATATCTTCTATATGTCGCGGTGTAGCATGAATTTTGCTCTTTTGCCTTGTCCAAAATTGTCTTGGCTGTGGAACCTTGAAGAACACTGACCTCCACCCATGGTTCGGTTTTCGTGAGATTTGGGACATTGAAAATCAACTGTACTCGCACAGCAATGACCTAAAGAGTTGAGGTAAATCTTGTTATATTTGTACATGCAGTCATGGTCGAACACTATAGCGTTGTAATAATGGTTTATTACAAGTTTCATGCAAAGAAACTATTTTAATTTTCCTCTAAATACTGCATGTCGTAGAGATGCCACCATCTTTAGGATTCAGGTTGCTACCTCAAGTTGATATTCACGTTTACTAAAATGATTAAGTTCCAAACAAAAAATTACATTTTTCTTAAAGCTCGCAGGCTCGTCGTTTTTCTAATTATTTTTTCTCAATAAACAACTGTCATTTAAACCTGATTATCTGTCTTCTAAAAATATCATAATTTATCTGTTTTATTCCAGTATTGGTATATTCCAAATTATAGCTATTCTCTTGACACAGGAGTCCAGAAATCGCCAAATGTTCCCTCTTACCGTTTTTGGAACTATTGCCGATTGCTCTGTAGATTAAAAAAACGTATTTTTGTAAGTTGGCTACATGGCAAATTGTTAAGCAGAATTAACTTGTAAATAATTTCAACTTGTAAATAATTCCATCATCTATAGTAATTCGATACACTCTCACTTTAATAATATAAATAAAACTGTAAATAGATAGCATAGTCATTTGTGAGTCATTCCTTGTACGAAGATGGCATAAGCATGCCGAAACATGTTTACTTCAAAATAACTTGTTGCTCACTTGAAATGCCTCATACATATAGTGCTATTAAAAATTGTGAGAATTAACTTTTACGAATAACTACGTGAACATATTATGACAATTTTGACTTCTTAAAAAAATTTAATCGACAGTACTGCAATCTACGAAGATTTTGCTTCATTCACTCATTAGACAAAAAATCGACTGTTTAGAGTTTGAAGGTCAAAAGTGCATGTATCATGTTTTTGCTACTGGTCTATGTAGATAGTCCAGAAGATTTTAAATAGATTGACAGACGATATATTTTATAATTTCAGAATTTGATCTTCGTGCAATTCCGGAGCTCAAAGTCGGCGATTATTTGCTTGTCCGTGAAATTAAAAAATAGTAGAGTGAGAGCCCAAATTTAGGGTCATGTCGGGCTTTAAGAAAACACGCTTTAAGAAAACACTGTATTTTACTCATTATCTCCTCAAAAGGATAGCTTTTTTATTGCATTACCCTGCAAACGTGTGTGGCATCTTGTCCCGTGTATCCTCAAAAACATCCAATTTTAAACAAAATACAATGGACGAACTCTTTTTGTTATGTTAGAAATAATATTAGCTAATTTACCTATGTTGACAGTCAAACAATGAAAATGGTCATTTTTTCAACTTTAAGTACTGTAAATCCAGAAAAATCATGCTTTCGAACTTCGAAATATATTGGAAAAGTTTTTAAAGTATCCTGAACATAAATGCAAAAACATCATATATTACACTTTAACTTACCCGCTGGACAAGGATAATTTTTCAAGTTGATTAGTGACTCTCCGAGAAGTGCTGGTGTTACTTGAATATTTGCCAATATTGTTCCAAAGGAGCCATCCTTCTTTTGATACTTAAGTATATTTCTCATTGCTTTCTCATAGCAGAAGATGCGGGGTTCAACACCTGCTGCGAGAAGGGCCTGGAATTAAGATGGTCGAAGAAGTAATTAGTTTAAGTTTTTCGTTGACTATATTAGAAAATATAATGTATATGAAATTGACACATTGACGAATTGAAACATATGATATTTAAGAACAAAAAAGATGTTTACTTTGTCTGCACAGGCCTATATACAAACCAAGGAGACCTTTGGAAGAATTCGAGAGCATATGAGGGCAAGCCCGAGGCCAAAGGTCACTTGTTTCCACCCGCTCGAGAGTTCTTACAAACGTGTCCAGTGCTTGCGTAAGCCTAAGCCAAATTTATGTCTTTTTTTATAAAATAACATTATTATATGGCAAGCGTCACTTCTGGCCAAATGGCGCGTTTTGATTGGCTCAGAAACATTTTTGCTGGTCCATTATTTTCCCGTAATCGACCACGGTCCAAAACGCGTGATTTTGCAGTCAAATGTAAACAAACTTCAAAATGCAAACAGCAAAACGCAAAAAAAAACGAAACAAAAACCATTTACGAATGTGAGTCGAAGGAAAAACATTTGGAAAACAGTTTAACTATCCAGACGATACAGTAAGAAACGATTTATTTTTTATGGACGAAAACTAGAAAAGTGAAAGCCAAGCGGTAAAAAACAGCAATGACGAGCAAGAAAGCAATTTTCGTTTAAGGTCAAATAATGCCATATAATAAACCTTTTAATAACCTCGCTTTCTCGGTCTTTACTGAAAAATATCGGACTTCTGTCTTTTTGCACAAACCTCGCCCTATGGTCTCGGTCTGTACAAAAGACCTCGGTCCGTTATTTCTTCGTAAAGACCTCGCGCTCGGTTATTAAGGACTTAATAATGCAAAATTGATGGACTTAAAACAAGCGTTGCGGAAAAGCAGCTATATATATCACATCCAGCTAAATACAAAATTCGAAAAAGTCAAAATAGATCATATGAACAAACACTTGTGATACTTCCATCTGAAGAAAAGTTGCGCAACTGCATGTACCATGAAAGACCAATAAATGCCCGGGGTGTTAGATAAATTTTAGTGGTTTTAGGCAGTGTTGATAGATGCGAGGAGTTTAATAAAGAGGATGTTACATCAATTCTGTCACCTAAGTGTTAACAAATGAAACCAAATTGTATGGTTCTGAAGCCAATCGACAATATACTATACGTAACACATAATAAAGATATTCTACAGGCAATGTGGAGGAGGCGTATATTACACACAGTGCGTTTATTAAGGAGAGGCGTGCGATACCAACTCACGCTCACGTTTCAATGAAAGCGTTAGTTTATTACGCGGCGTTTATTGGATAAATTACGGTAGTCATCAACTTACTGTCATAGAACATATAACATTGTGTTGTTGTCGTGTTACACTTGTGTTTACACACTTTCAAAAAATATGACAAAGCAAAAAAAACTACAGCAGACAGGAGTTTAGGTTATTAATTTTTACCTGAACTGCTAAAGCCGAGGAGTACTGGTTTCCAAAGCCTCCAGTTGTTGTATTTTGATTTGAGAGAAGACGTTGAATGAGAAATTTTTTGCCGAGTTCAGCTCGATCGAAGTGCGCTGCGAGCTTACACATGACATTGCAGTCAAAATTAATGCATCAATATCAACAGTATGGGATGAGGTTTGCCTGTACGCACTTTTAACTAATGTCTTCTCCGCTTGACTGGAAATGCGTTTCCTTGCGTTGCATACAGCAATTACGGCTAAACTGTAGCCAAAATAGTTGTTGAAATATCGATTTTCCCCAAAAGTCGAGAATCCGGCCAAAAGATCTCGTGTCAAATTATGACCGTGGAAGTCGTCGGCATTTTTGCATATTGAAAGTACGCCGTGGATTATCAAAGCAAGATGTGGTGTGGGAATACTCGAGAGATTTCCCTTTTGCTCTTTTACGGAGTCAAGAAAGTTCTTCAATGTCCGGTCAATGGAAATGCCTTGTGCATTTTTGAAGTCGGACAACAGAGTGCTGGGAGTATGACCTACTAGTCTGAGAGTGGCAAACATGGATCCTGTACGATAAGGACGTAATTTTGTTGTATTTTTGTTATATGATTGTCTCAGCCAGTCCGAGGATCGAACAACTGCGCGGATAAGATCGCCATGCAGATTATCATTCCTTTTCTCGGCTGGAAAAGATTTGAAAAAAAATTGTCAGTAGATAAAGTGTTCATGGCATGTATGAATATATGACATCATCACAATATAAACCACTGGTACATACGCCAACAGTAGTGTCACTCATAGTGTGAAAAGTAGATACCAGTCTCTTTCGCGATAGAAACATTGGCAGCCAGAAAATAAAGAGCAAATTTATTATTGAATTCTACAGGAAATGGAGTTTACAGCCATAAGTTTCATACTTTTCTCAAACTATTGGCCGAATGCTTATCAAGTTTACTATATCTTTGAAAGAAGCGGTTGTGATTTAATGAATCCAAGAACAATTCTGGAAGGTCAATTTTTATGAAAAAATTGCCGTTTGCTTTTGACACAGAAAAAGACCGGTGCTCATTACGCATACTATATGTGAGAGTAGAATGAAATTACGAAAAACATTTGACTTCCGTTGTTGTCCCATATTGAAAGTAAACCTCTGTGGCAATCTCACTTAAAAATTTGATCATACTGTGGTCAAATAGCTGATGCAGAAGGCGAATGTTGCAATGTTCATTCAAAATTTTTTTACGAAAATTCAAAGTAGTTGAAGAGCACAAAGTATTAGACATTTAATTATCATGCAGTGTATAAACCTCGTTTCAAGCAATCGACTATGTGTGTATAACAAGTTATTAAGTGTATATGAAACAAAGAATGAAAGCAAGCTTCATTTATGCATTTCCAAATGAGAGGCTTTCTTTTAGCATGGTGTTCTCAGAGAGGAAAACTTCAAAGATTTCAACGCGAGCAGAACCTTTGTGACTACTGTTTGTCTTTATATTGTGAAATCATCATAAATTAATAGTAGCATACTTTTTTTGCATTTATTTTTACCATGTTTCTTTAGCTAATCCATTCACTTCGCCGATAATGCCGATAAAGTTGCCAATAATGTCTGTTTTAGTAACTACGCAGTTTATACTATGCTACATAGCATCAAACTACCTCACGAATTAAACGGCGTTTAAGAAAAAGACTCGAGCATCATCGAGATGCTTGTTTTGGAAATGTTTAAATTTATCTTCTCTTTTGTGCGTAAAATGAGAGATATAAGATAGAAATTGCCGTGGCTATAAATCTAATGATTCACACCGTTCAATCACGTTTTTGTGTTATTTTGAGTAGTCAGGTCTACTCAAATCACCAATGTTTATTAATTCTCATTACATTCAAACGCGTCGAGAGCATTTCTATAATTACCGTCATATATGAGTCTGACTTTCTACACTTACCATAAAATGCATGCGCCACTTCACTGAAAAGGAAAAGTGCACATATTATTGCTGTATCATATCGGATGCAACATCTCTTCATTGTGACTTCTTGTTGTTTAAAACGTTTGATAATTGGGAACGGTTTTTCTTAGGACACTATCTATCGCTCTTGCTCGAGTGATAAGAACTGAAACTTCCCGAAATATGAAACTCACTGAAACGATCTTTACGTCAAAGGGGCGTAGCATATTTAAAGCATAAAAAAGGTTTGTTATTGTTTCCCAGAATATTGTATAAAGTGATGACAGTGCTTGATCAACGTCAAGCCATTAATCTTTATAATCCTAACCCTCTTATGACTATGACTCGTTCATTGATAAGACAATGATACACAATACACAATCGAAACGATAAATCTAAAGATTGAATACATTGTGTTTTGGGGCTGTCTGCGTCACCTAATCGTGAAAACTCTTGATTTTTTCGTATCCAGGTTATTACTGGCAGATATCTGGATTATAAAAATTAAACCTAGACTATAAACTTTGCAACTGTATGTCATATGAGGAGAAGTAGATAGCTATTATTCGTAAATATCGTCAGCAGATTGAGGTATAGGTCATTGTCAGATTATATGGACGAATAATAACATGCATTCTATGAATGAATGAACTTAGTAAATGCCTAAACTTTTATTAAATCTCTCAAATTTAAGGGTACATTTAATTATTGTCACTGATATCCTTTAGGCATTCGTTTAGTTTGCAGATGACATGGTTGCCGAGGTTATAATCCATGCATTGAATATTTTTATCAAACTATTGAAGACCGTTGATGGTTTTCAAAACATATGTTGTTCTTTGTCAGCGAGGGAATAGAGAAATGAATGAAAGTATTTAATTTTGAATTCTCTTGTTGAATTGGTTCTGTGAATCTGTGTAAGAATTTGCTTTGCAATTACACGGTATTTTATTTGTAAATTAGTAGCAACAAAGTGCCAACGTTAAGGAAAGATAAATTTCTGTAGCACTGAACGACGAATATTGTGAAGTAGGAATGAGCTTAGATTTGGAAAAATGAGATTCGAGATTTTGAACGAAAGGTCGAAAGATTTACTTGTGTCTCAAATATTGACGATGTAACAGTCGAACACGAGGACTTTTGGCTTGGTAAACTTGTCGTCGAAGAAGTGTGATTTCAATTGGACTTTAAAGCATAAAACATCCTGCCATTAACCCTATCTGTTGACCAAAGTTGAAAGTTTTCTGCCGATCGAGCTTAGAAAATTCAAAAAGCAAACGGCTCACTTTTTAATTTCTACAAGTAACGAGATTCGGAAACAAGGCGTGCTACTTTCAAAATTGATGATGGATATTTAGTCTAAACTTACCTCATGAATGTGTTGATGAGTGATATTTAAAATTACATATCCTTGATCCCAATATTTTTTTTTGGGCGGGGGGGAGGAGTGAAATACGTTAATAAATATCCCTGTAACAAAAACATATTTGAGCCATATGCAACATGTTGTCATTATATGACCTAGAGCCTAATCTTCTAGATATCTGACTCCACCAAAATTCTATAGTGACGAGTGAAGCAAGGTACCTGCTTGAAAGGAGGAAAAACGGATGATATTTATGATTGATCTGTGTATAAGTTTAACTTTTTAAATGTTTCCTAGGTTTAGGTTTTTAAACTTTGTTTTAGCTTATTTTTCATCTTGAGTTTTGCTTTTTGCCACCTGTCAAAATGACGTCTTTGCTTCACCTTGACACGGTAGAGAGGACTAGGTTGTAAGTCATTAACTAAAACATTGTGGTGATGTCGAGAGATTGCATATAGGTGGTAAAGCATTTATTATATCACTACATTATAGGTGATGTGCAACCATTCCACGGAGAATTGAGAGTACACTGGAATATTTGTCATGTTGGATGACATTTGTATTGTAAATAAGGAAAATCCTTCATTAAAATCGCACAACATGGTGGCTATGACGTAGCTTGCACACAAAGAATAGATATTATTTGCACGTTTTGCCTGAAAGAACGAAAAAAAAACACTGTCACTCACTCCCTCTGAGTGAGTATTAAGAATCTGTATAAAAAAAGCAAAATTCATAAAGATCATAAAAATATTTGAACATAATTTTCGTGACTTATTTGTTACTTTGTAGTTGTTGCTAAATTTGCAAACTATGCCGGTTTTATTGTCGTTTTTAGCAGTGATGATAGGAAGTGCTTCTACGGACAACGATATTAAATTGATTTTAGTGCACCAAAAATGGGAAATGGGAAAATCTGTTTTAAAAGAAGTTTTCAGATCTTACTGGTGTTTTAAATACGAAAATTTTACGCTGAACTTGAATCCTCTTACATCATTTTAAACTTTGTTGAACGAGCAATGGATTTTGAAAAATCGTTCACCATCGAAATTGCAACAGTATATTATTTTCACTTTATTATCCAGCCTGATTTTCTCTTTTGATGCAAAGAAAACCAAATCCTTATGTTTACCTCAGGGCATTAATAAATGCTTCACAGTGAAAACAAGCTTATGCTTATACTTATGATGAAAGAGCTGACCCCGCTTAATTTACATTTGATTTTGTAAACAGACAGCTGTTAGTTCTTTTTTAAAATTTGAGGAGTCAGGCTCCATTGGTTTTTGAGAAAGTACTTGGCTAAAAAATTTGACCGTCTAATTGACCCAAGTCCCAGTATTGTATCCTTTTATCAGTTTCATAGCCTTGTGTAATTGCTGCTCTATAGGAACTCAATGACCCCCACATTTGCCTACGTGATCACTGTATGAAATCAATTGGTGTTTCGTATGAACCGCTGCAATAAAATGTGTTACGAAGCTGTCAAATAGACGTGTTGAACGTCGATGGCTCTTTTAAAGAAAACAAATTTGTGCCGCGTTGTGGTCTGGTCTGGTCTCCTATGACGTGTGGATAAGGTTTCAAAGTCATTAGCGAGGACATTCGATTTCCGTTCAGCAAGCGTATTGGATTAAATAGTAACCAAAGTATTGAAAATACGAATGATATTTGAATGGAAAAATGTCGATTTCACATCCGGTAAAAAGGCGCATTTGAATCAATAGCATCATTGATGAGCACGGATCGTGATAATGCTAGTAGCATAGTCGCTCCAAACCACTACGGTTTTTCGACGCGGCCCTGCAAGTCATTCACGCTCTCTCTTACTTGTTAAATGAAATGGTAAAATTGCCCGATGTTGTTTTATGGTTTCGCGATGCTACTTCGGACAGGCGACTGGAAACCCTATGCCGCCTCCTAGACTGTTGTATGCCACTGGAGTTGCAATTTCTAAACAAGTACTTGGACGAATTGCTTCGGCGAAATCTCATCGTTGATGCACCGTGCTCGGAGACGAACATGTTGGAGTTACGTGAGATCACAGAGTCGGCGTCTCGCCGTCAGCTTTGCCTACTACTGACGCGTTTGACGTCCGCGAACGTTCTAGCCAGTTGTATTTATGACATTTTGATGCAGTATGATTTTGAAGACTTCTTCTCCCGTGTCATGATAATGGAGGAAGAACTGGTCGACGAAATTCTACTTTTGTTCACCCTGGCCGCGAACCATCCCGCCATGAACTTCACCCAGCGTCGCAATCTGCATCAAAGACTCGTCGACCTTCGGGAAACCATTGAGAAATCTTTCAAGGTGCGCTCAAAGTTTATGAATATCAAACATTGCTGACATTCAACATTATTATACATACACAGGTCAATGTTTCACTTTTAATTGTCGTGCGTGCAAGTGTTTATGTTGTACATTTTTCTGTGACCCTGTATTATTTTTGTGCCTTGATTTTATTTCAATAATGTGCATATTTGATACAGTCAGCTCATATGCCCTGTAAATGCATCAAAATACAGCTCATATCATGTTACTTTTACTTTTAGTATCGATATTTTACTTTTATAGCCAGTGTCTTCGTGTGTAAACACCCCTATCTTAAATGGTTTGTTATGAACTAAGCGCCTGTCAGCAATGTTTACAAAGTACAAGACATTATTTGAAGAACCATGACGAGATTTTTTAAACGTTGATTGGAATGTTTTTCGTCTAGGGATTTTCTCAAAAAATCAGAAAACATATTAATTGTAAGAAAGGTGTTAAGATAGAAGTAAACATTTGTTCTAGAAATGTTCACATTTTGAACGCACTAAGGGATAAGCATAGGATAAATATTATTTTCCGCGAGTTCTTCCTCATTTGTTTGACAATGCTCTCTTTGATGCTTCAACCTCCCTAGTGTTACCATGCTACCGATATTTGTCAGCCCTATAATGGGGTATCTGCTTTCGAGCCATTTGAAAAGTCGAGCCCCGTTAAAGTACCAGATGAGAAACAACAATTTTTTGGAAGAGAAAAAAGTGGCAACGAAAGTTTACAACGCGCTGAAGAAAAAGAAGATGTCCCCAACACCAAATGCTCCATTGAAGGTAGGGAAATGTGGCTTTAAATGCTGCGTACTTCTTAAAAGTTGTATGTTCATGTTGAATTCTCAGACGAACGTGAATAATTGCAATCAATTAATTGCTTGTGAATATGTACACAAATAAGGCTAATGTCATTTTAATCAGGCGTGAGCGAACGCAGTATAAGATGTATCTTCTAATTGGAATATTTGATTGGACATTCTTGTCTGCTCGCAGTTGCCCTAGGGGAATTTTGTCAACGCGGTCGCTTCAAATTGTCGCCTGCATATGAGAACGCTGCTTGTGTTTTTATAGCGTAGGAAAAGGACTTGTTGAAAAGAAAAAGACACCAATGTGTTTTAAATTCTTTTCGATAGTGGCCATTTATCATTGTTGCGTACGAATCTTAAATAAAACCCGCTTTTACTTATTCCCACAATGCCATTTATCTGATTGTAAAGTGTTTGAAATTCGCGGTCGGAGATCTGTTAACACTTTCTATAGTACCATTCGAAATGTACACTGACTATAATAGTGTCGTGTTCATCATAGTTTTATAACTTAGATGGTTATTGAAATTCGTTTTAACTGTGTGAGTTGAGTGTAATATAAAATAGGACTAAAATATTCTTACAAATGTGACGTTGTATAGCTATTGGCCCTTGCATGCACTTTCATCATCTTAAATTGCCCAACTTTTTAATATTGTACTTGATTCTACAGTGTGGACATTGTGTTACTAAACGATTATTTTGGCCGACGTATCGTCTTTATCATAATAAGTTCAATACATAAATTGTCTTTGCTGTGTGGACATCTTAGACCGGAGGTTAAACACAACACAACCATAGCTTTGTTTTAGTATCATCATCCTTAAGGGTTGAACTTAAACTAAAATATGCTACGACAAAGATGTGATTGTGATTCATGCTTTTGCGACCATTTGTCTTTTCTGCCGGTTATCGTCAGCATAATATATAAAGACAAATTATAATATATTGGATTTCACATTTAGACATGCTTCTGCTTGTGAAAATGTTTGTCTACAAAAGTCGCTGTCAGACTTTTTTTCTCAGCTCTACATACTCCCTGTTAACAAACAGCTTTTGTTAATCTTTTCCTACTCAGTAACCTTTTAGGTAGGGCAAGGGTTGGGTTACGTATATAATTGCTGAACATGTTTGAAGACTGGAGTTCCGAAGCACGCAAGCTCACAAACAGATGCAATTTTTAACTTCCTGGAAAAAATTGTAAATTTTTCGTAGAAAATTTTTTGGAAGTTAATCAATAAAAGCTTTACTTTTTGAATTATAAAACAATCCAAAACCTTCAACCTGACCTATTTTGCATCGATATATCTATTACATCCGACTACGGCACGTTTTCTCCAAACCAAAATTAATACGATTCGTATGCGAATCATTCAGTTGCATCCAAGACACGTAAATGCCTTCCAAGGGCAACGCTGTTTGCTACAACTATAACATACAATAAGAATATATACTGCTGTAGGGATGCACGGGCTCTTGCTGGCCAGCATATCGTAAAAACGACCACAATAAGTCGGTTCTGTGGTTTGACTCATATCTAAATCAACTCAGTTGAATTCAACTCAGTGAAATCAATCAAATCAACTGAAAATGATCGATGAAAGTTCATCTTTTGTATTTCAATCATAGAATTTGAAGTTTTATAACGTTCTATAATGCAACGTATTTTAGTGTGAGGTGACCAATTGCTTTCGCACAATCTTCATTAGAAAAGTAATATGTTGTAAGCATGTTTGGTTGTTTGGAGATTATAGCTATTCCAGGCTAAAATCCGTTACCAGCCGACAATGTTATATATTATAGCTAATATGAAACATACTCCAAATAAAAAGTTTATGTTTTACTCAATACTCGAGAAACAAATAAGACAATTTTTTTTAATTGTAATATTTCCAATTTATTGCAAATTCGTCATCAGACTTTACATTGTCTGCATGTTGTCTTTGTTTCGTGAGTTTGGACTAGTTTTATTAAAAGAGATATTTAGTTAAAAATTGAGTCCTTACATCCTTGAGTTCTATCTTTTTCGTCATGCGTTAAAAACTTGACACTCCAATCGTGCGTCTTTAGTAAAAGCGTCTTAATCATAATTGCGATGAAGAAACGGGCATTCTACCTTCTTCGGCAAAATATGATCGTTTTCATGCGCGTATCCTTGTGCTGTCGGGAAAAATACAGTTGATGAAAAAGTTCTTCAATTCTTTTTTGCAGTCCGTTATATTTAATAACAGCTTTGTAACGAGCACAAGACATAGCTGCATATATAATTCACTTAGATTTCGAGAGAACTTCAACAACCATCAGGTGCTGCGATAGAATGTTTTACGTTTATTATTCCAGCAATGAAAATGTGAACCAAAGCTCTCGTTTCTAAAGATTATGCGCATGCTGACCAAAATAATTTAGCTTTTTACCACAACTACTTGACATCTCCGGTTAATTGTGTAATTTTCATAAGGGGATATATACTTTTTTTGTCCATCCTCCGTCTAACGAATATCATTCAATGTCATCCTAAATAAAGGTCAGTTCCTTGAGCGTTTGTCATTTTTTTAAAAACTTTAAACACTTAACACTGGTTAATATCTTTCCATCTTTTATTTTGGAAAAGCTCTATGTGTTTTTAAAAAAATGCTACCGTCAAAATGATGGCTATAAACTGCAATGTTATAAAATGAAGAAACATAACTTTCATCGACTTTGCGCTTGTTTATCATATATTTCTCAAATTAAATTAGAAAATTTCAACAACCCAGGCTAAAATTACATGGTCGCATAACATATTTAGGTGAATGACGACCAAAAATTTATTCCCGGGTTGACAACTCTGGTGTATTTCGTCAGCTTTATGAATGATCTGGAAATGAAATTAAAATGAAAGAAAAAACAAATAAATCTGTTCTTACTGGGCTACGCAGTCATTAATTTATCGTTACCAGTGGCAACAGACCGCAGAAAAGGTCACTCCAATTTAAAGTAAATCAAAGACACGATTGCATGGCATGACGATGTCTGCCCCGGATAAATTTTCGGATCTTGTTTACAGGTGGTAGCTAGCTATATAGCTATCATTACAGAAATAAGTTCTTCTTCCCGCATTTACGTGTCCACTCAGGAGAACCTACGTTGCAGTGTTAGGAAACGTCAGTTTTTTTTCAAACTAGCATTTTAACAGCGTGAAATTGAATACAATTACATCTTGGTAAAGTTGCATTCCGTGTAATATCCCGTAGCGAGAGGAAACTACGCCGGTGGCGGTAAGAGTGAATGTGGAAATGAACTATAAACAGATTTGACGACACACACGAAATACAAAGCCGGTAAAACATTCGGTGCTCAAAAGCGTAACGATTTTTGGACGTTGCGCATGACTTTCATGATCTAAACAGACATTTTTTATGACAGATTCCATTGCCATTTAGAGCGGCAAAATACTATAAAATGTAAACTAATATCTTTTCGTTAATCCCTTGTTTGTTAATCAAATTAATGCATCTTCATACTTCAAACTTATTTGTTTTTAAAAGCAGCTGATTGAGTGGAATTTGGTGTTATTTTCACAGCACGCCAGAAGCATCGCCAGAGTGCGAGTGTAAACATTTCCCATTCAGTTGAATCTATGAATGTGTGAGACATATGGATTTCATTCGTAAAAAGAAATTTGACTTTAGAAAAAATTAAGGATCTTCCTTTCTGCGTTCCCATTTGTGTGGCATGCAACATTCGCAAACACTACATTTTTTAATGAATTTTTTCATTTGCAACGTCTGTCGACACATATTATATATGAACCTGCATATGACGCAGGAAAACTTATGCGCGTATGCGCATGTCATGCGGTTCTTCACAGCAGTATTAAAGTGGGCTTAATTTTTTGCCATGTAATCGCAAATTATGCTTTTCTGTGCCACATAACAAGCTGTTTTATGCGCTAAACCACGAGTAATTTGAATGATCATTTGTATGCAGTATCGAAGCCATGCAACCCATAAGTTTTGGTTATGCTTAATTTCATTTCTTTAGCTAGTTTTTGACATTGGTTGTTTTTGAATTAACCCGAACATCTAAAAATTTGCAAAGAAGAGCTGTAATCATTCTCGATGGCATAGTCAATTATTTTTCATTCCTTTCAAATGGGTTCGATTCTTGTATTTTGAACTCGTTTGTCATCACTCGTTTATTACAAACTTGAATTTAAATTGAAAGTTTGTCGAAGAAAGGTCGCGTCGAGGAAGCTGTACGTATACTGTTGTAAAATAATTATCTCTAACTACATTGACTTGAAAATAGAATTGAATGTAGCTAAAGTATTCCTCATCCACAAGAGTTTTTAAAGAATATTTCAGTAGCTAACAATGGTCTCCGGGCAAATTAGTGTAGTGTGTTTCGTAATAGAATTACACGAGATAATATGCGAAAATTTGGCAGCTGTTTTCCACATCACACACAAAGGTTACCTAGATTAAAATTCCAAGTTCTTGTGTTTGTCTTTATCTATGTGTTTTAATGGAAATTTATATCGACCAATTATAATCAACAAGAAATGCGTCATCTCATTATGAGAAAAAAGCCAGAAGCATTATCGGTTAATTTACACCGCACCCCAAACTTCTCCTTAAATAGACGTGATCTTCGTTTTTTATATATGTAAACGCGCGCAGTTGATTTTGTAAGCAGCTATAAATTAACGTGGGCAAAACTCTCTTCGATTTGATGAACTTTCGACATCGCTTTAAATCACCACAAGAGCTGTTATACTCTCCATTTAAATACATAGAAATAAACATCTATAATTTCATACGATTTGATGCCAAAAATGGAACGGTTTCGATCAAACTAAAATCTTCATACTAAAATTATGCCGAGGACACATAGATTGCATGATTTTTTTGGTTTGTTTTGAGAATACATCATGGTATATGGATACAGATTAGTACAATAAACACTTTGTCACTATTAGGCTGAGGCGTAAATAGAACTTTAATAGGGGGGTGCATATTCATATATTCCGTTGTGCCCTACTGTTTTTTGAAAGTGAATTGAGTTTCAAAAGAAATCAGTAGGGCACAACTGAATATATGAATACACCCCCTCCCCCAATCAACGTTATAGCTACGCCTCTGCTATTAGGGTCTGCTTGAATCCTTCTCCGAAATTTGGAGTGATCTAAATGCGTGCTTTACTTTTTTTGCAGCTCACATCAAAGACCTTCGTGTCGTAAGAACTCAACAAAGAAACCTTGATAAAAAATATGAATACATTTTTGAGGTAATGATTGACCAAATCCTATTTACGTGATCATCACCTGTTTGTTTGTTTGTTTTTGAAGTGAGTGTTAATTTACAGGGTTGCTGTCTGCTAATAGGGATTGATAAATGTGCCAAAACCTAATTTGTCTATGGAAATTTGTGTTGCGACGTCAATATAGAGTTCACGCCATCGTGAGTTGTATGGTGCAGAACCCTGTATTTACAATAGTCAGGACACGTATTGTTCTCTGTATTTCGCATTATGACTAAGATGATTGGGTAAATATGGTCACGTGGGTATATAGCCGCCACTTCTGTTCCTAAAAGGCAAATTATAACCATTTTTATAATGAATTATTAGGAAATCTTTGCAATGGTCTCAAGTTGCGTTTTAATAGTGCAAATCAAAGCGATGAAGAATACAAATCTAAGCGCTCCCATGTGGCAAAAACAGTATTAAAGGCGTATAAATTACGCCAAGCACATTACTAAATTATTTTCAATTGCTATGACATCTATGAACAACTGAATTCAAAAGGTAGCGATCGTTGTCTATTCATGAATAGGGAAAACAACGGAAAATTGTTCTTTCCCCCATTTAATGCTCTTAACTTGCTGGCTTTTTTAACAAAAATGGCAGACACCACCCAATTTTACTTCCGGTCTCCCAACTTTTTCGTTTGCAGGGCTCTGGTATGGTGTAGCCAACCAGCAAGTTTGGTCGTGCTGTATGTATGCCGCGAAACTGATAAGAGCATCATTCATTATTAGTTAAGCCCGCTGCACAAGAGAGCTATCCTCTGAGCAAAAAAGTAATCGTGCCCGTTTGCTCAGCCCGTAGCTCATCGTGTGCGCTTGATTTTTACTGAGATATTCGCCTTAAGTAACAAAAAGTTGGATATCAAATATGTTTGATATTTTTCGAATCTCGAGGAAGAAATTTCACCGTGTGCAGTGGTTGTGAGCTACATTCTCACCGAACAAAAGTAAACAACTAATACGATCGCGCTTTTGAGTCACATGCTGAAAATAAAGATGGCCGCCTGTGGTGAGGTGGTAAATGATTAAATTTAGGAGGACAAACTCGCCGATTTGTTGCAGTATTGTCTCTTTTTATATGATGTTCGATCACAGAGTGTAAAAATATGAACGACAAAAAGCCCTGGAAAAAATAGCGAAAGGATTAGAATCGTCTTCTCAACATAAAAAATAAAAGGACGTCTTCTAACTCTTCACTGTCTATTGCTTTTTTACCAATGGAAATCTATTTGTGATAAACAAATTTCGAAGCCACCGTCGCCATTACTAAGGGACCAACTCATCGAAAGATTAATTTGATTCAACAAACAAAAACTATGAAAAATTTAGCAAAATCATGCTTTAAAATGAAACAGAAGGTGAAAAACAACCTTTGGGGCGATAGTAAAGAGAGTCAGAAAATATAATCGACTTTATAAGAACAGGTTGCAAACAGGTTTCACTCCGAATCACTCATAAAAAAGGCTTGTAATTTTTTGAAGGATTGATCAGTTTTTGATCCTAAATGAGAATATTTAATCAGCTAGTATTTCTGAACTACAATTCCGACTATTTTAGGTATTTTCATGCAGCTGTGGGCTATTTTCCATAGTTTTTCCACACCACAATAGAGTTACTGATGACAAAATTCGCTGCATTTTGATCATATTCCATCATATTTCATCGTATTATTAGCAATTCTATAAACTGATAAACCCTCAGTTATGTTTATGTAGTTACATGTTGAAAATTCAGGTTTATTCGCGTACAAATGAACAGTACATTTGTTCCTTGTTTTCGCAAGTTAGTCCCTTGCGAAATGTAATGTAATGGCAGAGCTCCTTAATTTTTGTCTTCAATTTTAGTGCTAGATGCTTGATCAAGTCTTATTTCGAGATCAGTGCTATGGCTACATCGCCAGTTTATTTTCATCATGTGACTCAAAAGCGCTATCTTACTGGTTGTTTACTTTTTGTTTGGTGAGCATGTACCTCACAACCACTGCAGTTTAAACAATTTTTTGATTTTGCATAAAAGATCAAGCTTCGAGTTTTTATACGGACTTGTCTAAGCCAGTTGCTGTCAACATTCATTTGCTGTCATATTGGTGCATAGTTTTTTTCTTCACAATTATAATTTAAATACTGTGTAAAACACAACCTAATGTTAAGCGCGGGCCACACTATCGTCGAAATGCAACGAATTTCGTGACGAGTCGCTCGTCAACGAGCCAACGCGACAAGTACATGTGCCACATTGTAACGATTTTCCGTACAAGCATGGACGATTATCAGCGCAAAAAGAAACTTCTATTATTGAAGAGAAAAATTCTACTGCTTCTAATTTCTGCAAAACGACGTACATACAAAAGAAGGTTCTGGGTACATCCCATAAATAAAAGGCAAGAAGAGAAGGGCTTGTATGACACGTTATTGCAAGAGCTTCGTCAAGCTCTATTGGTCGCAACTTTCAGTTCCCGAGCAGCATCCTTCCAATTATTTTTCTTTATATTGCGTGTATCTTTATAGTCAGGATGAAATTTGTCCCACAAACATCGCCTCTCTCTCACTAGCTCAATTAATATTTCTTGCCAATCCGCCATTTTGCCACAGCACAGTGAAAGCAAACATTAGTCATGTGATTTTTTTTGTCCAATCAGAGTAGATATGCAACAGATCACTCGTCACTCGTTGACGATTTCGGTGTGCATGCTCAACGGCGACGAATTCGTCCATATCGTCATATTTTCTCGTTGACGAGCGACTCGTCACGAAATTCGTTGCATTTCGACGATAGTGTGGCCCGCGCTTTAGTGCTGTGCACTGGAGTACCGGGTCAGGTTATTTTGCTTTCGGAGCCGGAGTTTGTTTGTTCATCCCCAGCAAATCTCCGGCAGCAGTTGTTTGAGCTTCAAAATACTGTCAGACTCAAATGGTAAACCTTTCCGATCAAAACATACGATAAATGTTGATTAAAATTGAAGAACTTGCGTGAAAATAGAACATTTTATGCATGACACAACATGACGCAAGCTTGTCTTCACACACGTTATATTTATGATTGAAAGTTTGAGTGCGGAAATGTAACTTCACACATAAAAATTTTACTAATAATAACTGTTAAACAGTGACTTGCAAAATCAAACTGCCTCGACCAGGTATTCAAGTTATAAAATAGCCAGAGTTGCATTTTGAAACCGAAGTTCCGAATTGACAAGAGGCCGTAGCTAGAGACGGAGCTGAAAAACACGAGCTTCCACAGCCACTTTTATTGGCTTTTTATGTTTGCAGGTCTTGTGGTCCAACGGAAAAACGGCAAGGATTCATCGCCCATACGGAGAATTATTTGACTTTCAATGCAAGGTACATCTCGTGAGAATGGACTTTGAGTCCTTTAGAACTCGTTTGCTCCCTAAATATTATATTTCATCTACATTACGTTTTTCAAACGACAGTCATTGCCCTCTTCCCTTTTAACTGTCTCCCCATGACAGAAAATCTTGCTACGCCACTGCGATGTTCATTTCTGTTTTGTTGTTGTAGCTTCGCCGTCGATTCGCAAAAGATGACAACAAAATGACTGAAAAAAAAGTGATTCCCTATCTTCCAGGTGCGTTTTATAGCGCACGTTTTATAGCGCTCGCCAGCTCAATAAGTGAAGGGGACAATATTCATATACTTATGTTTTAATCCTTCAGAAACAATTAATTTCAAAAGTACGCAAAAACATGAATTTATGAAATCCTTCTCACTTATCGAGCAGGCGACGCTACTGGCGCACGTTAATGCATGCATGCTTTGTGATGTTTTGGCAATCTTTTTTCACTATTCCTAAATACTTGACGAAACTAACGATTCACACTTATATTTTTAACTTCAATCTTAGCTCGAAAACCAATAAAACTTTGCAAAGGAAATAATGTTCTTCCAGATATAACATACTACGTGAAGTAAGTGAGATTTAAGATCTATTTGGATGGTACTGGGATATTTTAAACTAAGTATTCACCGTCATGCAGTAATGTAGCCTCCCTGGCAAAATTTTTGCTCCAAAATATAATTTTTGCACACATAGAAAATTATGCCCTCCCTTCTCTTTTATCTGCCCCCCTCCCCTTTTACAGAAAATCCTGGTAACGCTGTACTGAGTAGCTACGCCATCCCGCTTATTCTGACTTGCTATAAATGAATATATCAAAAGACCATACAATAGACAATGGACATTAGGCAATAGACAATAGAGCAGACAATGGACGACGGACAATAGACTTGCAATAGACAAATATGTTGCCTCTTTTTAGCCCCTAAATCAAAATTCCTAGGAGGTAAATGAGAAACATCTCATTCAAAAACAACAAAATGTCCGGTCGCCAAATGTTTGTCAGTAAGACATCTATTTAGCGAAGTGCGTATTGAAAATGTTTACGTATCCTTTTTCGTGTAGATAATATCTTGGAAAATTCAAATATGCTATTTTGTTTTTTGTGTAGAGAATTCGCAAAACTTCCAGAAAAGCTTCTGCATAGTGAATCCGTTGAAAAGTTTTTCAGCGATGGGGGTGAAAACAATTTCAGAGAAAAACAAGTGGCGTCAAAAAATGATCAAAACACTTCAAACCTTGATAAGAAAGGTAATACAAACACGATATCTCAGCGCACCAACGTTGTACGTTTGAACGAAAAGGCGAACAACGAGAAACAAGCTATTTCAACGAAGAGCATTTCTTCTAAAGGTATGAACAGCTCACGCACTAAACAGGTTGTTGTTTGTACAACAACTATCTCAGCAGCACTTGCACAGCAAGTCAAACATGTATATTGAATAGTTATGTAAGGTAATTTTAAAAGTCGTGAAATTTTGAACATTTTTAGAGAAACGTTCAACGTCAACGTCCAACAAGAAATCAATTGATCCATCCAAACGGGGTCTCCTTAATCAGAATAACATTACCAACGGTATGTTTTTCATTTCACAACAACTTTCCCTTTGTAATAAAGTTAAATGCTGGATCATAATATTAAAAATGTTAATCGTGTAGGCACGGTACCTCCACAAGTTTCAAACGTGCACGTTTTGTTATGTGATGTCTATTCCTATTGCAATTCCCCTTACAAATTTTTTGTCTTCCATCGTTCGACAGTATATATTTATGATTTAAACATGTATCTTTCTTTCTTGCAGTTTTTGAAAGGTTTGCATCAAGTGCCAAATTTCTTTAGCTATAATCGTGTTTGTTGAATAATTCAAATGCTGGCTACTAAATTTATCTTTTATGTTGGCTACTAAGTTCAAACAACAGTTTACAAGCTCTGAATCAAAGCTTTATTGTGTTTGAGTAAATTGAAAGTGGAAACTAGGAAGCAAACATTTCAATGTTTTCGAAGTTTTCAACAAAAGATATAGAACAAAATAATTATTTTGATATTATGATAGCTGTTAAATATTGGAAAAGGATCGATAGCTCAAGGTTGACGAAGCTCCGAAGCTGTTTTTGTTTAACAAAATTCTATCAACTTGTTTTAGCATCTGCATTGCCTTTAACGGATGAAGGTAAAGAAAGTTTCAGTGATGATCAACAAAAGATTATTCTAAAGAACTCATCCTTCCCACTTCACGACAAGAATGGCGAGGAAACAAGAGAAAAGTTCACGTTTATGACTAAGAAAGATTTTTCTTCCCCGAAAAAAACTAAAGACGAAAAGTTAAATGAGAAAAAGGACTCGCGTGTTGAAAACTCCACTTTATATGAACGTACACAAATGACTGATGACCAAATGGCGTTTAGATCATCACAAACAACTTCGAACTGCGAAACACGAAATCTAGTCACAAATAACTCTCAACTGAATTCTATTTCGCCATCAACAACATCATCATGTACGTTATTGCTTACGTCATCATTATTGACAAAGTTGATATCATCGACTTCGGAGGGATTGGCACACACCTCATCTTTACAGAGTTGTCAAACTGTTTCATCCACGAGCACTTCATTAACTTCAACTACCACAAATCATATTGGGTCTGAACGTACAGATTTTGTTGATTTGAGGTCAACATCGACATCTTCAGGAACTTTATTAGGAACGACGGCTAACTCTAGTAGCTCTTCAATAATAAAAACGTCATCTGATGCTTTAGCATATGCGTCATCGACATCTTTCATTCAATTTCCCTACATTGCGTCATCTCAAATAAAAATTCTTACGTCGTCTTCCTCCACTAAATCAAGAGATTCATCATTTTTATTAACTCCTTCAAAATCCTGCAAAATTCAACATTCTTCTACTCCTGAATCAAATATTTTATCGGACGTTACTTGCTCAATCGCTTCACAGTTTACTGATAAGATTTTGCCAACCAAACAAAATGGAATGGCGTCATATTTACAAAATTCTCATTTTACGTCACATGAATGGAATACAAATGCATTTTCTCTTTACAAATGCACCGAACCATCTGCACCAAATGAAAAGATCCCAACGTCTACTTGTAATGTTACGTCCTCTGTTTCCAATAGTATTATGTCAAATGTGGCAAATGTCATAACGTCATGTAAGAAGCCGATAATGTCTTCATCACTGGACTGCTCTTCTGTTCCATATTCACACCAAATGCCCCTCACTGTAGCTGTGCCATCGAGTTTCTCATCCTGTAGCATGTGCTTTGGCTCCAGTCACTCGTTTAGCGATTGCTCGTCATTAACGTCATCGTTGTCAAGGACACCAGAGTTAAGTCCACCAGTGAGGACACCGGACAATGTCAGAAACTATGGCTATGTTGGTGAATTCGTCAGGCAAATATCTAATGCACATCGTTTATCACTGCAAGAAAGTCAAAATTTCACACAGGTATTAAGATAAACACATTTCAACAGCGGTTTATAGCTTATATTGTGGAGTTTTAGTTTGGCGTTTACGGCAAACGGCAAAGCTCAACTACCCGCTTGCCATTGAGGTTTACCGTTTCAAAAAAATGACTTTAACTTTGCATTTGTATTTTACAATTCGCATGGTCCGGAACTAAATTTCATGTTTCGTTAATTATGTCTGTAAAAAAGTCATGTTGATGTTTTACGGTCAAATAACAATGTACCATAAAAGTCCCTTGGTTGTATTAAAGGTACTAAAAAGCCAGCCGTTAAACACCTACCGCAAGAACGGTCTCTTGCCGTTTAAACCTAAACCACAAACCGCGAAGCCATAATCACGTAACTTTTTGCAGATTGCCGTATGCCGTTAACGCGAAACTAAAACTCTCTAACAGTTTAAAGTTGCTGTGGGGCTATTGCAGTTTAATAGGCATCTCTAGCACTGTCCAAAAATTAAAGTGGGCGTGGGCGAGAGTTTGTGCAAAATTTTATTCGAGTTTTTCTTCTAATCTTATTTCCACTGTCAAAACGATGTTTGAGAAGATATCAATCAGCTGGTTACAGCTTAAATATTGCTCGAAACAGCGTATATTTGTCGTGCATGGCGAATGATAATTGGATAGTACTTAAAAAAACTGTTGAAAACCAAAATGAAGATAGTTATAAAATTGCTGGTGTCGTTAGTCTCGGCGTCGTTTTGGGATGATGTCATTCTTTCTGTTCTTCATTATAAATAAAAATAAATTTTAGTTTTCATTTAAACAAACGTGACAGCTGACGAGAAGTCTGCAGAAATGCAACGTGTCATTTAATTTTATAGCTATCTCTATTCTTTTTTACAGTTCTCTTAATAACTACCCAATTGTCATTCACGTTATGAGAAATACGACGTTCAGAGCAATATTTAGATGTTGCTAAAATACTAATTGACAACGGGCAACTTTTAACTTGACGAGAATTTTATATTCTTAAGATGTACAAATAACGTAGATGATGGAGTTAGTCAGAACTTTCCGTTTGCAATTACATATGTGTGGTTTTGGTGAAGTAGAAGTAGGCTTTTGAATAATCTCATTTCATAAAACTCGTAAGCGTACTTTGATCTGGTAGGATTATCAAGATTGCCGTATCGAAGACGGAAGTACTTGCTCCGAAGTTATTGGTGGACATCCATCAACAAAAATAAGGTACAAACTAGTTTTGTATTTTAGATTCAAATTTGTCTTGAAAATTGTGTTGACAAGTGTATTGTACTTGTTACAGCTACAAAAATGGCTTTGGAAAAAATGGCGTCACAAATTATGATTATTCAAAATTTGCTCGGCAAGGTCTTCTTATAATTCCCAATGGCTTCAAACACAAACCTACAGAGCAATTACCTCATTTGGAAAAAGCAAAACAGAATGAGAACAATGACGAAGTTGTTTACTATTTAAATGGGTGCTCTTCAAATGGTGCAAAAATTGGCGACAAAAATTGCAATTACATTTATCAAAATGGCGAAGGGCGAAACACCGTAGATTGTGATTTAAACGATTTAAAAGAGAACCAATCCAATTTAAAGGTAAGAACAGAATTTTTCTACCTTAAAATTTGTAAATACTCAGTTGATTTTCTGTTATTTTTTCTTTTCAATGTCTTTCAAATAAAAATGATCCGCACATTGCTAAGATTTTTTCACGCAACTTACGTTGACGTGTTTTTGTTATCTAAGTCGAGTTTGTCAATTAGAAAAAGGGGAATCGAGTTATATTTAGACCTGGAAATTGTGTGATACACTAACTACAAAAAATTCAAAACAATAAAATATTTTCAGTTTTTTTTTTTGCATGCAATTGCAAACATTTTTACTTGCAAAAACGAGTTTTCATAAAGTTTTTTTTTTAATGAAATATGTTAAGATATTTTTGAAGCAAGCTCGACAAAAAACTCCGAGCAGTATGTGCAGTTTTAGTCTATGTCAATAGGTTAACACATTCAATTTCTCACTCAAATGTTGTAGCATTATCTGAATCGAAATTCAAACGGAGTTTCAAAAGCATTTTGTTACAATTGTGGAGCATTTGGCCATCGTGGGAGCGAATGTTCCGAATTAGAAGTCAAACAATCAATCTCTTCAATAAATGGACAATAAAATTTATAAGTGCGAACATGAAATATTCGTAGCTTTCATGCTGCTGGCAAGTCGGTTGGCTGGAGACCTTGACTGAAATAAGATCGACTACTATATTGAGAGAGTTGACTGCTGATAACAAATACTTTCCATCCGGAAGAATTATGATATATTCCTCATACAAATCTTCGTAGAAGAAATATTTGATAAAGATAAATTGTATACTTGCTTTTAAAATTTTTATTTTCACTTTGCTTCGAATCTTTCTTCTACGAAGTGCACGCCCTGCTTTTTTTAACTCAATCAGAATTTTCATCTTTTATAACTTTTAAGTTGTAAGCTTATTGTGATATGTCACAGGATTCTCAAAATAACAAAAGCAACAAGAATCTTCCTGATTTTGCCTGATTATAGGTTTACAAATTCATAGAAATTCGGTTTGTTTCTACGTGATGTTTTAACTAAACGACCTCAATTTATGCATAATTGTCAATTCTAGAAGAACTCTTTTTCAGAAAATAGTCTGCGAAAGATGAACCTCTATAATTTGTGGCTTGGAAATGAATTTTAAATTAATTTATTTATGTATATAGTTGAGTCCTGCTTTGTGACAATTTTAATGAGAAGAATGTTCAAAATAAACATGCCTTACAGAAAATTTCAAAGTGAGTACAGACGCAATGAGAACTTTCTAGCATAATTTATGTACCATACAAGTAACGTAAATTTGAAATAAATTGTTTTAACTGCTATCTATTGCATTTGTTGCTTCGGCGGTCAATGTTTTGTTCTTGAAGTTCGAAGTTGAAAGAAGTGATGACAGTGTGAGAGCATGTAACCTTGTCTTCCATTTGATGTGTTAGCATTATTTGATGTAGTTGAGATTTTGATTTTTTCCAATGACGAAGACAGCTTGACAATTGGTCGGCAAATATTCATATATGTATGTTTTATTATGTGGCAAGTGTCACTTCCGGCTAAATGGCGCGCTTTGACCATAATTTTCCCGTAATCGACCAAGGTCAAAAATGCGTAATCTTACAGTTAAATGTAAACATACTTTGTAATGCAAACAGCAAAACACAAAATAAACGAAACAAACTATTAAGGAATGTGATTCGAAGGAAAAACACTTGGAAACAGTTTAACTATCCAGACGATACGATTTATTTTTTATGGACGAAAACTAGAAAAGTGAAAGCCAAGCGGTAAAAAACAGCAAGGAAGAGAAAGAAAGCAAGTTTCGTTTCAGGTCAAATAATGCCACATAATAAACCTTTTAATAACCTCGCTTTCTCTGTTTTTACTGAGAAATATCAGACCATGGTCTTTTCGGTCATAGTGAACATGAACACGCAAGTACCAACCCCAAGCTCTTTGCAACACCATTGGTCACAACAGTACCACGAGAAAGTTCTTTCCAAACGCCTCCCAGAGTTGCTCTGATCGACGACGCTGGGGAAGGGGAAATGGTCGTCGAGAAACAAGAACGGCTCCCCAAAGCAGTTCCTCCTCATAAAATCCAGCAACAAAGTGCTTCTGAGGAAGCTCAGGAACAATCAAGAACGTTTGACAACTACTGTGTACCTCAACTTTCAGACATCATCCCGCCAGTCAGGACGACAGCTGGACGCCTACATCATTACCTCAAAAGCTGGGGGGAAACTTCCATCAGACAACCAGATTTTACAAATGGCGACCGGGTGCCCGATTCCTCTGACGTGCGTACCACATCATTGGCGACAAAGGGTAACAAAACGGAGTTCAGAAGAACAAACAAAGGCAATAGAGACAACCATAGAGGAACTGCAGCTGAAAGGAGCTCTTAAGAAAGTCAACAAAGTCAAGGATCATTGTACGTCAACACTCTTTATTGTGAAACAAGGTACGAAAAACCGACCTGTTTTCAACTTGAAATCTCTGAATCATTCTGTCCTCGTGGAAAAATTCAAACTGGAAGGATTAGACATGGTTCGGTGTCTCCTTGCACCGAAAGAGTACACGATGAAGTTGGATTTACGAGATGCGTACTTATGATTCCCATACATGTAGCACACAAGAAATACTTAAGACTGGAATTTCAAGAAAAGACTTACGAGTTTCAGTGCCTTCCATTTGGGCTGGCCTCCGCCCCCCACGCATTCACAGGTTTGATGAAACCGGTGATAGTGGTATTACGCACCTCACGAATCAAGATAGTGATTCATCTGGACGATATTCTAATAATTCACCAGGCTCAACAGAAAATTGTCGAGATATTCAACCGAGCACTAACGTTGTTAAGGAATTTGGGTTTTTTGATCAAACTGGAGAAATGCTCCCCAGTCCCCCTTCCCTTTCAGGAAGTAGTCTTTCTTGGGGCCTTGATAATTTCTCACAAGATGTCCTTTGGGGTACCAAAGGAAAAACTTCGAGCTGTCCAGGACGAGTGTACGAAAGTACATATGAAGCAATGCAAGAGTTGTCAGCAATGATTGGTCCGATAAATCATGTGGCAAGGATTGGCATCCATTATGCAACTCTTCATTATCGTGCCTTGCAACTAGCGCACATCAATTGTCTGCACTGGAGAGGTCGTCATACAAGGTCATCACGGGTACAAATTCTGCTTAATCCATTAGTACTAGCAAAGCTTCAGTGGTGGAAATCACCCATGACCTTACATTACAATGGTACAGCAATACACCTCCCGGCAATAGATCTGACAATTACTACAGACGCTTCTACCAGAGGTTGGGGAGCGGTATGCAAAGGAATAAGGACAGGAAGGAGATGGGCCTTTTGCAAAGCAAAGAACCGTATCAATTACTTGGAACTGAAAGCGGTTCTGAAAGACAACACAACATTTGAAGTTGTTGATAGACAACACGACAGCTGTAGCGTACATCAACAAAAAAGGCGGCACAAGGTCAGCTCGGCTAGCACAACTAGCAATGCAGATTTGGATATATTGTCTTTCTCGCAATATTTGGATCACAGCAAAGCATCTTCCTGGGTTGATGAACCTGGAAGCAGTTTACGCATCCCGCAACTTCAACAACCACACCGAATAGATGTTGAAGTCCAGCTTATTTCTGGAAATAACAACCCGATATTACACACCGCAAGTGGATTTATTCGCTTCCCGACTGAACAATCAAGTACCTAATTACATAGCACGTTACCCCAATCCTGGGGCAATTGCAACGGACGCTTTCTCCGTAGTTTGGAACAAGTGTACAGTCTTCTATCATCCACCAGCTGTTCCGATCCCAAGGATTTTACTAAAGATGAAACGCGACAAAGCAACAGGACTACTGATTGCACCAAACTGGCAGAGCCAACTCTGGTTTCCAATGATGTTGGAAATGTTAGTGAACTTTTCAGCAAGGTTGCCAGTTCTAACATCAACAATCTCACTTCCATTTGCACCGGAACAGTTGCACTCACTTTGGAAAAGTCTCCAGTTGACGGTACGGCCGATTTCAGGAATCGTCTTGAAACAGCAGGAAATCCAGGAGATGTGCGCAAAAGTCTCATGGCATCATGGCGAGGTTCTACACAAAAAAGATACGAGGGGCCATGGAAAGTATGGTCAAGTATGGTCAAGAGACACTTCACCGGCAGAAGTGTCTCTTTTCAGCGCCTGTGAAAGATATCCTCACATTCCTCACAGAACAATTCCGTAATGGAAAATTGGCATATCGACCAATAGGTATTTATAAAGCTTGCAATTCACGATCCAATCGAGGGAAAACAACATGGAAGCTTACCAATCGTGACAACATTCATGAAGGTATTTTCGAATTAAGACCTCCACAGCCAAGGTAGTCAAACCGTCTCACGATAGCTGTGTAAAGCTATTCAGCAAGCAGGTATCGAGAAGTCATACAAAGACATTCTACTCGAGCAGTTGCAACGTCAGAAGCAGCAGATTCGGGATTAGCATTACAAATAGTACTAGAAGCAGCAGATTGGTCATCAGCAAGGACATTCGAGAAACATTACCATAAAGAATCAAAGCAGGGACGGTTTGCTTAATCAGTACTTAGCTCATTTAAAAAGTAATCAAGTGAGATTCATACATGTTATCTTGTGATAAAAAATATTAGTCGTGAAAATAAATATATTTCCTTATCTGATATATATATGTAAACAGATAGACTTCAGTAGATACCTTTATACATCTGCACCAGTATTGCGAGTATCAGTCGGAGAAGGTACGAAGGAGAAATATTATTTCCCAGAGGGTTCTTACCTGAAGGGGAGATGTAGTTCTCCGAGGACCTTCGAAGACTGAGAGCAATACTGGTACCCATACCTTCATAGGTGGTTATCTATACCACCCCGCACGACTACTGAAGATCTTTACCTCAGCAACTACTCAATAAGTGGAATAACGTGCGCATGTCAGAAAATTTTATAGTGGGTTCCAGACCGCTGGCGGCCGCGGATCTGCACCAGTATTGCTCCTATCAGTCTTCGAAGGTCCTCGGAGAACTACATCTCCCCTTCAGGTAAGAACCCTCCGGGAAGATTATATTTCCAACCCATTTTCACACCCAGGTGACGCCAATAAATTAAAATAATTAAATTAGAATAATAAAACTAAATTTCATTTTTCCATCTCGCCTTTACAATTCTTTGCGCCTTTATATTTCTTCAGAATAGCACTCCCGCTGCTTCACACCGTCATTGCCCGCTGGCTCAGTTGAGAATCACAGATTGATTAAAAAATCAATATGGAGTCTAAAAACAACGATTTGATCGAGGTTTTGATTGCCGATTCTGCGGCGTTTCTGAAGAATGTTGCCTTGCAAAACATTGCGAGAAATGTTTATACTATTAACGAAGTGGTAGGAGAAATTAAAAGTGCTGCAGCTCGTCAAAGATTGGCTGTTTTACCCTATGAAATATCATTCAGAGTACCTTCGTGCGAATCAATACACGTGGGTAAGAAAAAGATCTCGGGATATGAAATACTTAGAACTAACTGTTGTTTAAATTTCGGAAAATAGCTCACGCTTTGGATCAATGATTGTTCTTGATTGAAGTTTCTCGAGATTTTGCGTTGTTGATTACGGACTTGCCTAAATCAAGTACAATCATTTTATAGTTTTTTTACCTTTTTTCTTGCATTTTTTCACGTTGGATTTTGAAGTCCTTTCCCCCAATGATTTAAAAAGTGCACATATGCTACTAACGCTTTTTATGGCCTGTTTGTGCAACAGATAGTGTTCTTCACTATTTTTGTGGCCTGAGGAAAATACACATTAGTCTCTCACTGCACTCAGTGGGACTGTGGCAAAAGTTTGAACAATCTGCCCATGGTCCTTCCAGCATGGGGTTCCCCTCCCCACCCACCCTCCCAACTCTGACAACATTTTCTTGTAATAATGGTTAATAGAAAAAACAATATTCACTGCTTTTCATGTGCAAACAGAAAAATATTAATTAGTGCTTTCAATTTACTTCCAGGAACACAAATTCACTAATTCTGACTTAAAATGAGAAATATGAATTTTACAGTGCTTCCACTTTCCCAAACAAAAACTTAGTTTTTATCATTAGTTCCATTACACCATTTAGGGTCTCCCTTGCATGCTGATTGCTTGGGTGCCCACAGCTTTTCTCACCCGGAGCCTATAGCAGTTATGCCACTGTCTGTACTACCTCTTATCCCAATTTGCTATGATAACTTGTGTATGTTTTTGCAGTTTGAAAGTGAAGTATCTGCAAAACTTTGAAAATGCAATATATCATTTGGTATCTAAAAATGACTTAAAAAATAACTGCTAAATAGAGTTTACAATCACTGTTTTATTCTTTAATTCCATGGATATGGATCTTAATCAAGATTGTTGTAAAATTGATGTTATCTTGGATTAAAGCTACGTATAATGTAGCATTAACACTTTGTTAGTGATTTGTGCTTTAGGGTTGCCTTCAAAATAATCATAGTAATAACGCAAGGCTTGTGGAAGATTGATAATTGTGGAGAGGGTGGTGGTGGCATATATTCATGTATGCATGTTTTAATCCGTTGAAAAGAAGGGATTTCAAAGGAACATGCTTTATGATGTCATTCACATGTAAAAATTACCACCTTCCAATTATCAATTTTTGACAGCCTTGTAGCATCAGATATATATTGGCTTTGCAAACTTCCTTTTTCTCTCTGTAACCAGTGTCAGAATTTGCCAAGAAAACTGGTGACTTTCAAACTCTTTCCCTGGTTGATCTTAAACTCTTGGCGCTTACATACCAACTTCACAAAGAACATTCTGGGATCGATGGTCTTCAAACAGAACCAACTAATAAGGTAATGTATTAATTGTATTTGCAGTACAGAGATCTTGCTTTGTGCAAATTACTTTTACTAACAGGTTTATAATACTGACTATTCCAAAGTGGTTTTTTAAAAGCATTATGATGGCAAGAAGTCTCGCTAACTCTATTGAAGTTCACTGTTAGTTTACTTTGCAGAAAATAGTTATAATTACCAATTTATTAAATATTGTTTTTTATAATCTCAACCTGTGGTCAAAGGTAGTCTTAAACTAGTTGACAATTTGTTGTCACTCAAATACCTTTTAAATTATGCTACATATATGTGCCAATATTGTTGTATGCAAGCTATTATATGTATGTAGAATTTCATTCATTAATATTTGTTTAATATGATATCTGTGATTAAAATATATTGATTGAAATTGTGGAAAATTACATCTCGTGAAAATATTCTTATCTGCAAAAAATATTTTGATTTTTGTGTAGGTCGAGGTCATTGACAAGCGCATTCAAGGCTGTATTCCCGGATTTTACACCAAAAGTCAGGTGAGAATTTATGCAAACATCCAATGTCATTCTGAGGCAATGCAAAGTTTTCTTTGTTGTTAATCTACTTATGGACTCCACATATATAGCATGATAGCATTATAGAACTCTTAGCATGATACAATTGCTGGACAAGTGCTGTGAGAGTGTCATAAATCGCTCAGTTGTTGTTTTTTTCAGAGTTCTGAAAACAAAACTGAAACATTAGATGCATGTGAAGATGCAAACTTAAGCAAAGAAGTCCATGAACTTGATGGAAACCTGAAAAAGTGTTCTCTTGTGGAAAATGACTCTCAGAATGAACAAGTGAATAATGTTGAATTTGGCAATATCTATGATGAAAAGAAAACATTACGCAATGACATTGGAGGACAAGAATCCATTCCAGAGGTCATCAACCATGTGATGATGGAAAATAATCAGAATAATATCAACAAGTTTACCAACACCACGATTGTTGATGCTATTGATGAAATTGTGTGTGAAAAAAAGGACGACCTCCAGAAAGAAAACAACATCCATCATAATAGTAAAACTGATGAAGTCAGTAGTTATGACTGTTATTATAATGATGAGGATGATGATGGTGAAGGGTGGATAACACCTGACAATATTGGCCAAGTGAAAGCTGAATTTGGTTTAACAGAAGCTCAATCAAAGCCAATTGGTGTTAGAGTAGGATGTCTAACTACTGACTTTGCAATGCAGGTATAATATTGCTTTTCTCAAAATTGAGCGAAGGAGTAAAAAGAGTTCAGGCAATTTTCGCCTCCTCCTGAAATTAGTTAACATGTTTTTGAAAACATTAAATTGAAATTAAGTTGAAAAAATAGGAGTTTCCAAGTATAATAGTTGCTCTTTCATTATGGATAACTTTACTGTTTTCAAAACTTCAATGTTTTTCATACTTGATGAAAATATTTTGATAAAGAGAATAAGAAAGCTTGTTGATTAAGAATTGAAACAAGTTTTAGCAATCTTATTTTCTTCAGAATGTTCTTATTAAAATGGGACTTCATGTCATCTCTGTTGATGGAATGTTGATCAGAGAGGCTCGCAGCTACGTCCTTAAGTGTTATTCTTGTTTCAAGTAAGTTCTTGATGTTTTGAATACCATACTTTATCAAATAAAAAAATAAATTGCATGCGTTGTTTGGCTCATAGTTGAATTTGCATCAGCCAGTGCAAACCAATCCAAGCTCAATCAATTAAATCAATCAAAGAGAATTTGTAAATCAATGATGAATGCTTGTTAGAGGAAATATTAAGATATTTATTTTAAATTTATATGTTTCACATTAATGTTGTTTTATAAAATAAATGAACAACAAGTTGGGCTTAAAACAAATTTCTGACTAATGATATAAAAAAATTTGCTATATTACTATTGTCTGATTGCAACTTGTTATGTTAAATTTGTCTATAACTATATATTGTATGTAATCGTATTATGAGTTTTCAACTGTCTAATTTTATGAAATGAACTTGTCTGTTTCATATTATGACTGGCAGCTGATCCAATTTGTTTTGAATACTAGGGTGACCTCACAAATGGAGAGGATATTTTGTCCCAAGTGTGGCAACAGAACATTGGTAAAAATCTCTGTAGAGGTGGATGCAGATGGGGTGACACGATATCATGTGCCCAAGAGAAATAGACCATTTAACATTCGAGGCAAAAAGGTTTGTGTATACGTTATGATATTGTAGCTATAACTTACAATGGTATACTATCATTGTCTGTAGTACCTACGTATGTATATTTACTTTAGTCTAGGACCTGTATAAGAGTTTGTATGCACTTCTTTCACCAGAATAAATCTCGACTGTTTTTTGATAAAACGATCATGACATTCAACATGGCATACGTGCCAAATCCTCAATGCTAAGTCCTAGAATTTAGACCCCCCCCTAAAACGGCGGTGTCAACAGAGCTCTAACTTCCAAAAACAAAAAGAAATAATCTTTCTGAAGTGCTTAGAGTGTTTAGAAGGTTCACTTTTAGGTGTGGTCATGAGAGGAAAAAATTTGCATAAGTTCAATATTTACTGAGAAAATTACCACGTACTGTCTCTGGTTAGATGACAATTAGGCCAAAGAATATTCTTGGCAGAAATTGAATTTTCTTATTTTCAAAGAAAAAATCACACGAGACGAAAAATAAAACTTGGGAATAGTGCAGTTTAGCGGACACCTCGGACGCTGACTCAAACCCTAACCGTATAATCCTAAGCAAAAAGGAGCCAGCGCTTCCCGTACAAGCGCCTGGGGTGTCCGCTTAACTGCAGTGTATGCATTATTTTGAAGCAATTGAGATTTGTTGACATACGATAGACTATATTTTACCTTCCTTCTTTAGTTCCTTTTACGTATTGCAAAACACGTTTTCTTCAGGCATAGGCCATAAAATGCCGTCTCCTCTTGTATGCTTTTTGTCGAGTCTTGAAAGCATTCATTGATTCCTGTACATTTTCATGATTATTGATGACAAAATAAGATTTCATTCCAGCTTCATCAAGTTTGGACGCAGTGCAGTTTCTTTTATATTGGATATTATGCACGCGGACTTTCTCTATGTGTCCCTTGAGCTTGATAAATCACGCTCTTCGGACTTTGCATGTTTTTTAATGGTGGTATAGCTGAGCAATACATTGTAGTTAAGTCTAAATAAAAATTGAAAAGATTTGCGGTATGCCTAAGGGTAAAACTTTTCATAGTACATGATCACATTGAGGATCGAGAATGAAAATACAGCGCTAAAAATAGCATGTACAGTGGTACGAATTTTGTACGCGCGTGGTCTTTGAGCAAGACCATACTCTCTTTGAGAAACTTGACGGGGGGGAGGTATGTATTTCCGAAGGGTTTGTTCACAGAGGAAGTCCGCGTGAAAAATATCTAAGATGGGAAACACTGCACTGCGTTCAAGCAAATGTACAAGAATCAACGTTTGCTTTCAAGACACGACAAAAACGCATACAAGACAAGACGGCAATTTATGGCTGAAGAAAACATGTTTTGGAATGGAAGGAAGGTAGGTGAAATATAGTCCATCAGATGTCAACAAAACAACCTCAATTGCTTGGAAATAATGCATGATTTAGAGTGAGTTGAGTATTTTCATGTGATTTTTTCTTTGAAAATAAGAAAATTCAATTTCTGCCAAGAATCTTTTTTGATTTATGCCAAATTGTCATTTAACCCGAAAAAGTGCGTGGTAATTTTCTCATTAAATTTTGAACTTACAGTCGCGGCAATAGAAGCGTTCCAAAAATATTTTATCAACACAGCTCACTTTTATCAATTGATTTAAAGACTTCCTCAACGAAACTCTTTGAAAAACTCTTGACTACCTGTTTTGAATTGACCAATCATACAATGTGCAATTTTCAAACCAACCAATCACAACAAAGCTTTGTGAATCACTTTGTAACTGATTGATTCAGGCATCGCGTTAAATTCGGTAGAAATGTTGCCATTTTTTGAAAGGAAAGATATTATTTCAAAATTGAGAAATTGCAACCACCAGAAGTAACTAAGGTGGAATTAAGGTCATGGGAGCTGGCTGAAATCGAAAAACATATTCAGCTGTCATATTAAACAAATAATATGATGATCATAAAGATTTTACTGTTGACAGCCATCAAAATAATAGTCAGTGCTATAAATACAATCACAATAAATCCCCAGTAAACATAGCTTCTGGTGATTGCCAGTACACAAGTTCATCAAAAGCTCTTGCATTTTAAGAAAATTCAGCATTTAAAACTCATTTATACTGGAGAAAATCCAATCGAATTTCTTTCAGTTACGGAGTGATTCACAAAGCTTTGACGTGATTGGTTAATTAAAAAAACCCCATGGTATGATTGGTCAATTCAAAATAAGAATAGCAGGAATTTAGGAGTTTTTCAAAGAGTTTCGTTGAGGAACTCTTTAAATCAAGTGATAAAAGTGAGCTCATGTGTTGATGAAATATTTTGGGACGCTTCTTTTGCTCGACTGTAAGTGAATTTTTTCTTCCAATGACCATCCTTAAAGTGAATCTTCTAAACACTTTGAGCACTTTGGAAACATTATTTCGTTTTATTTTGGGAAGTTGGAGCTAGGACGACTGCCGTTTCAGATAGGTGTCAATTTCAGTATTTTTGCCTGGATTTAGGATTTGGCGCATAATGCATGACGGTCATGGTCATTTTACCCAAAAATTAGGTTGGATTTTGTTTGTGTAAATGAAGTGCATTCGAACTGTTATACAGGTCCTGTATGCATATGCTATTGATAATATCTTGAATATAAATAAACAGAATTCAGGCCCATTGAGGGTGATGCCCCACTTTTTTGTCGATTCCCTTAGATGGTAACATATTTGTAGTAAATTCTCTAATTTAAACGTCACAAAAACTTTCTAGTATCGGAAGTTTAGTAGATTTTAACGTACGTAATATAGTGGATTTTTTGTGATGATTTTGCTTTTCTAAACGGAATTCCTTTACCGCAAAGTTTTTGAAACTAATTGACGCTTGTTATAGTACTGCTGAACATGAATATACAGCTTTTATCGCCAATTTGTAGCATCCTCTGCCGCTGCCCAAAGGTGGACGCCACAATAACAATCCGCTTTTGTTCGAAGATCAACTTATCACGCAACGACGTCTTCCGAAACCCAAGGACAAGGTTAACATACTCGATGAAGATTACGTCGTTAGGTCTTCGCCGTTTGCCGTCAACAACACGACTTCGCGCGCTTTCAATTTAGGATTTCATGTTCGCAATCCAAACAGACGTAATCCTAACGAAGCACGAAAGAAAACACGACGAAAGAAATAATATCGCAAGTTGAGCTGAAATTTTAGTCATTTATAACTTGAAAGAACGTTTAGTTTGTCTAGATAATGGGCTGTTTACGATGGTTTTTTGAACAACAATTAAAGGACAATGAAAGCATTTCATGTCAACCATCGTAACACAAGATATGCGGCAAAAAATAATATTTATTGTGACTATTCTACTAAATTTATTATTTGAAGGCTACCTTTATATGAACATGCCTGCACTTGTGTGAAGCTAAATTTTAATTTAACTCCAAGACATGCGTCTCTCAAATTTTAGCTGACTCTCGTAAACAAACTTCCTTTGGGCTGTGTGTGAGAAGGTTGGAACTAGTTAAATAGCTGGTTATAAATTTTGGCGGGAAGTAGCCTTCCAGTTACATTCAGTTCGTTGATTAAAGATTAAAACCAGTAATTAAAACTAAAACCAATAATCGAAACAAAACGAATTGTGTTGAAGAGATCACGTGATTTCGTACGCTTCCACTTCACTGGAAGAGTTTTCATTATGCTGTCTTCAGTAAAAAAAACTCGCGCTCTGTCTTATACGTAGTACACTGAATACGCCCCCGCTATAGAATGAGAAATGCTGATATTTTTCACTCGCCACTTTCCACAAAGATTGAATAAACTGTTAGGCCTTTTTTGATGTAAATGAAATAAATTTTTTTTTTGCAAATTCTGTCTCTTCTTTTCAATAACTAACATTTAGGAATTTTGCTTGTCATATTCGCGATGGTTTTCGTAATGTGCAAATTTGAATGAAACATAGTACAATATGCACACGTGTATAATTCTAGAAATATCTAGAAACGTAGAAGTCGAGTTTGCGTAAACTCGGTGCAATACCAAGATGTCGCTTTCCCACATCATAATGTAGAAAAAAAACAAAGTAATACACAGAATAGCATTAGTACGAAGCACCTTGGCGGCATTTGTTCTGTTATCGTCGACAATTGGTCTCCGTTTTGTTTCCAGTGGGACTGAAATGAAAGAAATCTTGGAAGGAAACACGACGACCTTCTGTTTTGGTGAAATTTTGTTTCCGGATTTCAAGTATACATAATACTTGCCAGGAATGAGAGAGTGACTGTAATAATACGTACTATTTGGATATGCTACAAAAGACAGCATGTAACGAATTTAGTAAAGGGCGACTTAAAATTTCTAATTCCAATTTATAATTACTGATAAGGTATACCGTAAATTGTCCATTTACTAGCTTGCCTAACCTTTACTGGTAAACATAACCTTGACTTTTGACCATAACTTCTATTTAGTAAAAATAACCTCTACTTTTACTTTTAAACATAACTTCTATTTACTTTTAAACATAACTTCAACTTTTGAAATTAACCTCTAGTTACTTTTGAACATGACCTCTACTTTTGAACAAGACCTCTACTTACTTTTGAACATGACCTCTACTTTTGAACATGACCTCTACTTACTTTTGAACGTGACCTCTACTTTTGAACATGACCTCTACTTTTGAACATGACCTCTACTTTTGAACATGACCTCTACTTTTGAACAAGACCTCTACTTACTTTTGAAAATGACCTCTACTTTTGAACATGACCTCTACTTTTGAACATGACCTCTACTTTTGAACAAGACCTCTACTTACTTTTGAACATGACCTCTACTTTTGAACATGACCTCTACTTTTGAACATGACCTCTACTTTGAACATGACCTCTACTTTTGAACGTGACCTCTACTTTTGAACGTGACCTCTACTTTGAACATGACCTCTACTTTTGAACGTGACCTCTACTTTTGAACATGACCTCTACTTTTGAACATGACCTCTACTTTTGAACATGACCTCTAGTTTTGAACGTGACCTCTACTTTTGAACATGACCTCTACTTTTGAACATGACCTCTACTTTTGAACGTGACCTTTACTTTTGAACGAGTAAGGCCTATTTCCTGCGAACATTACGCCTACTTACTTGTGAACATTCTGTTATCTTCACCAATTGCAATAACTTCGATAGACTTTGGTTCTTCAACATTTGAAACATCTACAAGACCGTTGATCTTTCCACAAGATGAATTATTGTCTAGGATAACAAAGTTTGTGAGAAAATAAGGTTAACAGCCTTTAAGGCCCGTTTCAAAAGTCGAATTTTCACTTGTCTAATGCATTAAAAATGAAAGACAAGATAAACATATTATCTTTGTATTTAAAACATTGACTCATGAAAAGTTCAAACCAGGAGTAATCCTTTGTAGCCCCCTCAGAAAATGGAAATATTCAAACGTATATAAATAAATGAAAAATAAATTTCAAAATAACTCTAATTTAGAAGAAGAAACTGGAATTTGGCATTTGATAAAAAATACCAATTAGCGCTTATGCAGTTATAGTGTTTATCGACTTACATACCTCCTAGTCTGCGAAGAATGAAGTTGACAATCTTCGTTTGGTCTAACACTTGAACATATTTTGACAGGTGTTGATAACCCTTCGCTGATACTTTAATATTATAATCACCCCTCAACAACAGTCGCCAATAATCACCAAGTTTAGCTGTGAATAAATTGGGTTTGTTTCATGAATAAGTTTAGTCATAGTTCCGCACGTTTTTAGCAATCCATATTCTCTCGTGCCATTCGAACATGCGAAAAAGCATGAACACAATTATCTTAGCAAGAGGCCCAAGTTATTAGTGACAAGCCAAATTTTGTTAATCGAATCTCTTAATGGTCGGACGTGTAATAGATGGGGGATCGTTTAGTGATAAAACTTGCTAATTGGCTTGTACGTAACTATGCATTGGTGGCAGCGTTGCCAACTTTGGAATGTTATCTTAAAGTGTTGGAATTTCTTGAGGTGGCGGAATTTTTGGAATTTTTCAAAATACAGAGTAAGGCCGTGATTTTGAAATACGCCGCTTGATTGTAAACGAGACAAATCTTAATATCTTATGTACTTCTCTGTTTTTCAAAACACTAGTTAAAAATTAGATTATTTTATTGTAATCAGCAAGTAAAATTAACTATAAAAGCTTTTCAAAAAATGCAATGCCCTACCACTTGCGATGACTTTTCCTCTCTCGTCAACGCGAATTTCCGCGCCCACAATACCTGCACCACAGCGATCTGTAATGACACCCTTTATTCCCATGTGTACCTTTTCCATGTAAGCGATCAATGCAGGCTTATGATCAGTCCATTCCTTTTGAAGTTGATTTGCCAAAGGATATTTGCAGCAACTCATCTCCACAGTGATTTCAAAGCAATTGCTGAAAGTCAAAAAAAATTTCTGCAGTAGTTTTTGCAAGTTCCTTTGAAAAGAACTTAACTAGAAATAGGAATTTCCATCAATTTAATAATTTGGAACTCGTATTTGATACATAAGCAAAGAATCACTTCAAATACCTTGCTAAGTAGTTATAATCCTGCATTCCACCATGCACAGCATACCATGCAGCACCATTTGTGATTCCATCCTTAAAGTATTGTTTGAAACCCGGACAGTTTGGTTTGCCCATATGCATACTAGGATGGGCAAAAGAGTAAGCCTTTGAAACATTTTGAAAGATGTCATCATCCGGTGTCTTGCTATAGAGACTAAGACCTGGCTTACCCTTTATGCTGTCATATGGATAATTGCACACCAAATAACCACCATGAAGGTTGGCAGAAAGAACAAATGGTATGGAGGAAATCCAGTTCATCACAGCTTTTGTTTCAACCTCTGGTTTCCCATTAAACATAGCATTTTGGGGATAGAAATAATCGGGGAAGTTTCGATTTAGATCATAACCATTTTTGTTGGCACGACCTCTCATACCCAAGCAATGACCTTCAATAGAAGCCTCCCATCCATCTGGATTCATGCTTGGCAAAATGTGAATTCTTGTAGAGTCGATTAGTCTTTTGACAACAGGATCTGAGGTGTTGTATTTACTGCAAAGGTAGTAGGCAAAATGGAGTAGAATCTCCCTGCCCAGTACTTCATTACCATGCATGTTCCCAACATATTTGAATTCAGGTTCACCCAGCTCATGGCGCCCTGGATTGTCCGAAATTTCCAAAACCCACAGTTCACGTTTTTCAACTGATTTACCAATGGTGTATAGTCTAGTGATGGTTGGCCATTGGTGGTGTATTTTCTTCATAATTACTGTCATGGCTTCATAGTTGTGATGTATGAAGTCAACACTGAAATTTTGACCACTTGCTACAGCACTTACAATCAACAGAAGCTTAAGAAACATTGTAAAACCAGCTCGAGCCTAGCAAATATATCAAAATTACAGCTTTGAAATTGTCTAGAGTTTAATTACAAAATATATTCACTTTAACTAGTTAAATGTAATCATGTCTATCAATGTTTACAAGGTTGAGGAGCTTTATAAAGCAAACAGACATTACCATATATAGAAATGGCACAAGACACATATCAGCCAGCCTGGTGTCACAGCCCCTAACAGATTTCCTGTAGGAAAATCCACGGATCTCCCCTTACATACATTCCATCAAGTTTCACGCAGATAATATCAGTTGAAAAGCGCCACGAATGCGATTAAGGAGATTGAACTTTGTTGAGGACACACTCAATGAGCATTTGCAGCATATGTAATTCCATATCATGAAATGAGTAGCTGATGATTACTGATAGGTCGACGATTGACCACAGGCTGTTATAACGTCAAAAACAACTTAATAATATTATCGATTCAGCAAGTGGCTATGCGCTTCATCTGCACAAGTCGTAATATAAATAATCTCAACGTGATCTTTTAGACATTGTTAATGTTCTTTGTCGCCATTTTCATGATATATCCGGTTGCGGTTATTTTAATAAGACTTGACACCTATGTACATCATTATTCCGATTTGGTCGAAACTTTTGACGTTTTTGGGGAGGGTTCTGAAACAAACATGAACATCGTTCGTTTAACATTTCAATATTTGCAAACTTAAAACATTCGTAAAAGTTTACAGCCGTTTTGAAAATGCCCAGTCATGTTTTTATTTTGACGTTTCATTAGGAATGCAATTATCACACCAATTAGGCCCACACGAAGGAAAGTATAGTATAAAAACATCCAATTTTGACCTTCGCATGGTCTGTCTAACACCGTAGAAATTTGCATTTATCTCTGTCTCTTTTCGTAAATATTCTATGGCGAAATTGTATTAAAATTGCAAATCACAAACACAACCTGCACACTGAAACATTTAAATGATTGCACAAATACTAAACTTTTTTCCCGTGGTAACTAATCTGATCAACAAAATATTGATTGGAACCAAACATACGACACTTTCTTTTAAATAGAAGTCATGAATGAATTATCTGATTTAAATAAAATTTGTTTTCCTGGTATTAATCTAGTATTCTTCCTGCCAGTCGCCCAAGGTCAAGTGTAAGAATTTTGATCATATTACCGTTCTTGAAGCACGCCACGCGTTAAAACTTTGTCCTCGAAAGTTCAGAGGAGTTGATGCAAACATTCACACAATCTCCCCATCCATTTAAGCAAATTTGATGGATTTCGTTTTTCAAGGGGGGAGGGGGTCAAATTACTACCTCCAATGATTACTTATGGCTTGCGCATGGGGGACCAAAAAAATTGGAAGTGTTGACACTTTTTGCCCGACGAAAACGAAAACTGACCAACATTAAATTCATTGATATAAAAAACACTATATGGTTGGATTGCTTGGCTAATGCATAATATTAAGGTGAAAAATATCGCAAAACTGTTTCTATACATCATATTTGTGCATATATTGCATATATTGCATTTTTTTTCTTTTCTCACTTTTTATGCTTTACACAGATAACACAAGAGCTGAGTGTTATGTATTTAAATGTATTTAAAATATGATCTTGATTTTATGCATTTATAAGATTTAAAAAAGCTTTTTAAAACTCTTTTTGCGATGTCTTGAATTTTTCTTCTAGACACTGATCTGTATACATATTGTCCAGAAAACCACACCAGATTACTGAATGTCGATTGAGATTCTTTACCCCCCGGTATTTCATGAAGACCACTCCCGGAAATGAACGTTTCCACGTTGTTAAATATGGCAAACAAGTGTAGTCGGAAAGTTTGTTTTTATTTGATTTTGGCTTCTGTAGTTGTGGCTGACGAGACATTTCACGAAGAGTTGTACGTGAAGCCATTTAAAAATGGCGATGTTCTTTCCCACTTCCAGTTCACAACTCTCTGGAGCGTGAATATGCACGATAAAAGTTTGTGTAAGTTTGATTTGATTACACTCGAAATTTTAGACTTGACGTGATTGTTTCTTTTGTCCTAGTGTTATTAAGTGTTGTTTCCAACCGAGTTCTTATGACTTAAGCCTATTATGAACAATTCACCTACGAATTTGATCTGCGGTCCCGATTGGGTGCAACAGTCGAGCAGGTGCAACCCTCAACCTTTGGTCTCAGGTTTGCACTGATCTGCTCTCGAGTTCTCCTAAAGATCTCCTTGGTTTGAATAAGCCTGTTCAAGCATATTAAACATCTTTTATTTCTTAATTGAAAAAGTTTGCAACCAAACCTTTCTTCCTCATTCCAACACTCTGGAGTGAATTTCCAACCTCAATCGTTTAACTTTAGCATCCAGACTGAAAAGTTTGGTGTTCACTCAGAAGATCTCAAGAAACCTTTGAGAAAAATATATTCCAGGGAGAACTATGAGAAAACAATACTCTCATACACGCTTATTTTGAGTCTGGTACATCATATTTAAATAAACTGTAGCCTGTGTATTTCAAATTTTTTAGTTTCCCATTATAACCTATTTCCAAAATCATTTGGTCAAATTGTGGCAAAGTATTCAGTTGAAGAATTACACCTTTCGCTGACTCAAGGTTTTTGGAACACTAATCTCTGGGGTCATGCTATTCAGCCAGCTGGACCTGGTGCCGAACTCATTGTTTGGTTCAGAGATTCAGTTTTGGAAAGGTAATATCACTTTAACCTGAAAGGCAACTGACTTTCAAGGAGAGCAAAAAATTATTGGAGCTAGCAGAGCTCTTTTAACAAGCTTAAATTTTGTTTCCTAACCATGAACTTTGGGTAAAGAATGCAGTCTTCATATAGCCTTAGGCTCAATTGGAAGAAAAATTAAGTAAAATTCTGAAAAAGAAATTGCATATGTAATTATTGATACAGTAGTATTAATTTAGCTCAGTATGGATGTATAAAGTTATACTTCATACTTAAATCAACAAATTAATTTTTGTTGTTGCTTTTAACTTTTAAAATTTGAGTTTTCATAAACCCATTCATTTTTCAAGATTGAAGTTTGCATTTACAACTTGAGCAAATTGCCATTTAAAGTAATTCCAAATCTTGAGGAAATTTTATTTGGCTCAAGTTGGATGATGTTCAATGTAAAAGAAGCCATTTTGTTCAGAAAAGATGAATAGGGTAAAAACAGTTAAAACAGTTTCTCATTGAGGAGAGGTTCTATTGACTGCCAAATTTTTGTGCCAGTAAGGGGTCTGGGGACAAATTTCATAAATTCCGAATTGTGGCAAAATTATTGGGAGGATAATAGCCTCTATAGCTCTTTGGCCCCTGATAAAAGGACCTGAGTTTTGTCAGGAGATTATTTTTAACAAAACATCAAAGTGGAGTTATATAAGCATTCATATTTAAACATGAAAACTTTGAGTAAGAGTACTCCCCCATTTAACATGTGATTATGACTGATAAACATATCTAAAACTGGAGTGTGCTACGTAGGACAACACTAGATCACTCTGATTCAACTTACTAGAATAACTGTTCTTGTATTTGTTTAGCATTGATGAAGAATGGCAAGATTTAACAAACGTACTCTCAGGCCAGTTCTGTGCTTCACTTAACTTCATTAAGTCTGAAAATTCTGCATCACCTGAAATGTCATTTCGACGACAAGGTGCAACATCATCCATATTCAATGATTCAAGAACATTGCGGTATTCATCATTACCTAGAGAAATAGTATGCACTGAAAATCTTACTCCTTGGAAGAAGTTGCTACCCTGCGATTCAAAGGTGATACATTCTCTTAGTGTCTCTGTGTGTTAAAAAAGTGCATCAATCTTTCATATGCTAAATATTGTACATGCTGAGAATTGAATACAATTATTGAAGATTTCCTTGTGTATAGAATATGGATACAACACACAGGGTAAACTAAGATGTTTCATGGCTTTTGTTTGAAATGGCTGTTGTGGAAAAAATGCAATTTCGACTGGTTGTTTTTATTTGAGCAAAACAAGATTGTTTCTTGCTGTTATAAAATGAAAAACGTATCATTGGAAAGCTAAAAAGCTCAATTCTTTTGCTTTTTAAAAATATAAGTGTAAAACACACAACATCAAATGAATGTGTAATAGCTTTTTAATGTTTGATACAATTTTTTTTATATGCACTGTATAAAATCTTCCATTCCTATATATTTGATATGAATATCAATATTCCAATGATCATTATATACATTTGAAAAAGTTGTGAAATTTATGAATAGTCAGAATAATTTGTTAATATTATAAATAATTTTACATTCTGTGTACGTGTATTTCAGTCAGGCTTGTCAAGTTTGTTCAATTCTTTGATGATATACAAAGTGAAATACCACTCAATGTCTCTACATCTTCGGACTATTTGCGAGGTAATGCTTTGAAATATTGAATGCTGGCTGCATGTGAGCAGCTTTGTGTAACAACTTTTCTGAAATTCATTGGTATTAACCATATGTTTAGGTAGCTGGCTGTTTTTATCCTTTCTTTTATCTAATAGTAACTCTTTTCTTTTTGATAAAGAGAAATGTATTTGTGAAATTTGCGTTTAGATTAGTTTTGTTATTCGATGAGATTAGTGTCTCTTTTTATACAGAACATGCGATTAGATCAGTTTCATAATTCGCACTTTCCCACGATTTGGAAGGTTTGTCTACTCCATCTACAAAGTTTTTGAACTTGCCACGTCCAGCGCTCGTATCATCCCCTATATATCTAGCACAATCGAAAAAACACATTACAGAGCTACAAACACGACATTTTACGGCAGACTTATTTCAGAAGTTTTCTTTTCTTTAAACAAATCGCGATTTTCATAGCTATTTAATTGATTGTCATGCTTTTGTTGATGCAATTGACGAATGAGAACTAAAATTATTGTAGGATGTCGATTGTCAAAGACCTTTATTGGAGCTACGACAGTCCCTTTCTATCCTTTTTGATCCTGTTTTACTTACTGGAAATTATGGTCAGTATTCTTTAAGTTGAATACTCAAGTTTATGGAAAGATTGTTTACTACTGGTATGCGTTGAATTACCTTTCGAGCAACTGGCCATTTTTTGGCGGGAAATTTTGGCAGTAAGCCGCTTTTATGGCTAGTTTAGTCTCAAATTTCAAATTGCTTGTTTGGAGCTTGTTTTTAAGCACCTGTTTGATATTTTCGTTGGCTATTTCTTTGAGAAAATACTAGTCATTTATTTTAACGATATTTATTTAGCTTTTGCTTATTTTCTAGATTGGTCATTACGTAAACTATTCGGTCATTCTCTGCGCTCGACCTGTCCTCTTGCAAAAACAAGTAAAATCTATGTTGACGTCACAGGAAATAACGTAATTATCTATATTTTACACATTTTTATTTGTAACAACACAAGAAGTCTTAAACAAGATAATATACAAGAAATAGTATTTTTTCTCACTAACTCGCGTTTACTTGACAAAATGTCTGTTCACATCACGTGAGAATTCTGATATTTTTTCCTCTTCCGATTTCAGACAGACTTTACGTTCACTTTAAAACCACGACCATCTGGTATTATTTCCAAGAATTTATCGCCATCTGTTGAACAGTTTGCAGTTTATGATTTGAAAGATAACGGTATTATACGATGTCGTATCAATTCTTTTTCGACGTGCAAGTCTCGATGTTCAATTTCTCTATCTCGAATGATTCATCAACGAAACTACATTATAGAAAACGCAGACTCGTTTTAGAACATGAAAACTTAGATTAACAGATCACTTTCATTATTTTATACGTGATAGATGTTTATCTTTCTTTTTTTAGGCATTGTTCGAAAATCTCTTTCTTCCAACAAAGGATTAAATATAATTTTTAAGTGGAAACATCGCATGCTAAACGACGCAGGTGGAGATACATTTTCATTGATAATTTTGATAACTTTTGATGTTAATTTTCCGATTTTTGTTCCTTTTAGTTACACTACCATATTTCTCTGCTCACAGATTTTTGACAGGTAGGTGAGGAATTTTTTGTTGAAATATTTTCTCGTGCAACATATTCATCTATATGTTGCAGAACAAAGACTTAATTATAGTAACAAACTTGAATACTGCTTTGAATAGTGTTTGCGATGGTGAAAATACGTACGTAGTTCTATAAAAAACTGTTGAAAACCCAAATAAAAATATCTATAAATTGAATGACGCGATACATTTTGGCTTACTTCTCCTCAGACATCTTATAGATACCTTAATTTTGGTTTTCGATAGTTCATTTTAAAGCTACTTAGTCGTCATTTAATATTTATATGTGATCGCACGGCGAGAAAGGCCTGCTTAGAGCACGTGAGCCCCTTTAATGGAACAATAATGAAACTTTATGGCATGTTTGTCCTGTGGCTTAAGTTACTGATCGCAGTAATAAATCCCATTCTAGACTAACTAATATAGTTTATTATGAAGTATTTTGATGTATGAAGTATATTGCATTTTTATATTTTAAATCAAAATGCTAATCTAAACTATCACATTTTTGCACTCGTCAGGTTACGGTCAAGAACGTGGCGGTATTCAAAGTGAAATAATCAACCGACATAAGACAGCGTCCGTTTATCTGGTTTATTTTCAAGTTTTTCCCTGGTATTTCAGGATATTTCTGCACTCCTTACGCGTTTATGTTAACGACGTCGATATTAGGCTAGGTGGGTAGAACAAATATGGATTGGAACGCAATATAAACCACGATATACGTATTCTCCCGCAACGCAAACCTGCTTACATGAGAATTAAGGGGTTAGGGTAGGGTATTTCCTCTATATATTTGTCTTGGAAAGATTTTGCCACAGTTATGGTTGATCAACATTATAATACAGAAATGTATTATATAAATATAGTGCATTGTTAAGAAACTGAACGATTACGAAAACGTCGCTAAAGTCATCAGCGCGCAAGATCTGCAAAAATAGTCTGTTTAATAGGTAGTTAAACTCCCAATGGTTCATTTGACAGTAAAAAATGACCATTTTAAAGTGAGAATTGTGTTACCGAGAAGCACTTTTGAAAAAGCTTGCGCGCAAAAATGACGCAGCTAAAAAGTAATCAGAACACATAAGGTTAAAATATGGCAGAATTTGTTCAAGCTTACAAAATTTCAGGAAATTTGGCTTAAGCTTACGCGAATGCTGAGCATCGAAATTGCGGATTGTTTTGCGATTTCAATTCGCGCACAGTTCCATTTTTAGCATTTTCCGTCCCTTACATGCGTCTATGCCCTTGATTTATTTGTTATGATCTGAAAAATGGGATTTTGTAATTAACAATTCAATATTTCTTCAGAATACGTTCAGTATGTTCCATCGAGAGATCGACAGCGTCCAACAGTCTTGGAATTGGCATTAGCGGTTCCGGCTGATTCAACAGCAACAGTGAGTGTGCAATTTGAGAAAGTGTTCTTGAAGTGGACAGAGCATCCCCCTGACGCTCATCATGGTTTTTATCTTCCGTAAGTTGTAATATACCGTATTTCCCCTAATAGACGCGTCGACTCCCTTCGATAGACGCCTGGCCAATTTACGGACAATTTACGTGTTAGTTTACAACCTCAGTGGTAAGGTTTTCAAGCAGTTACCAGCTTGTTAAAGTGAACTATTAAGTATTTTTCAGGTCAGGTGTGATTACTGCCAAAATTCTTCCAGGTGATAGCACGTTTGGTCTAGTAAATCAAGGGCAACAATCACTTTTGGAGCAGTAAGTTTTTCTTAACACCGCCGGATTATCTATCTAATCTAATGAGAGTACTAATCGTTAAAGCATTTGAAGACTAGTCATCGGTTCTTTCAAAAAAATCTTGTTTTGTTTGTAAGTTTTCAAAAAGTGTTGACATCATTATGTATTATTTTGTAGGTGGGTTAAAAGCTCTGAAAACTCTGATGATCGCATCATTCGAATGTACACAGAGATCCTGCTTGTGTCCCTACCTACCCCCGACTTCAGCATGCCCTATAATGTGATATGTTTGACATGCACGGTCGTAGCAATTGCTTTCGGATCGCTCTACAATCTTTCCACGAAACGTCTTCAGGAGGTTAATCCTCGCGAGGCCACTACGTTGTTGGGAAAGATATTGAAAAAACTTCGCACTCTGAAAGAAAAATTGTTTCGTTCGAAAAGGGACGTGGTTAAACCTACGGACAGGAAAAAAAATGATTAGGATGCAACATTTCAGCTCAATACTACTGGAACGCTTCTTTTGTCTAGTCCCAATCTTTCCACGCACTACTAAGATGTTTTATCGTGTCAGTGAGCTGAAATGAGGGGTTTCATCTCCATACACGGCTATTTATACCTTAAAAAAATAAAATTTCATTTTCCATTCTTGATATGGAGGCATCGCCTGGGCTTGTTAATAATATGTCTCGTCGTTTAAGTCCATGTAATTTATTCAAGTGTTCGTGTACGTTCTAAATTTATTTCGAATTTTTTATTAAAAATCAAAAAATTTTTAGAAGCCCACATGTGTTTGAATCTTGTCTAGCAAGTTATTATAAGTACCTGTATCGCTAATACATATACTTTAAAGAGTAAATCTAGATTTGTACATTAGTAAGAATTTTCACCGATTTCGTAACTCTCAAAGAAAATATGTAGAATATTATTCTAATTTAGTCGGCTACATGTAGCCAATATTGTTAAGAATGCAGGGAAAATTCCATCATTTTTCGAGGCTCTCATAAAAATATCTACATGCCCACTTAAAGAATACAAATGACTATACCCGAAATATAAAAACACATATATATTGAAATGTTTTAAAGCACATCAGGAATTTGGAACCTTAAATATTTATTCAACATCTAACGATCTGTTGATATACCATTAGATATCGCGCGTTTTGGTTGAATTAATATTTAATTCCAGATTTTACACAGCGGATATAAATTACTTGAGTTGTTATGAAAAATTTTTTGTTTATAATTTCTCTGCACTCGTAGCATTGCATCAATGTTTACATTGCAATAAACAGTTTAAAACACCGGAATTACCGAAACAAAAGCATTCAACCGTTAATAAAGAATACTTTCAATTTTTCGCCACCCACACACTGTCAAAGCTCATGCTAGCATCTAGTGCGCATCCAGAACAAAAATGTTTTTGTTCCGGCGAAGTGCAAGAAATTTTTACGCGATGTGTTTAAAACTTTTAAAGATATTTTAAAAGCATTATCTCGTTGATCTGTGTGTTGTGATTCTTTCCTTGGATAGGTCTCTACTGCAGTAACGGAAATGTTGAGATGTGTGAGCTAAATACTTTCTTCGTGTGGTCGATTCAATATTAAAGGTAGATATAGGGTTTGCTTATAAATTTCATGCATGTTTTCTTGACATAATTGCGAGTTTAACTCTAATGTTAACGTTAATACATGTTAACGTTAAAGTTTCACACTGGTAATCTTTGATAATCCTGGTAATGTAATCGATGTATTAAACGTTTAGTTAATATTCAAAATTTTCGTGTTCTATATACCATTTGTTGATTTAGTCGTACATATGTCAGTTTATCTGTTTACAAAGAATTGTGGTATAAAATGTCTTTCAAATAAGCGTTGCATACCTGCAAGATTTTAGCATTTGTTGCAAAAATATGATAAACTAGATGCTGCCTCTTTAAATAAATACCGTTGTAATTTTTTGCTTCTATTTATTTATTCCTTAGACCTCAGGTGTCAAGCAGCTTTCGTGATTACGCGCATTTTTTTCTACATGCCCACCTCCTCCTACGCACGCAAAGCAAATAATTCAAACACTTTCTAGCATTTTACTAAAAATGGACCTCAGCACTCATTCTATCACACAACGTCACTCATGAAGCTAAGTGTTTACAATTTAAACAGAGTTCATTTTTATTCTAAAAATTTAACCAAAAAGACTTCTTCATAGTTAAAGAAAAACCAAAATACTTTGTCAATACCTGAGAATTACTGTGTTTATATATCACATGATAAGTGTTTCCCTCTAGACATACTTTTGATAATTCCTGTCTACTGATTAAACGTACTTTCGTCCAAAGACTAAGGCTTCAGCCATGGCATCAGATCGTGCGTCATTCATTGTAGGAAGATATTTCCATGTGGAACTACATCCTATTTTAAAACACTCCACTGATTTAAGGTATTTACCTTTATCGTCCTGACCTTCCATAACAACAATTGCATCTCCTGTTATAACTGCACAGCCCTTGGATCTCTTATCCGTCATATATCAAGATTCAATGTCTCTATTGACTTGCAATCTTGTCCTCCAACTACAACTACTCTACCATCATAAATTAGTGATGATGCACAAATGTGTTTGTTTATCATTGTTGTAATCTTTTACCATTTCTCTTCCTCCCATGAAAATATCTCAGTGCTCTTTATGGAGCCAAGAGGTGAATCACCTCCAGCAATCAAAATATCACCTCTTACCGAATTCATTACCATTTCAATAGGCGATGGCAATGTTTGAGCAATTTGCTCACTCATATTTATCTTTTCCATAATTTTCAACATCATGGCTTTCATATTTTGAATTTCTGTTGTTACGGAATAAAGATTTTGTCGAACATCTTTTATTTCTTTTCTCGTTTCAACATTTCTTTCTGTATTTTTGTCTGTTGAGTTCTCAAAGTTTCCACTATCTCCTTTACTGATTCACGCACTTCAGAAAACTCTTGATCCATTTTTCTATTTATTTCATCCACCTGCATTTTTACTCGGTCATCAAGATTTTGAAAACGTCTTTCAAACATTTCTCTTATTTGTTTAAAATCGCATAAAGCAATCTTTTTGTATTCACATAACTCAGTTTCGTGATGAACCTTGTCTCGTTTGTTTATTTCCTTACCACAACGTTCGATAGAGCACAGCACTGGAGCAAAGCCACAATTTTCAACATGCTTTTGAAGCTTTTCAACATTTACAAATTCTGGACAACCACGATGCATAATCACAATTGATCTTCAATTTAGAAATCATTTTATTTATGACACGCGCTGGAAGAAGAGTATCTGCTGACAAATTGTCTTGACATTGAGGACATCGTTGCGCATTAACTCGTAAATGTTCCTCTATACAATAACGACAAAAGATGTGTTCCTTATGTTTGCACATTCTTGCATCTTGCAAATTGAACAACAGAAATTTTCATCAACAGAGGTTTTAAACCTCGATTCTTCGTATCCACCCTCGTGATCAACTGGACGACTAGCCATTTTACTAATTTTGAACGATAGAATTCAATATTAATTTTGATTCAAACTACTGAAAGAATTTTATGAATTCAGAATGCTCAGTGGCGATGTAATATCTCTATTGATATATGATATAGATTGCCGCCGTATATACAAGCAAAACTTAGCCACTACTGTGAAAACATTGGCACCACATTCAACACAACATCCATCACAGCATTAATCACCACATTCAACTAAAGTTTATCATTCAAAATGATAAATTGAAAAATCATCTTTGAAACACGTTTTCCATCAAATACAACAGTAAATAACAATTCTTAACTACTTATTACTATATTACTGTCCTTAAACATCACACAAAACTGTAAAACTCAAGAAATTGAAGAAAATACTAAGCTTTATGTTAGAGTGTTTTTTTCATTTCTCTTGTTTAGCGTATAATTTAAAAACTACAAAGTAGAATTTTATTAAAATTGGCCAGAATATAGATAATTATATTGTCTAAAATATGTCCAAAATCTGGAGAGTTCACAAAAATATAAATGTAGAAAATCATCTACAAAGTCGGATGACACGAATGCGCGTTATATTATCTTATATAATTAACTTCCTATATTCTTTTTTATTTGCAAACAAAGGCCTATAAATAAAAAACTACTATGTAGAATTTTTTTAAACTTGGCCATATTGTATATATTTTATTTTCTATAACATATCCAAAGTCTAGAGAGTGCACAAAAATATGAAAGGAATAAAATTCCTTGAGAATGTACTGTGGCATAAACTGTGAAGTTGGCACCACATTCGACAAACAGCTCTAAAAAACTACACGATAGAATTTTTTAACTCAAGTATATTATAAAATTTTATATTGTCTAAAATATATCCAAAATTTGGAAAGTGCACAAAAATAAATATGGTAGAAAAACATCGACAAAGTTGGATGACTCAAATTCGCGTAATATAATCTTGCATAATTAAGTTAAGAATTCCGGTTCTTTAACAAACAATGCCCTATAAATAAAAAACTACACTGTAGAATTTTTTAAACTTTTGCGTATTACACATATTTATATTGTCTAAAATATATCCAAAATCTAGAGAGTGAATAAAAAATTATTAATACAATTTACTTTTTACAAAATTGTTTAAAAGTAGTAAACTCTGTTTGGTTGTTAATACAAATTAATTATGCAGTGACGTTACAGTGCTGGTTATCATTCCTGAAAGTTTGTTCTAGTTGCTAATCACTTTAATTTTTTCAAAATTTAGTGAATCTAGTGAAGTAAATGACTTGTTTTTGGATTAGTTATAACCAAACATTACTCTAATCCAGGACCTTTACGTCACTGTATAATTAGACATGTGCATTATTTATTTTGTATTTTTACAGGCTTAATACATAATTAGTTTACTTTATTATCTTAGGATAGACCTTTTCAAGGTTATCGCAGCCATATTGCAGGGGGTGCAAAAACATTGGGCCAAACACACGGTCACCCATGGCGTCAAAATAAATTAGTAATAAATACGCAAAAATTGCCCTTATACATATTGGCCATTTCTTTCAAAAATATTTCTCAAACTCGTCGATTATAAAAGTTAACTACGTTTTTATACAAACGGCCCCTGAACGGGAAATCCACATCCAAATTATTATATTTCATTAACGCGCCGCGGGTATCAAAAACATGGATGCCGACATACCAAATATGGCAAATTTTGGTGGAAAACATCATCAAAATGAAAAATAAAAAAATGTCAGCCCACCCGGATTTTCGCCCAACACTTGTACAATGAATACATAATAAAATAGAAAATTTTATCTTTCAAAGCTATACACCAAAACTGGCTTTTTTAAAAAAGTTCATCGGTAAAATATGCTGCACTTTTATGTGGTACACAAATGACAAAGTAGTGAAAAAAGAAAACGTTACATGATACTGGTAAGCAATACGATATTGTTTATTTTCTATATTATTCTTTATTATTAGTATTTCGTCTTAGTTTCTTTGCCTCAGAATACTTTTAGGATATTTGGCATGTATTGTCTAATTGTTTTCTCACTACTGAGTTTTATTTGTTGTTTGTCCAGTCTGTTTTATTCTTTGCTTAAAAACAAAAAAAATAACTAAGCATAAAATCTCTTCAAAATGTGGATATCTTCCATCAAGTAAAACAGCCAAAATTCACCTAAGTCTTAAAATGAAATGAGTTTATCTAAAAAGTAGTGTAACATTTGCTCAATATTTTTCAGTAAAATATGAAGAAAAGCTAAGAAGAGAGTTGTGTTGAAATAGCATGCAGTGCCAACAATTTACAGTACCACAAAAATATCTCAATCTCTTTGCTTGTGTTGTACATTGGCATATAGCAAACAATTAAGATAGCAGGGGGCCAAAGGTTTTTTTTAAATTCCTCTTTGTGTTTCTGTAAATGAAGTATGCAGTGTAATAGTGAACAGATTAATATGTCAAAACCAAAATAAAAAAACTGCTTAGTACAATAATGAGACAAAATTTGCTTTTACAGTGAAAGTTTTGTTCAAGATAAACTTAAGACTATGAGCATGTAATGTTTACTATACTATTGCCTCATTTGACAAAAATCCGCAATTGTTAGGATTCCAGGGGATCCAGGATTCACATTTCTTATATGCACTGAAGAAGTAGAAAGAAGAAGCACAAAAAGATGTAGAAGAACAAGAAGAATATTGCAGGGGGAGGGGGCTTGTTGAAATTGTATGTAAAGTTTTGGCAATGGTATTGTTAAAATTTTGTAATACACCTCTGAGAAGAAATTCTGTGTGTGTGATAAAGATGAAGTTGAAATAAATAAAATGAATGATTAATATAAATTTAAAAATTAAAATCAAAAACAGTCAAATTGGAAATTGAAATCAAAAACAGTCAGTTGCAAATAGTCAAGTTGAAGCTAGGAAAGCAGGTGGTTGTGCAAAGATTTTTGGTCTCTTTGCACAAGTTGTTAGCTATTTTGTTCAAAACTTGATTCTTAACACATAACATAATGCCAAAATTTACAAGAATTACACAATTATCCTTACACATTTTGCTAAATATTGCCATTGACACTCTACTATTTGGTTTTTTTATTCCCATTCAGCAAAAAACAGTATTATGTTTGAGAACCTAGTGGACTTTAAAGTCATGAGTTGTAATTTTATAAAAAAAATGTAAATTAAGGGTTATGTTGAATAGTTTCGTAACAGCTCACCAAGATTTAACTAGCAGTTGACAGGCCAACATTTCCCTGCACATTTTCCCTAAGATTTGATAACGATAATTGTACCAGGCTGTTCACGAACAAATACATAGTGTGCGACAGTGCGAGTGTTTATTTTACGCAAACGTGAAGACATTAACGGTCCCACAAAAAAATGCCGCGTCTGGAGTTATTTTGAATTTAAATTGTTATTTAAATATAACAGAAGTTTCTTTACCATAGATTTTTTTATATTCTTGATTGTGTATTCGATAAAACGCTAAAGCATATTTTTCAATCTAAGACGTTTTCGTAGTTGTTTTTACTGATTTTCAGGGGGGAGTGAATGATAAAAATAAATTTTCAAGTGGAAGATTTTACCCCAAAAATTCTTCTGGCATCTGTGTTTTTGATACCCGGTTCCAGATCCCTTTTCCCCTCCAGGGAATTTAATGGAACTTAATGGTGTACACTGATGTTGCCACAGATACTGGATGTCGCATGACGCTTCTGAATAATTCCGATTTGCTTGCAAACGTCTTATCGGTCTCGTTTTCCTATATACCTAATATACCTTGGCGATTTAAATGTATTACAGGTCTTTCTTTTCATTTCATACTACTTTTTCACTTCGGTAATTACAGGTCTTGCTTATGAAGCCAAGTTGAATTTTTGATGGCGTTATATAGGTGGCGTTTGCTTAAGCTATTTGAAATATGAAAATACATTTCTCTACACAATTCTATTGCTATTTGATTTACATTCTTATCTTTAATTATCGCTTATTAGCTAACGTGATTTTAAACTGAATTTCGTAAATGAAAAGTACATACTTTGGACATTAGTTTGTAAATTCTTTTAATAAATCACTTTGACATAGATTTTGTTCATAGATCATTTTGCCTCACTGTACGAATACTTGTTTGCTAAGCTGGTAGAAACGGTTGCAAATCAATCAATGAAGAAAATCGTTTGCCCAAACACACCCTTTGATTAATTTCATTACTTAGTAGCAACTAATATTATAACACAATTTTTTCATACATTATAGAAAGACAATTCTTTGTAAAACGCAAGACGATCGAGCTCCAAATAAATTCAAATTTGACGCAACTTTGCTTTAAAATGTTTGTCTTTGCAAAGAATTGCCTATCACCTAAAAACTTTGGCCTCCCGTCGTTCCTTTGTGCAGTGTTCCAGCTCTTTGTATTGACTCTGGTTGCGATAGGTCACTTGTTGAGATACAATGAAACTGGACCATTTTCTCCCTTTACCAGCGATAGTGGCCTAATAACAAACACGAGAGAAGATCGTGAGTCCTGCTTCCAACTTAATAAAAAGGTCCGCGATTCTTCATTTCCATCACTCGTCTTCTCTTTCCTTAGCGTCTCTTTTCCTCTTGGCATCGCTGTCATCTATTCTGTAACTGTTAGTGGTCGTGTCAATGAAATAGAAGTTAATCTAAAAGTTCATAGAAATAAGCAGAATAAGACAACCGTTCATGTTTTGTATTTTTACCTCATTCATCTTGTTCAGCGATCATTTCTTGGAATTTTATTCACAGTAATACAGTACGCTTACATCCATCCGAAAGATTTTTCCTTCTGCTGTCAATGTGTAACAGATAAAGCAGCAAATAGTAACACCAAATCTGCATTTATCAGTAGCATTTTCAATAGAACATGTATGACTTATATAAACCCGATGGAGTCTGTAGCAAATCGATATGACGTAAACTTGTCATTTATCAACATTATTATTGCTTTTGTTTTGATTGGCGAATTTGCTTACCTCTGGTGTCGATTGAACATGCCTCTTAACACTACTAAATGGGTGGTCTGGGATGACGAAATAACCTTTGTCACAACTTATTTTCTTCGAAAGGAAGACATTGAAATCCTAGTTATTTACAAACAAAAAATTTTGTCTCGATCTTGTCCAGCTAATGTTAACTACATTCAAGAAAAGCAGTCTGGTATTGACAACATGGTTGTTGACTTTGTTATACATACCGAACCCTGTCCACGCAAGTTTGTTGAAGATAGGCACGAAATGTACGATGTTCATATGAAAATTTCCGAAGAGTTGATTCGTCTGGACACTACCAAAGATCTTTTTCTCCCAAACAAAGACACAAAAGATAAATATCCTAGCAGAATTTTAGCTATTGGAAGATCAGGTATTGGAAAAACTGTTCTGGCTGAAAAAGTTCTACATGATTGGGCTGCTGGTGTAGATGATATTTATACTGATAAATTCGTCTTTCTTTTCAAACTTCGATGGTTTCGCAGCAAAGATGACAAGTGGAAAAAACTTTCTTTAATGAAATTTCTTCGAGTGGGAACGCTTTTGACGGACGCAGAATTCATGCTTGTTTACGAGAACATTTGTTGCCATAAATTGAAACCAATTTTAGTTTTTGATGGTTTGCACGAGGTTGACGACAAACTTGATAAGTTTGTTGAGGAATCTTCTATGCTGCCAAACGATTCCAACGCATCGATATCAGCTTTATGCTGGTTTGTCAAACTTGTTGCTGGAGAAGCTGTGATGCAATCCGGAGAGCCGTTCGTTTCAACCGTGCTAGTAACAAGCAGACCAACAGTGAAAAGCTTTCATAAGAAGTTTTCTTTTGACCGAAACATTGAAGTAATTGGCTTAACACTCCAGAAAATGGAGAATTGCGTAATTAGATTTTGCCAGGGCAAAAACAAGCCAAACAAAAAGAAAGTAATTTGGAACACCATCAGCTCTTCTTCTGAACTGTCAAGTTTGTGTTACATTCCTGTGAACTGTCATATTGTTTGTGTGACTCTTTCTGGCTGCATCACAGACTCCAAACAAGCTAATCCTGATCTACCAAATACTTTAGCTCAATTATACCAAAAGAGTTTGTATTATTTTGAAAATCATGAGCGGGATGTGAATGTTAGTCCTATGACTAACGAAGAACTTACAAAGTTGCAAAAATTGGCTTTTCATCTTATGGAAGACAAAAAACTCATAATAGACGAATCTGATCTTGATGAAACCTTAAACAGGTCTCATTTTTTGAATAGATTCCTGAATCCTCATTTGTCCTTCAAAGCACAATTTTCCTTTGTTCACGGGACAATTCAGGAGTTCCTTGCCGCAAAACACGTGACGGAGACTTTCGTTTTCGATGAAATAAAAGAATTTATTTCAAAGCGCGTTCGTATGTGCCGTTGGCATCTCGTTATAAAGTTCATTTTCGGACTTCTAGGAATAAAATATGAGATGATGAATTATTCCAAGAAATGTATTTATTCGTTAGTCACGAATTGGCTTCATCTCAATGGTGATGATAAACAAATTCTGCAACTCACTTACAACAATGTCTTCGCTTTGAGCTGTTTGAAAGAAGTTGGCAGTGTTGAAATTATCAAAGAAATTTGTGAAAACACGGATTTGGATGGTGTTCAAGAAATGATATCAGGATATGAAAATCTAACTGAAAGTGACTGGGTAGCAATAGCATTCGTCTGCAGGTACATGAAGAATTTGACAAGACTTTGTCTACGCCATACGACAACGAATTCCTTTTTGCTATTTCGAGTAAAGTCCTTTGTTGAATTACACATTTTTCAAAATACATTCAGCGATGAAAAATTAGAATTAGACCAGGTGTTTGAAGTTTTAAATGAGCCACATTACCCGACACTTCCAAGCTATGATTACGCAAGATTAACGTTTTGGAGCTGTATGGTTTCAATGTTCAAGGGCCAACACTACACATGGAAGCTTTTTTTCAAAACAGAAAAGCAAACAACTTGAAGAAACTTAGTCTTTCGTTGATTACAGGAAATGTGTCTCACGTATGTGTTGCAATTGAAAAAGGATGTTGTGAAGAACTTACGGAGATAAAGATCACTTTTTCACACCTTTCTGAAGGACCAGCTTATTTTTCTGAAAATGTTTTACGAAGCAATCGTGAACTGAAGTCATTGGTTCTGTCCAGTTGCTCGTTGTCATTGAAATGTACGACTCAACTTTGCGATACCTTGCGTGATAAACATTGCAATTTAGTTAGTTTGGTGCTTAATGAAATTTCCTTGGTCGGTGAGTCTGCTGGATTGTTATTTGAGGCCATTGCTAGTGAAGATTGTAAATTGAAAGTGTTAAATCTTGATGGTTGTTCTTTAACTCACGAATGCATTCCAAGGTTACGCGATGCATTGATGAATGAACACTGTAATTTGAGACAGCTGTCGTTATCAGAGAATGCTTTAGGTAATGAAGGTGCTATTTTGTTGTTTGAAGCTCTTGTGTGTGAAAACTGTAAGCTCAAAGTGTTAAAACTTGATTATTGTTCAATAACTCAAAAATGCATTCCAAGGTTTTGCACTTCATTGTCTAACGAACATTGTCCATTGCGTGAGCTAACATTGTCTAAAGGTGAGATAGGCGATGAAGGGGCTGGTTTGCTGTCTTACGCCCTTAAAGGTAAACATTGTAAGTTGTTTCTTTGATGATCCACGTGGACACACTCTGTGCAAAATTTGCTGAGGTTTTATCAAGTAAAGACGTAAAAACGAGTCAATGATGAACGAAGTTTCATCTTTAAAGGAAAAATATATTTTTCACATTAGAATGGATATTCTTGTAAACATAGAACACACTTTAAGTGGAAGTAGCTATTAATTTATTGCATAAAACTTATGTATGTTAGCATCTGTCTTTTGCATGCTTTGTCAACGCTTAACATCTCACATGGCAAATAATGAACAGTTGAAGTTGATTCTCTTTTATTAATAAAACATTGTTGAATATAGGTGATGTAACTAGCCAATAACAATTCACAATAATTAACCACGTTTTGCAATAAAAGTATCACGAAGAATCACCAGATTGTGTTCTCATATTGTTCGGCGAAAAAAATGAATGAAGCCCAACCTACTCCGACAGAAAATATTCCCTACAGAGTGTATCACAGCATAAATACGTTAAGAAGTTTCATCTTGCTAGAGTTGTGGCTATAGAACGTTAATGGGGAGTGGGGTGAGTGTCTTCATCCATTCAGTTGTATCTGAGTTGCAAGAAGTTATTTAATGGTATACAATATGTAGAATTTTGCGTTAAATCTTTTAGTCAGGAAGAACAATTTCTATTTCTGTCTTTTTGTCTGGTGGAGGCCAACACATTTAATAATATTGACGTCACAGCCATGGAATTTTACGTATAATGGCTCTATGTCCTTGGGAATTTCTATCAAGTTTTCACTGAAAATCGACACAACTTCTTGCTTGAGGACTAAAATCATAAAGAAAGAATTATTACGAATCAATATTTATACATCGCTTGCACATTCCAAAAGCAAAGCTGTTAACACACGAACTGTTGGCTGCATTCACAAAAACAACAATAGATAAAATAACATAATCAGTGATTTCACAATGGTGCCAGTCAACTGCCATTTAATAAATATGCGCATTGTTTCTTAAGAAATTCCGTTTTTCAGAATTTTAATGTTTCCGGGATACCAAATGTTTTTTTTACTTTTATTTTTGACTTTACAATTGATGACTGACCAAGATTGTTTACTTTAGAACTCTTGTGGCAAAATAAATTTAACAAAATCGCCAGGTGGCAATATTCACAAATATGCACACATTAAAATCTTTCGAATAGAAACCGTTTTAAAGCTCTTATTAAAGAAACACCGTTAAACTTTTAAAAACTGGTAACCTTTTTAGAAACTGGTAACATGTTTCATGAGCCACATGCAACGTTACCGGCAGTAAGGTGGTGTCGAGGTGTCGGCAATAAGAGAGGGAAGTGTCAAATAATTCGTGAGGAAAGCAATTTATAAATTATATTTTTGATCAACAGTCACATAACGAAAACTTAGCTCTGCAAATTAGTTTAAAACCATAGAAAGAAGATGCAACAAGTTGAAGGTCAATAAGATTATCGCAAAAAAACGTAATATTTTAAAGACCTGTTTTATTGTCATTTGTAAAACAAACTTCATAAGCGGGCGTGTCTTGAGTAAAAAGAACGAAACTGAAGTCACGTTATTCACATGGGCTCTTAGAGGACTTACAAAATTAGAATTGCCTCTTGTCGTTTCTTATTTACAAATCTAGTTGCAATAATTTCATTCAATTTAAAGTCAAGGAGGAAAATGAAGATATTTGATGCTGAAAAAATTCTTGCACAACAAAATTGCAACACTTGAAGTAATTTATGCATTAAAATTCAAAAAAGGCCACTTAACAGCATCACATATCATGCAGCCTTAATCAAGTAAAATGCATCCAACGTGATCTAATGCTGTATTGTTCTGCCTTACATCTAAAATACTTGTAACCCTGCCAATTTACCCAGAAAGCATGATTTCTAAAGCATGATAGAAGCTAAACTACAATCAGATGGAATTTACGGGAATCTTTAACAAATTCGTATATTGACATGAATGCTGCTGTCCAAACTGTGAATTTTTTCAAGAGGGTGAAAAATTTATGGATAAATTGTAAATGCTTGGTAAAGACGATCTCGCGAGCGACATTTCAGTCATCGATGTTCAAAAGCAAGCCAACATTGTTTTGAGTTTTCTCAGCAGAAATTTACCTCCAAAATCGTAAGTAAAGGACAACTGAAGTGTATGCATTAATGCAAAATATCAAAGTCAATTTATGCGTGTATGTGATGCGATTTATGTCAATATGGTGTATGGTAAGCAGATTGATGCTTCTAAAATTGTTGTTGCCGACGGACTTTTAGTAATGATTTCTTTAGTGCTTGGGTAATCGTGGCCATTATATGGAAGCAAAATCCTACATTTCTGCAAATATATTTCAATGGACAAAAAATCTGTAGACATAAAGCGCCATACTATTATTTACTTTATCATAAACAAATGTTTGGGCTTTTCAGTTTATGATCAAATTTTCACTCTGATAATTTTTGCTTGATCTTTGGCAGAAAAAAGTTTTAGGGTTACAATAAACTTGCATGGTTTGAAGTCTGAGCTTTTCTAAATCTATGAACTGTCCCTTGTACCAAAATTCTAACATAACTCATTGCATAGAGGTTTGAATTGGGGTCTCTTGAGGGTCTATGCCTGACAACTTGGTAGAAATTTTTAAAGACAATATCTTTTTTGGATAGCATTATTGTAAAATAAATTTTATATTCTTAGACATGCTAATGACCATATATTTGGCATGATAATGAGCCTAAATATTTGGCAAAACATTCAAGTATTGTTCACTTCAATTTTTTTTCGAAAGAAACGTAAGCAAAATGTATTGTTTTTACGCATGAACGATCCCCATCAAAATATTTTGTATTGTTCTAAAACGCTGAAAATGGAATTTCCAAGGCTCTGAAATTCAAAAGTTCCCAGAGGAGAATGCCTTGGACATCCCAGGTGCGGAGCGCCTCCGACGTTTTATGACTGATGTTTGAAAAGTCCTAGATCCGCCCCTGGAGAAATTTAATTATTAAGAATATTTGCTGATATTTTACAGCAATTAGGCAGAATTCCTGTTGTTGTAATTCCGTAAACCCATTCGTTTCCTTGTACAAGAGGATGTCATGAATAAAGATGCAGTTACTACAGCATGGTTTTGCGATCAAATTGGAACATTGTATGACCTCATGACTTCTCGTTCAACAACAATGGGTTTAAGTCTCTTTGACCCAAAGAAGCATGCAGATGCTGTTTCATTTCTTGAGACAATCATAAAACTCTTTACACATATAAAAATAGGAATGAGTCTGAATTCAAGTTGAAGCCTGTGCAAACCGGAACAATTTTAGCAAAAAAAAAACAATTCTTCAGCTGCAAAACTATTTCGTTTTAGAGAGACAACACAAATTTTTTGGACAAGCCGCTTTACACAAGGTACATTTGAGAATTTTTTTCAACCATTAGATTCAAGAATCCAGTACCAACAGCACTTGAATTAAAAAATGCATTACGAATAATTACAGTTTCACATTGCCTTTCGGGCAAATCTACTTCTTCCTATGACAATGATGAAAGTACACAAAATCCTTCTTTCTTAGATGCAACACTATCTACATCCAAGGATGTCAATGAAGAAGATATATATTTTTGATTGATCTTTTGACTTAAATCTTGATTTATCTGCTTAAGGATCATCAGGCTTGGATCATCTTAGAGGTTTACATATCAGATGAAGTAATAAAGCTACTTTGCACAGCCGAAAGCATATTTGTCGCCAACGAAGAGCGTATAATGAAAAACAACAACATACTCAGTCTGGCGGTTGACAGTCTACATTCTTCATGTAAAGATTTTGATTCAGTTTCGATCCCCATTGATGCTCAAGTAAGCTCAAAAATTAAAGCTAAGATTTGTGCAAACGAGTTTGTTGACTTCAGTTCTCTTCTTAGTTCAAGGGGCTGTGATAGCCGATATCATCTCTTAGTAACTCAAAATGATGACTTCATTCCCACCCTTTCTTTGGAACCTACTACAAAGATTAAGCCCATAATTAACATTGAGATGTGGACTTCAACCTTTCAGATTTTTGTTGTGATATACACAAGTAAGTTTCCCAGGATGCTCCTGTATTGATGAATTATTCTGAGGTTGTTCGCGATTTAGCCGAGCGTGGTGCAAACTGGCAATTTTATGACAAACAGTTTCGTTATATGCGTCAAGCTCAGTTGCAAGATATGCCATGGGGCACAACTCATTGTAAGTTGTGGATCAAAGTCCAAAGTTTAATCGTAATATCGTAAATCGGTCACGTCCAAGACAATTTCAGTCTTCTCCATCGGGCATCTTCGCTCCATTGGGTTTTTGTGGAGTCTTTCATTGAGGATTTAAATGCTCAACTTGCTCCTACAAACATACTTGTTTCAAATGTGGTTCGCAACATTCTGGCAAAGGGTGTAAATTTCGTCCCTCAGACAAGTTTCACACGGCTAGAAAACCAGCAACAACTGCACAAGCTCCCAACCCCCGTAAGAATTAACTGTTTACTACCTTTGTTACAAGAATACAATGCCCAAATCGTTTTAGAGTTATTTGAAGGATTTACGTATGGTTTTCCCCTTCATTTTGAGGGTCTTTATAGCCCGTTTCGGGCCCACAATTTAGTATTGGCGAATCAAAATTTGGATGTGTTTAGTGCTAAGCTTGAAAAAGAGATTGCAGCAGATAGAATTGGAGGGCCCTTTCCTCAAACTCCATTTCTAAACTTGCATGTATCACCTTTAGGTGTTGGGCCAAAAAATGTTCCGGGCGAATTTCGGTTGATTCACCATTTGTCCTTTCCTCATGGGGCGTCTATTAACCATGAAATTCCTTCGGCATATACAACAGTTTCTTATTTGCGAGTAGACAATGCCATTGCAATTATTGAACGCTTGGGGAATGGCTGTTTTTTGGCAAAGACTGATATTAAGAATGCAATTCGGATCATTCCCATACGTCCACAAGATTACCCTCTTTTGGGAGTGTTTTGGAAGGGCAACTACTATTTTGATCGGGCAATGCCCATGGGCTGCGCGTCGTCCCGCCGCACTTTTCAAATTTCAAATGTCTAGCACTGCACTAGAATGGGTTGCTAAAGCTCATTTAATTATTGAACATATTATTCATATTCTTGATAATTATCTCATTGCTGCCCTTTCTTTCGTATAGTGTTGCGTTGCATTACAAGGGTTTATATCCCTTTGTAATCATGTCGATGTACTAATTTATTCAGAAAAAACGGTCGGTCCTGTAAATATTCTAACTTTTTCTGGCATTGAGCTCGATACGCATGCTATGGAAGCCCGTCTACCAGAGGAAAAAATCTTTAAAACATGCACGCTTCTCGGAAAATTCCTCAAAAGGAAAAAGGCCACGTTAAAAGGAATCCA